AATCACATCACTGCATGGTGCTTGTGCTCTTTCGGAAGCTTCGTATGGCCTCTAAAAGTTACTTATTTATCTTCGTTTGAAGCAAAACAATAAACGAAGTTTAATAAGTAACTTTTAAAGCCCAAAGGAAGCTCCTGAAAAAGCACAAGCAGACGTGATAGACCTGTACGCTGGTCAGAAATTGATGGCCGCGGTGCACCGGAGAGTTCCCTTCCGGCGGCAGCGGCGTGGAGAAACGCGTTGAACTGTCGGCACACCATTCTCAATGTGCGGCGGCGGCGTGACTTTGCAGCGGTGGCGCTTAGGTCTACCATGTGACCATCAGGGACTCCCGCGGTTGCCAACCACAAATTTGTTTCGCTCCGTATATATTGGTGATGGGCCGAACTTTTGCCGAATTGACAATGCGGCAAAGCCAAACCTTTGCCGAACTTTTCTAAATATTCGGCAAAGATCAACGTTACTAAAACACTCAGTTGGGAAACTCGCCCTTGAAACCTGGGCCGCTGGCATCCACCGAGACTGAGCTAAATACGATAACAGCGCCACCCTTCAGTGACAAGTTGAAACATGAAAGTTGCTTTGTATGGCTACTGCAAGATGGCCCTTCGAGATGGCGCCACTGGCCCTGCCATGAATCAACGGAACCAGTAAATGCAGTTGTGCAGTTCACGGAGTGGCCGCTGCGGGAGAAAGGGCAGCGTTGCGATCACAATAGACCCTTTTCAAAAGTCAGAGTCCTCTTGTGGCAGTCCGAAAAGCTCCAATATTGCCGCTCTAATGGCGGTGATAGGAGATCATGCGCGGCTAAGTCAAGCACCCTCGATTTCGTGCATCGAAGGTGACGTGAAACGACCAACATCTTTTCCTTCTTCTGCTCTATGCTTTCGAAGACGTTCGATTTTTCTGGTGTGGAGAAACAGTGTAGTTCCGCCATTAGAGCGTCGGGTCTGGCTCTGCACAAGGTGGGTAGACTTGACTTTCGGAAAGGGTCTATTAGTTCGGTACTGGGGTAAGGATCGGCGCCACTTTTTCAGAGCAGGCTCTATGGCAGTTTCCCAACTGAGGGGTTCTAGTAACGTTGGCAAAGGTTCAGCAAAAATACATTGTTACCAGACTTAACGCTGATATCTAATTTTTCCTGGCGAAAAAAGATTTTTTTTTCTTGGCTTAAATGCAACATGTAATGCATATCGATACAATGATTACTAAATAAGGTGATATTCTACAAGATAATTGTATCGGTGTCATTTTTGTGTGTTTACTGGCAATTTTACAGTGATTTTTGCAGAAGTGGTTTGACAACGAGGTTGGGTAATAGCAGGCACAGTCACGATAGGCACCTGCTACTACCCACGATCTGCGAAAATAGATGCAACGCTTGCTGTGCCTTCACCAGAAGAGATAACAGTATTATTGTAAATATGCATTTTTTTTTTTATTTCAGTCACTTGACGTCAGCTTTGCATAAAAGAGTGTGTCCCATATTCGCAACGTCTCGTCTCTAACTTCTAAAATGCCGGTTTCTGATGTTAGGACACACACAGTTAGGACAGATGGGAAGAGTTAGGAATGTCGGATGTGCGATGTCGAACAAGATTGTTCTGTGTTTAGTTTTATGCAGGTATGTGAGAACCGCAAAATAATGCTAATTAAAAAGGAATTTTACTTTGTTTTGGTGCTAACTGCTTGTGAGCCGAAAACAGGATTGTTATAATTGCGAGGAGTGCTTTAATTAAAGTAATTGTCAGTCAGTATGTTTCACCTACCTCTTTGCATTACTAGAAAGGTCAAATGAAAATCACGTTATCCAGAATGTATCGCATCATTTGTCACTTGCTCACTGGACTGCTTCAATTCCTTGTTGATCTTCTGTTCTTGAGGCAGAAAATATTGAAGAGAACAGCAATCGGAAAGGCTCACAAACGCACAGCTACCGTGTTGCCTACTCCACACCTCGCCATAACCGTTGGCTGTACTACACTGCACGACGGTAACCGCACGGCATCCATTTGCAATCTATGGCCGCTTCGCGTTCTCGTGCGTGCGCAGACATTTGCCAAATTTTTGCCTAATCTTTGCCAAACTTTCCTTCAAAAGTTCTGCATGTCCCAAACTTTGCCGAATCTGAAGTTTGGCAGTTTTGGTCCATCACGAATAAATATAGCTTTAAAAATATTTTTTTCTTCATTGTAAATTCATTTTTTTACATTCTTTTTCAATCTAGGCTGTTTAAAAAATTTTTCTTTCCATGTGTTTTTTAAGGTCAGGGGGCGTGTGCAACTTGTGGTGAGACACTGATCTCTATGACAATTGCTGAATCGTGCTTCCCGCTCCCGCAAGTGAAGCCACTGTATGGCCACCTTGCTCGTAGACAAATTGCGGTTTTGCTAGCGTTGCAGAGGCTAGTGGCAGCATGCTGAAGACATGTTTTCTACTTGTTTGTCGTCATTTGCCAAAGAAGTTTTTTAAGACCCTGTGTAAGCAATGAGATTTGCCGATGAGAACACGTGGAAATTTTTACGAAAGCGCAGTGCCGCAGGAAAAAAGGCACAACTCGTCGAAAGCAAGTTTTGCCGGTCTCGCGGCATGATCAAAGCTTCCTTGGCACGCTGAAGTGCTGTGTGTTTGTGCCTTTGCACGCTTGGATACCGATCAAGAATCAGCGCTGCAGCAAAGTTTTGAAGGTGTGTCGCGTGTAGATGTTTTTGCATCATATATCGGCCATGGAGTTCTGGATCGTCCAGCTGTTCTGGCGATTTGCTATCAAGGGAGGAAAACAATCTGTACGATTGCTCTTATGCACTATTAACAATGGCTATGTTCCAAATCTACTCTAATGAATCACATGGCAGCACAAAAAGAACAACACTGTGGAGCAAGGATGGTTTTTGAAGGCAAGACGGCGAGATTGACAATCTTTGAAGCGTGGCCCATATGGTCATGTGCAATCTGTTGACCAATCACAATTAGGCAAGCTGCGCTCAAACTTGATGTTGTGTTTTATAATGAGCCGGACCACTGATCAGTAATGAGCAACTGTTGCGCGGTATTCTGTAAACCGTCTAATGACAAAAAAAAAAGACATACCTACATCCCACCCTCCAACATGGGGAGGGGGGGCGGAGGGGGAGGGGGGAGGTACATCCTTACTCAGGGTTTTAAAAAACTTCTTTGGCGAATGACGACGAAGGAGTAGAAAACATTTCTTCAGCATGCTGCCGCCAGCCTCTGCAACGCTAGCAAAACCACAATTTCTCTATGAGCAAGATGGCCGTCCGGCGGCTTCACTCACGCTGCAGCGATCAAGTGGGGAAGTGCGATCCAGCAATTGTCATAGAGATCAGTGCGGTGAGACGTGGTGGGAGATGCTTTATTACGATTGTGCCGATAAATTTTAGTAGCTGCGTTTGAGACGTTTTGTGTTTGTCCTTTTTTTCGTCCGTCGTCTCCAGGTTTTTAAAACTGTGTAGATTCTTCTACGGCATCCCCTAGCTAGTTTTCTCTTTTTTTATTGTGCTTAGAGACAAATGGCAAACATCTCGGTGACTGGAGAAAAAATCAACCATAAGTATAATCTTTTGACCTTTACCCCACACTTAAGAAAGGAAACTAACATTTTTGCATTTGAGCATGGTGCTAGTGGGTGCATTGTCAGGAGTTGCACAATATCGTCTTTTATCTTTTTGTTTCTTGTGGTTTTGAGCATGTTCAAGATGGAGTTGTTGCAACTCACGTTTTTAATGATGGAAAGGGGGCAGAAAGTGCCTCTTTTTTATTATTTTAAAATTTTTGTATATTTTTTTACTTCTAAAGATTTGGTGTTCAAAATCATAACTTTAATAGGATGCATTTTATTTCCTGTTGAAGTTAGCAGTCAATATAGGCTACATTCGAGATTCAAAGCGTCGTCACGGTAGAGATTTTTTATTACGGACTGTTTCCTGTTGAAGTCAACGGACAATATATTTTACATCAGACACTAAAAACAAAGTGTTTGATAGCATGTTTTTATATAACATCTATGATCGTTTTCATTAAAAGAAAAAAAGTTAAGATTTTTGCATTGTTCATAAGTCGCGCAAAGTACGTTCTCACAAGATTTGGTTGTTGAAGGAAGAAAAGATTCTTTTGGCGTTTGAAGTGTGTACGTGTTGATATGATAGCATCTGTCTAATCTAAAATACTGTAGACTTGCATATATCTTAATTCTCTTACATAAAGGGGTAAGTTAATAATGCTCACCGAGGAGCCAAACTTTTTTTACTACGGTTCCTGAGGTGCAAACGAGTATAATATACCACATTGTTTTGTCTAAAATGTAGTTCTGTAAGTGACACTAAGCATGCACGTGGCTTGCATTGACATCACATCAGCACCCATTGTGGTGGCCTTGCTGCTGAGCGCATCCCTTCTGCAGCATACATTTCGCACCAGCAATTTTTCTGTTGGCTAGAACAAGTAGCAGTGACCACTAGCACGATGCGATGATGTGGAAGTCGCATATAAAAGGGACAGCTTCCTTTAATGGCTTCATTATTTGGTAGTCTTAGGCTATAGCTAGAAGCAACCTAATCTAATTTGATTCAATGGACCTTTTTCAAAAGTCAGTCTATTCACCCTGGTCAGAGGCAAACCTAATGCTCTAATGGTGGCACTACACAGCTTCTTCATACCTGGAAAAGCGGACGTCTTCAAGAGCATAAAGCCGAAAGTGAGGTATTTATTCTAACAAGTTGGTCCTTGAACGTTGCTCTCGATTCCTGAAGTCGAGGGTGCTTGATGTAGGTGGCATTGTTTTTCTATCGCTGCCATTGGAGTATAAAAATATTGAAGCTTTTGAGACTGCCACTAGGTGGCTCTGACTTTTCAAAACAATCTATTGCTGGAGTTTATTGATACCAGCCTTAGTGTAGGATGTGAGGACCCGTTTCAGGGTTTAATATTGTTTTTCTTATAAGGCGTCTCAATTCCTGGAACAATTTGTTTGAATTCCCAAGGACGCCGCATCTGCAAGTGCGGCTGCAGCAACTGCAAATCAGTGGGTGGACGGATTCCTGTCCCAGGACAAAGAAAAGGGCAGTGATGCTGACTTCTGGGAGAATCTCCAGAAAGAATGGGACCAAATGGCAAGGTAGGCTAGAACAGCAATCAGCATGGGGAGTTAGAATGAGTGCAATATTGTCACTTAGACTGTATGTTTGATCATGTCTTGCATAAAAATATATTTCTGTCAGTGTTATTGGGTATGTGGTTTCAGATTTGTGAGTGATAATGGATAATGCAGCAAAGAAGATATTGCTTTAACTTGACATTTTCCACATCTTTAAAGTGGCCCAATTTTTGCTGTGTGCCCGTTTAACCATCAGGGCCCATGTCTCTGAGTCATAACTGCCTTAACTGGGGGAATTTCAGGCCACCTAGTTATTTAACCTCTTAACTGTTTTGGACAAGTTTAGTTTGTCCACCTAGAGCCATCCCCAAACCATTTAGGACGAGTGTAGCTCTTCCGCGCACCCTCGCTCGCCCCTTGGCTGTTTTGGACGACCCAGGCTCATGCAGAGCTTAGAGAAGCACATGTGCTGTAAATGTTTTACTGCACATATTTTATAAAAATGGAAGACCAATAGTGGAGATGCATGCAACCAGGGCCGCACGTGCAATAAAAAAAAAAGAAGCTGTTTATGGTTAAAGTTGCTACAAGTATAAAGAATGGCTGAGGGGTTTATGTAGTAGGTGCTATAGTTTATATTATACTATATACCAATATGTATAGTGTGGTATACTATATATTCAATATAGTATACGGCTGCTAGGTAATAGGAATTAGTACCAGTTCACAACCACTCAAACTGCACAATGAGGAGTCCATTGGGCAAAGAAGGGACGCGCATGTGTTACGGGACCCGCTGAATTCCATTTGTGATCATCAGGCAGAAATAATGGAAAGAATGAAAACTTAAGTAGTATTTCCTTTTCAAGAGTCGGAGGTTGTTTATCTGAACTTTTCTTATCAGCCAGCATTCACTAACGGTCATACATGTTTTCCTCTTGCTCGACAACATGAAAAGCAGAGAAACCCCCAGTTCACACCCGTGGCTCTCTGAGTACGAGAACCTCTCGGAGCCTTATCGCGTGAGTAGACGTCTCATTCCCAATTTGGTGCCCAATGGCGCGACGTCCGCTCAATTTGAACTTGAACTCCACCCTTTGTTGTCGTTGCAGGAGTACAAATTTGCGGAGGACAATCCCCTGGAAGACGTGGAAAATCCCTTTGAGGAAGGGCTTAAAAAGCTGCAGGAAAATGACATTCCAAGCGCTGTGCTGCTCTTCGAAGCGGCGGTGCAGAAGAACCCGCAGCACGTGGAGGTGATGTGCATCATCAGCCATGGTTTGTCCCCGAAACTAGAGGTGCTAAATAAGCTACGCTTCAGAGTGACGACACTTTGCCCATCTTGGTGCCGAAAATCATTGTTACCAGTTATCCGAGGCTCTACCTGGAATTGTTGGAAATGCTTTTCCGTCCTCCGGAAATGTTAAAACGGTCTGCAACGGAGAAAAAGATGTTGCCTGAGCCTCCCAATGCCGTATCTAAAGCTTGGGAGCTTGCATTTTCAAATTGCAAGTATCGTCAATTGCATCTGCTCTGCCCTAAGCACCAAAATGGCGGCACTCACGAGGTAATGGGGAACGGGGGACAGACACTCTAAGCGTAGCTTCTTTAGTGACTCTACTTGAACTTTTTGGAACGAGAGATGGGTGGAAGAGGCAAGCTAATAAGGACAGGCTGCTTATTATAAATTGAATGGAACCGGTCATCGTTAGGATAATGAAAGTCTGAGGATTAGGGCGGCGCAGGTACAAAACTTGTCACCTTTAAGTAGAGTAGGACATGCAAACCTTCGGAATTGGTTTTCATGATTAGGGATTTGTCCTACTAGAACTTTGCGGAAAATAGATGAACCCCCCCAATGAAAAGTAATTAAGTGGACTCGCGTTGTTCCTGTCTACAAGGTCTACCGTATTTGTCACAAAATATGAATGTAGTAATGAAATAGCATATAGTACAGTATACTACCAAAACATGGTGGTTGTGATTTTTCACACCTGTCTATGTAATTCCAGTACTATTCAAGCCCACCTTGAACAAAGTAAATTTAGGTCTTCCATAGTTATATTATAGTGAGGAATACTTGTCACAGACAAAAATATGGGATCGAGAACAGTTTTTGTCTTATGGACAAGCTTCGTATAAAGGTAAAACTTGGTTGCTGTTGGTCTTAACGGCTTTGCTTTTGCTGCAAAAATGGTTGCATTACTGCACTGTGTGGTGCAACAAGCATAATGCGAGACGTGCATAGCTGATACGCCACTTGTGGAAAAGCGAGAGTTCCTACAAAAGGAAAAGGAACGCAAAGTGGCTGTGCGGTGTGTGATCACTCCTTTCCGTCACTACTTGTGCATAAAATAAAGGATTGCACATATCCCACAGTGGCCTTCCATCTGCTTTGTGGGCGTTTGCTTCTCTTGCTCGTCTGGGGCATGCATGATACCAAACACTTGGCAAGTAGCTCAGAAAAATACACTGTATCAACGACAGAGCCCGTGAGCATGCAGCGTCTCTAAAGGGAACAGCGGCAGGACATCTGGCAGCTCATTGGAGGACATGCCAGTGCAGTGTAGCTTTGAACAGCACCACCATTCTTGGAAGAAACAACAATCCTCATGCATGCGAAATGCTCGAGGCGCTCGCCATCGAGGAGCACGCGGAGGACTGTGTCAGCACGCCATCAATCACCGTCCACAAAAAAGAAAGACAGTACCTAAAGAATGTCACGCCCCAAACAACAACAGCACGAGCTTGTGGCGGGTTAGTTCAAAAACAATAATTTGCGGGGAATACTGTGCAAATGATTTGTACATATTTTTTGTATAAGTGTAAATATCGGGAGTGATCCTTATTAGTGGAATAGGGTAATTTGTATAATAGGTTATTGTGCTCCACTTGGGACTCAAAAAGAAGGACCAAAAGCGCAAAGAAGAAGTTTAAACTAAAAAATCGTTGGTAGTCAGCTGTGTGTCATATCCTGTCCTTTCTGTCTTTGTGTTCTAGATATTTCTAAAGTTCAAGCTGATATAACTACAAATACACTTTGCATGAATGTTTCAAAGAACCTCTGTGCAATATGTTTTTACACATCTCAAATGACTAGTAATAATGAATGCCATGCTTTCGAAGTTTGCTTGAATTTTTGAATGCTTGTAACTCCTACATAGAATTATGCTAAGATTACGGTATATGAAAGTGACATAGACCTCTTTTTATAGTAGCTTAACGAGATAATTAGTAGTTGTTTCAATCAATGTGCACATTCCCCCGACCTTCAGGACAGATGGCAGAAAGTATGCCACACTGTGGTGCTCGAATATTTTTCTCTCTCTGTTTACAGGCTTGGCAGTACCTTGGAACGACTCAGGCAGAAAACGAGCAAGACCCAGCTGCGATTGCTGCCCTGAGAAAGTAGGTTCCAAAGACTTCTTTATCTATCTAGACAAAAAACAAAGGGCCTTTGTTCGTGGGCTTGCTAAAATGTGCATAAACCTGATCTCTGTCTCCATTTTTTTTTATACAGGCCAAATCACTTCTGCAAAAAATGATGCATTGCACAAAAAAAAGGTTGATGTCCTACTGGGCTCTGCCAAAGGGCCTGTTTAGGAAAATTTATAACATTCGGTATAATTAGGCTCTCAAATACTCTACCTATTCACCTCGATTAACCGCTTAATTAATCGAGATAAAAGAATTTTGTACATCTTCTGGTGTCTTGCAAGGAGATCTTTTCATGGTCAACACTCGATCCCGGCGCAACTTGCTCGCAGAGGAGAGCATTACGGCAATGCATTGTCACGTGCCTCACTTTGATGCTTCGATTGGAAGACGGGCCCCGCAGCCTTTGCCAGTTGAATTGTAGGTACTAAACCCAAAAGGTTTTTGAGTTAAAGACTAAATCTTTAATAGAAAAGCAGGGCTAACTTCAGTTGATGAGGATGTCGAATCATAGGGGGGCACTTCGTCCAGCTGGTTTTCCACAGAGCTCGGTGTTTACCAACACGAGGCTTCTTTACATCGTCTTCCTCGACCAAGTGCAGATTGGGCACGAGTGCTTCTTCGGTGATCGGTCGGGACCCGTACTTGACCGATGCTTTGCCGATCGAATGCGAGGCCGAGCTGAACGCCAACACAAGGTTCAGCAACGTTGGCCATGTGCTTCATCGGGAACACTGGCAAATAACTTGTGTTGTTGTTGCCCCCACGTGTTTAGTACTCAACTTTACCACTAGGGTCTCCTCCCGAATAGCCTGCATGTCACAAAGCTGATTCTCAGGTCTGCCCGCTTCAGCTGTTGCCAGCAGTGGCGGAGCCAGGGAAGGGGCATATGGAACTTCAGCCCCCCCTCCCGTCCCCAGCACCCCAAGACATGGATATCCCAACCCCTTTAGCCCCTCCTGAAAAAAAAAATCCGTATCCTACATTACTGATTGTCAGGCAGGGGTGGACGTATGGGTCAGGCTTGTGGGGGAACATTGGAAATTCGACTCGGGAGGGGGGGGGGGGGGGGGGTGGTTCTGCAAAGACATGTAACATCACGGACAGATTTCACGCCCCACACACAACGTCACAAACGAAACTAGTTACACTTTCACCATGAACTAAGCATTCCAACTAGTGTATGCCCATTTTTCTATTCAAAAGATAAAGTTGCCCTTAAAGGTGTTTGTGGTGGGGAGTCCCCTGTGCACCCTTTTAAATTTGGCCGTGTTGCCAGGTCCCTGGAGCTGAACCCCCAGAACCTGCCAGCGCTGATGGCCGTGGCCGTGAGCTACACCAATGAGTCGCTGCAGACCCAGGCCTGCGACTCCCTGCTGCAGTGGCTCAAGAACCACCCCCGCTACCAGGCACTCGTGGCCGAGGGGGCCGGCGCCGCTTCGGAGCCCACTGCCTTTCCGCTCTCCTCCATCATGTCCAAGTGAGAGGCAGCCCTTTGCTCTGCCACACACAGAAACGTGCAGATGGAAAGTTGCGGCGACAAAAGAATCGCTCGGAGACGCCCGTACGTAACAAGAAAAACACTACCGTTGCAGCGAGCAGCACGGCCGGACGCGGGACCTGTTCATTGCGGCGGCGCGCCTCTCGCCGAGCGACCCGGACCCGGACGTGCAGAGCGGTCTGGGCGTCCTTTTCAACTTGTCCGGAGAATATGACAAGGCTGCAGACTGCTTCAGGGCTGCCCTGACCGTGCGACCAAACGTAGGTGGCCTGGGAAAGCTCGTTGCCCTTTGCCTCCTCTGTGGCGTGGTGACCTTCGCTCTGGTCACTTCGCTGGTGCTCGTTAGAATGCCCGGCTTTCTGCGAAGCTGCCTCGGATGCTTCGTCTGAGAATACCTCTAGCTACATTTAAATCTTCAAGCCGTGGCTGCCATTTTAGTGATGGAAGTGAAGCTACAGTGATACATAGGTTTTAAATGTGGAAGTCTAGCGGAGAGAGCTCAGTAAGTTTTTTTTATTCTTGCATACGATGCTCACTGTTTGTGCCTACTTTATGTGCCATGAAAGCCTTAGCTCGAAGATTAGGATTTCAAATAAACCGCACCTTACCTTCAGTGTCCCACAGTTCTTTGAATCTAATCCAACTGAGGATGCCACGAAAGTAATCGTAGCGTGCGTGCGTTTCAACATCACAAAGTTAGTCGGCCCCCAATGGGCGTCCCCGCCAAAGGTTAGATATTCAGCCGCTGCAATATCACCACCATCCCACAGGTCTTTAACGTGCATCATGCAATGTCGACACACGACCGCATGCCGTTACGACGCTCATCCGGATAGAAACGGCCGTAGTGGGATCCCACGACACGTACAGTTTCTCCCGAATGGCGAGCTCATTGCGCATTAGTCGGTCGGAGCCACATGAGCACAGAATAAGACGGTGTCCCCAAAACCCTAAAGGGCCTTTCCTTCCACTAAACCCTCGCAGGACAGCCTGCTGTGGAACAGACTGGGTGCCACGCTTGCCAACGGAAGCAGGTCCGAGGAGGCGGTGGACGCTTACCGGCAAGCGCTCCAGCTCTCGCCAGGCTTCATACGGTCCCGCTTCAACCTCGGCATCAGCTGCATCAACCTGGGCTCCTACAGGTGAACTGCCGCCATCCACCCGTTAGTTCGGAGTGGTGCCAGTCCTCGGGTCACACCAACCTCCTTGCGACAAGAGTCTTTATAAACGAGCTACTGAACCAGTAACTAATCGTGTTGCTGCTTCGTATAAGCCACACTACGTGGAGAAATAGACGAGCGTGCTCTAAAACCACGTCTCGAATATATGGAAACGCACAAAATGTGTCGTGAATGACCTCTAAACATATGCTGCGTGCCGTAAGGTCATATGACATCACGGTGTTGCGTGGCATCGCAAGGTCGCATGACCCCAGCATCGTGCACATTGCGACTCAAAGTCAAGTTCAAGTATTATAGGGTGTCACGCAACACCTTGACATCGAGCTCATGTGAGCGGTATAGCCTCTATGGGGCTATATTGCTCATATAACTTTGACCTGTGCGTCTGTCAAGCTGAACGTTTGCCTTTCACCTTTCTGTTCAAGCGCAATGTTTCGCCTTTCTCACGAATCTCAGCCCTACACCAGATTCTGCGTTAAAAGCTCACGCAAGTCTAGGTTCTCTCAATCGGTTTTCGTTGACTCTCCACTGAATTGTTCTGCGCTCACTCGCCCCACAGGGAAGCCGCCGAGCACTTCCTGACGGCGCTGAACATGCAGAGCGCGGGGAGGGGTCCCCTGGGCAGGCAGCAGCCCAACACATCCGTGTCGGAGAACATCTGGTCCACCCTGCGGATGGTGTTCACCCTCCTCAACCGGCCGGACCTGTACAAGGTGGCTGACCGCAGGGACCTGTCCTTCCTCAACCGGGAGTTCCAGATGGAGTCCTGACTTAACCCTGGCGTCGTGCTGTGCGAGTGCTTCCGCCATGTCGGACCCGTTTCGCGCCCGTGCGTCGTGCGCAGGAACTGATGCGGCCGAAATCCAGCGGCTTCCCAGAGTACAATCACATTTGCGGACGAACGGATTGTTTGCTTCTTTCGCAGGAACAAAAACTTCCGGGGTCTCGCACGACGCCAGAAGATCAACGCCTCCTAGATGGGGCTGTAGTGCTGAACTTTCGGCATCACCCGCAGTGATTGAAGACAGGTGTTGAGGCAGCGTTTGGCTGGAGCTCGTATTTTCACCGATTGAACCTTGGCCAACCGCCTCGATCAGCCGAGGCGATCGGCCGATGCCGCGCCCTGTGTCGATCCCTTTTAGGTGACACCAAAAATTCAGCACTACGACTTTGTTATCTCGGTGTCGGCCTAATTTCGAAGCCCAAAACAATAAGTTGCGAAACTTGTATAAACTTTTTTTATACGCCATTCACCAATCTCTGTTCAACCTGAGAAAAGCTGGCAAAGCTTAGAATGTGGCAACTTCGGAAGGTAGCCCCTACTGCACGCGTGTTTCGTGTGACGAGAGCATATGTGAGAGCTACGAGCTCGCTTTCCTAGCTTTCGCTCGTCGGAAAGAAAGGGCCAACGAAGTATGGAAGCTGAGGAAAATAAAGAAAAGAATGAGAATAAAGCTTCTAAAGCAAGCCGGTTCATCGCCCATCGGATACACAAAGTGTCTGGAAAATGTTTTGAAGCACCAAAAATGAAAAAAAAAAAAAAGGCTATGTCGTCGTCTTGCGTGCGTACTTGCCTGTATGAACTGCAATACAACAAGCGCACAAAGAATGCAGCTCTCTTTCCTTACCCTTGTCTGCAACATCGTTAAAAGAATGCAAGATGCATGGTTCATGATATTATTTGTATAAAATTTTTGGACCCATGCTTGAGCTGTATATATTTTTGTAACGAGTCGGGATAGCCCTAGGTCTTCAGGAGTGTGTGGAGGTTTCTGTTCTCAATGAAGGTATGATTTTTCCACTGTAGAAACAAAAATTTCTCTCCCTTTTTAGAACCAGACATATGGAAATAAGATTTGGATGCCAAAATTGATTGCAACTGCCATGTCACATTTTACACTCGTATACCAAGTATGGATGGTGGGAATTCTACATTTAGCCTTGTAGTCAGTACCGCCTGTGTTGTAAGAAAGCAGGAAGAAAAATCGTGAATGAAAATCAAAATTGTGGAAATCGATGAAACATCATGTTAAAAAAATGCATGAATAAAAAGTGTGTCACCGTGGCATACTCCCGCATTAGCGCATCAGGAGAGCCCCTGAAGGCCCTACCTGATTTTGACTTTACTGATGACACAGCACTAATTTTATGCAATATCTGTGCTGACACAGTATTGGTGTAGGATATAGCAGAGGCAAGGTGTTAGTGGTGCAGTATCATGATCGGGCTTTTGCTAAACATTTGGAACACCAGGGAACATGCTGGAATTGTAGGTGTGCTTGCTGCGCATGCTCCACCCGTCTGTAGAAAAGAAAGTTGCCTTTGCCTTAGAAAATAAGGCAAAGGCACTGCTGTCTACCTCTGCAAACTTGCCTAAAGGAAGTCACTGTTGCAACCATCACACGTAACTACAAACCCAGCATGCTCCTTGTCGTTTAGCTAAAGGTCTATTGTACTCAACACAATGCGAGGATGTGCCCCAGTGCTTGTGACTCTGGTAATCTATTCTCGTTTGAGAAAATGTTCGATGAAGAGCGCAGAGGACATCTACATACTCCACGTCACAACCATCTGCAGCACAGCTAAAAGAGAGGCATGAACTCATGGCTTTGAAAATGTCTCCTATGTGCAAATTCTTGCATGAACAAAGCATTCTGCTGAGGTAGGCTCACGTGGCTGCCTTTGTCTGCATCGTAGACATTTGCAAAATGGAGTATAAACATTGTACTAGTCCCAAAACTGCAAATCTTGTCATTATTGGTAGAAAGTAATCTTTACTGCCTTAAGTAGAAAGAATCAAACTGAAGATGTTCCAATCACTTTTGACAGCTCTCTGAAGATTAAAGGGCAACTCTAGTCAGTATCTTTGAATTTGGGTTACAACAGTTTTCAGCTAAAAGCAGTGTCCCTGAATAACAAGGTATAATTTTTCTTTTTTCGATATTGTGTGTACCGTAAAATCCCGAGAGATGCCCCACCCCCGACAGATAGCCCACCCCTATTTTTGGCTTGGTTTGCTATATATTTTAAACACCGAAAGATAGCCCATTCCTATTAATTGTAGTGCTGGGATCAGTGATGTCCTCAGCGTAAATACATTGCTGACTGGGAAGTATAAATATCTTTGCTTCGTTGCCGGAAGGGACACGGCCTTAAAATAGCAATTTTTCTACTTTTCTTGATTGTACATTGAAAGTTAGCCCACCCCATATTTTCACCCGATTTGCTCGTGATGTTAGGTGGGCTATCTCTCGGGATTTTACGGTAGTTCTGTAAATATCACGCCTCAAAAGTTTGTGTCAGGCGTCTACGGTAAAATCAAAACTATCTGCTAGAGGGATGGCAACGCTGATCATCAGCCGTACGGCCGCGATATGACGTTGCAAAGGTGCTGCTGTACGCGGTACAACTAGGGGTGTCGCAAACTTTTGTCGAACCGGATCTTTAGGTCGAACTTTCGGGGTTCGACTGGGTCGAACCGGTTCGACGAACCTTCAAACTTTTTACCAGATTCGACCGGTTCGACTTGGGACTTTGTGGACAGACATACAAGTATGTCTAGGTTTGGAGAAATATTTTTTTATCCAAAGGGTTATTTTATTTTATGAACAGTAGGAATTAAAAGAAACCAATTCTAATTACCGAAGAAGTTAATAACTTAATTTTTTGTACTGTATTAACTGAAATAACCAATGAGCACTGCCCTTTATTAATCCGTTGGCCATCACCATCCCATCCGAAGCCAACTGGCCAGCCTGTTGCGCGTGCGCACACGAGTCGAACCTTAATACAAGGTTCGTCGAATTTTCCACAAGGTCGAAAAAGTCGAACCTGGTCAAACTCAAACCTCGGCTGGTTCGCGACACCCCTAGGTACAACCAATCGACTGCAGCTCCGCCGCGACGTGATGTCACAAGGGTGCTGCGCCAGCGTTCTTTGACTAAGAGCTAAACCGCTTGTCGCCCGCTTAAAGGGGCCCTGCAACAACTTTTTGCCTATTTTATAATTGTCACCGAACCTGAGCAAACTGAACGTAGTAACTTAGTGAATTTCTTCCGTTTCTCAAAATTCACTTCATTTTAAAAGTTATAGGCATATTAAAATTACAAAAACAAGCAAAAAGTAACCTCCGTCATGACGTCCTTGGTCCTCTGTTCCCCCCTTTTTCCCACACCCGCAGATTGCGGTGATTGGGGAAGATGAGGAAAGGAGGAGAGGCCGAGGAGAGAGAGCTGCCCGGGAATGGGGCAGCTCTCTCTTCTCGGCTGACCAGGACCAACAATGTCACAATTTCGTCACCTGCCGCGCTTCCGTAGGAGGAGGAGGAGGTTTCCACGTCGTGCGGTTAAAATATGACGCACTGATATTTAGTTACCCTCTCCGTGCCCGCTGGTTTGCCCGAACAACAAGAGACGTGGAAACCGCAAAAAAGGTAGACTCTTAAATAGGATTGCAAGGCTCCTTTGAGAGCAGCTGGTCGCACCTTTAAAATGAGATTTAATGGAGCATGCGGTTTCACTTTGACGTAATATTTCGGCTGTGATCATATTTCGAGCCACTAAAGCAATACCAGTCATTTATTTTGGTTTCATTTCCGACCGGAGTGGCCCTTTTAGGATTATCAGACTGAGGCAAATTCAAACCCGAGAATACAAATTCAAACCTGAGAATGATCACGAGTTTATTGAACATCGCTAGGTATCTTCAATAAACGCCTTAATTTACTCGGGCTTCCTGCTTTTCAGGCAATTTCCTGTCAACATTAATATATAAAATCACACGTAATAGTACTTGATTATCATGGTAAATGTGCATCAAAAAGTGAAGTAAAAAGATGAGCAGAGCAAACAACAAACAAAAACTCGTCGGAGGTAAAAAATAGTCGTGCAAAACAAGAACTTGATAGGGAAATGTGCACAAGAAAGCATCATCACACGGTGCACCATCAAGGACATCATCTGGCATACTGCACAAGCACACGCACATCTTTGGAAAAGCTCGCAGAGCTCTGCACCGCCCGCACACTGTCGGCTCGAGCACCTAAGAAAAGAGCAGCAAAAGTTATCACAAATGAAAACAAACGAAGGAATGCCTAGGTGGTTGAATGCCCAAAAAACTGCATCTGTGGGAAAAAAAATCTCGCAACAAGCTGAAAATGCAGTTGAAAATGTCTTTGGAAGGCTCAAGATATATGTGCAATTTGCGCCAAACAGCCGATGCTGGCATTGTAGCTGAAAGCTCTGGTAAATACGAGAATCAACACTTCTTTTTGCCACAAACGTTTTTTGCAGTTCTCTTCTTGAAGAGCTTCCCTAGTTTTATTACATGATTTGCCTAACTTAGATTGCCTGCAGGATGAGTGGTGGTGACTTAGATGCACAGAGTCATTGCCGAGTTTTGCCAGTCGGGCACGGCACAATTTCCAAGGGATTACGTGCAACATAAAACGGAACGTAATTTGCAGTTGGGCATGTTCTTGAATGTGTGTGTACTTTATCCACACGCCTCCAAAATATCAACTTGCCTTCCTCTACATTACCACCGCATTCATTCATCAATGCCCCGGAATAACACGAAAAAAGACACTGCAGCTAGGATTTTCTGTCGTTAAATTTTCAGTGACTTAAAATCGTAAGAGCAGTCGTGCTGTCATCAATCATTAGCCGCAATCTAAGCTGCACGATTTAGGCACGTTTCATTCTTTCTTTTTCGATCCCCGAGAGCTGCCTTGTTGTAAGCATACAAGCATTGAGAGAAAGCAGACTTCGCTTCAGCCAAGATATTTCCCAAGTACTCGACACTTCATAGAGGTTTCAATGCATTGTAAGTATAAAGGTTATACACCCACAGATGTAAAAAGAAAAAATATAGAACAGGACAATTGCAACCAGGAATGAGTGCCAGTGTCTCGGAAAGCAGACACATACGCCGATCGACAAAACCCTTATCGCCCTTCAACCACCGCCTGCCAAGCGTGCCAGTGGAACGCATAACTTGAATCCAGTGCACAAGAATGCCCAAGGGCGTGCCCCTTTCTCTCCAAGGGCCACGACTCCCCCGCCAATCCCCGGTCAAGAGCGCACAAACAACACCACCAAAAAATTGACTAGATAAAAAAAAAGAAAGTGGCTACCCAGTACTGGCGGTACTGGTACGGCGCTGGGAACGCGTCCTCAACCGGTGCGCTTGCCATGCCGTCCCACTCGTGCGTCCAAAGTGCTCTCGAATTGGCAACAAATGACGTCGCACTGTCGGATGTTGCGATTCTGACGGCTGGCAGTAGATGTTCCGGCAAAAAGCACAAAAAGCCCGGCCGTCGAAGCTTCCATGGACTGTCTAGCCGGATAGCTACCTCCAGCAGAGCGAATCTCTTCCGTACACACCTAGCCCTCTACGATGCCATCGAGAGGAAATAGAGGAACCAAATTTGAGGACGCGGTAAGCACACCAATCGGAGACGCCTTCTAAGCACCGCAGTACCGGTAATTGAGGAAAGACAGAAGGGAAGAGAGGGACTGTGTTGCTTCTGAGTTCAGGGCTGCGAGTAGGGCGGGGCCCCATAGCTGGGAGGCAGGCCGTCTCCGCTCGAGTAGCCGTGGCCGGGGCTGCCGGTGTCCAAGCCCGTCTTGGGGACGCTCTGCGTGGTCGTCTGGTCGATGTCATCGTATTGGCCCCTCCCGCCAAGGCCTCCACCACCGACTGCTGAATAATGGTCGGGACGTTCCCAGCTCAGTTGGCTCAAATGCATAGCGCAGTGCCCCATTCAGTTACTCAAGCACCCGACTATAGTCGGTGACAGGTCAAGAATGAAGTGGAAGCTCCTCCCACCTCTTTCCACTTTAGTAGAGCGAACGCTGGAGAGGAGGCGACTCGCTCCGCTGAAGTGGAAAGGGGTGGGAGGAGCTTCCACTTCGTTCTTGACCTGTCACCGACTGTAGTTGCATGTGCCAGCTGATATATAAGGTGTACCCCAAAAAATGTGCAAGTCTTTTCTTGACCGCAAAAATAACCTGTGCATCACTGAACGCTCATTCTCCGTCCAAATCTAGCGCTCGAGGTCAGAACCAGATGCCAAAGTTTCAGCTAGAGCCCTGCATATCCACGGACATCCGCAGTAAACTGGCGGATCCGGATAAAAACCCGCCGAAGACACTTAAGACTGCTTATGTGTAGGAATGCTAAAGCATTCCTACATGCAGTGCATTCCTAAAAGCAGCGCGCCAAGTCTTCCTTTTGCACACGGCACTCCGGCGGGGACATCACGCTCCTCCACTGCGCAGGCGCGGTGCCCCCGCCAGCTTTACGGCTTCCGTGACGAAGCATCTCTGTTGCTGTGCTTTTCTTTGTGTTTTATTTCTGAGGCCCGTCTGCTTTGACTCTGAACAACGCGTGCTTGATGACATATTTTCATGGCCATCTTCCGGGCACAACACCGACGCCGCCTTTCCGTGGATGGGACATATAAGTCTTTCACCTTAAAAATGAATCATATTTGGCATATTGCGGATTGGATGCGGATGTTAAAGGCTGCGAATGAGGATATCTGCGAGTCCGGATCCAGCTTTGCCGAGGGAGCCCATAAACGTGTGCGACTGCACAGTGCAGAGTGAGTAAGTGAGTGATACATGAAGTGCATCATCGAATGTGTTGCGGAGGCAAACTACTTTCCTAGATAAAAGGTGTCGATCGGGGAGAAAATCATTCTTTATGTCAATAAAGATTAGATTCTCACCAAAGATTGCTTTAGATTGTTCTATCAAACCAAAAATACTGTCCATAAAAAAAAGTATAAAATGCAGAACTATCAGTCGTCCTGGGAAGTGTGTTCTTGTCTGGCCGGGAAAGCGCGGAAAACATTCTTTGGGCAAAGAAAACCCAAAACGTAAAAGCCACAAGATACTAGAATAAGCCTGCAAGATGCTTCTACATCTACAAGTATATATTAAGGAGACTGAATTCGATGTTCTGTAGTGGTGGAATTTGCGCCAGCCCGAGTTTCCGGACTTCATACTTGTACTAGCGCAGTTTGTGCATGCCATCCCAGCATCAATTGCACCAATGGAGAGAGACTTCTCAGCAGCGGGTATTAATTTAAGAGTCGAATTAGTCTGAATCCGTCCATATTGACGTTATTTTGTTTCTTCTACACAGCAGCATCGACAAGTGAAACATTATATGTATGCGCATTTTCTTTTTCTCGACAGATGGCACTCAGTTGTTTTTAAGTATAAGGTTCCCAGCATGCAGTTGAGGCATGGTTTGTGTTTAAAACCAAAACCGATAGGAGGTGTCGCCATTATTGAATATTGTGATATTTCCCCAGTGGTGTACTCGCGCTTTACCACATACGTATACACAAGTATTTTGCTGCAGTAAGTGAGCGCCTCTCCTCTCCCACTTTTTTATTGTTTGGCATAAATAAAATGACACAATGTTATTAGTCTGCCCTTTGTCAATTTTCATGTTTATAAAATATGCATCTGCTTGAAATGGGTTCTACAAAGCAAAAAGGAAAATACATATAAATTTCTTTCTTTTTGAGTGCATCTTCAGGACAGTGTGTCCGTGTCACGGACGCCCAAGACGATCCCATAACTGTGATCATCTCTCAAGCGATGCGAAGTGTCTCTGAAAGGATGATCGCTTATTTTATAAATATGATGAAACAGAATACGACAAAATGACTTTTACTGTATTTTGACAGAAAGGGTTATTCATAAAAAGGTAAGCAGACAACTTATAAAATACCATCCATATGTCTTTTTTTTTTAATGTTTGATTTTATAATGTAAAATTAATGTGCAGATTGAGGGTCGAATGCAGTTCTCAATTTTGCAGGTGCGGTTCAGATGCGGATACAAAGTCTGCGGATGCATATACAATTATTTAAGAACATTGCGGATGCGGTTCAGATGCAGATGCTAGGTCTGCAGATGCCGGATGATCAAACTGTTACCCCGCAGGGCTCTAGTTTCAGCCCTAACCGTCGTCTTAATCAAAAGTTATCAGTGATTTTCTGATATTTTCAAAGGGGAAAATGATGCTCGTTTTCACCCGTTTTCGGTAACTGGCGCCAAAGAGCTCCGTCTACTAGAAGTCCATCGGTCACCATTTTCCCTTTGAAAATATGAAAAAATTGCTTCTAACTTTTGAATAAGATAACGGTTGGGGCTGAAACTTTGGCATATGGTTCAGACCTCTAACGCTACATTTGGGGGGAGAATGAATGTTTCGCGATGAATAGTTTATTTTTGCGGTGAAAAAAACCCTGTAAATATTTTGGGGAGACACTCTGTATATACTAGCAAAGACTGACTTGCTGTTTTGAAGGCATCCTCAGAGCATATCATAAGTTACGCTCTCAAAACGAGTTTGAACCAAAAAGCTTTCATTCATCAATGGATCAAGTGCAGCTATACTATGTACCGTATTTACTCGCAGAATGAACGCACTTTTTTTCCCGAAAAATCGACGCAAAGTTAGGGGGGGCGTTCATTACGCGAAGTAAAATTTTTGCGTTCGTATTTACTCGCATAATGAACGGACCTTTTATCCTGAAAAATCGAAGCAACTTCTTTTCTCCTTGCACCCGGCGCCCGACCCCGTAACCAAACTAAGCTGTGCAAAAAAAAAAAAAAAAAAAAACTTTATTTTTTATTTTTTTGGGTTTTCTTTTTTTTTTTTTTTTCTTCTTGCTGCCTTTCGCAAGCTGTTTTGTTTGCTTAGGCGTTGCTTAGGCGAGGGCTCTCCGCTTATATTTCTTATCTCCTTGCGCGCGACGCACGACCTCCCGTAACCAAACTGCGCTGTTCAAAAAGAAAAAAGCTCCTCTTTTTTTTTTTTCACTTCCGTGGGTTGTTTATTTTTTTATTTTTGCCGCCTTTCGCAATCTCTTTTGTTTGCTTAGAGGGCTTCTCCGCTCCTCTTTCTTACCTCCTTGCGCGCGGTGCGCGACTCCCGGTAACCGAACTACGCTGTGCAAAAAGAAAAAGAAAGTTTTTTGTTTTCTCTTCGTTCTGTGGTTTTTTTTTTTTTTTTTCCTTTTGCCGCCTTTCGCAAGCTGTTTCGTTCGCTTAGAGCGCTTCTCTCTTTACCTCCTTGCGCGCGGCGGCGCGCGAACCCGAGGTCCAGACTGCGCTGTGCAAAAAAGAAGAAAAAAAAGTTCCTCTCCACGTTTCTTTTTCTTGCTTCCGTTGGATCTTTGCGAATTTCTTTAACGTCTTTTGCAAGGCGTTTTGTTCGCCCACGCTGCCCATGCATTCGCGACCTCGCTGCACCACGATAGAAGAGTGCATTCATTTCGCGCGCGTGGGGGGAGGGGGTCAAAATTTTGACGTCGGAGTTGGGGGTGCGTTTATTACGCGAGTGAAAAAAAAAGTCGAAATTTTGAGAGCCGACTTGGGGGGTGCGTTCATTACGCGAGTGCGTTCAGTGTGCGAGTAAATACGGTAACTCTTTTTGTCTTTTTAGTGAGTCCAGAATTTAGAGAAATCTTTAGTCAAGGCTCTTTTTAGCCATGGGCCTAAAGGCTCATTCACACTGCACCATTTTCGTACGTTAAGTTGCGTTACGTATGATTCATCGAAACATCCGTGTCTCGAATGTCGCATGTCATGCTTTCTCCTTGAACTGGTAGCCTCGCACTGAGGTCCCAATGACTTCAACATATTATTTTGTAATGTAACTTAACGAAAGAAAATAGGGTAGTGTGAATGTGCCTGTGGCCATAGGGGCCACTAGAAAAGAGGTGAATTTAGCTAACCAAAATGTTTTAATTAACCTTTTATCTATATTATTCACTGGTTTACTCAAAACTTAGTTACGGAATTTTTGTCTGGGGAACGACAAACTATAATAAATTACAAACACTTCAGAAAAGGGTGCTGCACATTTTTAAAAATTATCGTGGTAATGTTTGCAATTCTTATAATATAGTCCATATTTTCAAAAGCATGAATTACTTAAAGCAAACCCCTTTCGTTACTCCAAACTTATGCAAATAATCCATAAAGAGAAGCTTTATCAAATAGATGTCGCTACACACCGCTATGAATTAAGAATTATGAAACGAAAAATGCTGAAGGTAGAAACGGAAGTAAAGAAAACAAAACTTAAATTATGAAATTCCTTCACTACTAAACATTTTTTAGAAATATGCCGACTTTTTATTATAATTTTGTTAATACAAGAACTAAATAAAAAAAAACACGCTCATTCACAACAAAATAGGTTTTGCGAAGCAAAATTTTAAACTCTCATGATGTCAAAGGTTCACACTGAACATATACCTAATGCTCTAGTGTCTGAATCAAGATTTGTTTTATATTTTGTTGTTTTTCTGTGTCAGCATATCTAAACATATTTTTTGTGCCTCAATAATAAGACCAGTAGTTTTTTAATGCGAAAACATTAATTGTCTCAAGGAGCAAGCCGACGTCATCAGTTTGAAGTGCGAAAACAGCACCTTAAATCCTGTCTCCAAGAGCCAGCTCCCAGCTATAAAACCATGCGAAAAGCCTAGACACGGCACCTAGTTTCTCCGATCCCAAAGGAGCGAAGTAAAGCTGATGGCTTTTCAGCTTCAGTCTCATTAGCTGGCGTGCGTCGACAGTGTCGCCAGACACACAGCGCCACGGGGTGGCCAGTGGTTGAAACTGACGCTGCGCGACAGTTTCAATGACCAGCAACCCTATGGCACTGCATGTCCGTCGACGCCGTCGACGCAAATACGCTGCAGAGTAAATAAGAGAGCGGAAGAATGATGTATGTACATGCTTTCGCATTCACAACTTGTAAGAAATGCTTAGGAGCACCTCGAGCCTTTTTTTTTTTCTTCTTTTTCTTGCGCCCATATTATGAATCAAATATTTATTGTGAATATTGGAATTATTTATGTAACATGACATCTTTTTTTACAATGGGTGTGGAATTAATCCTAGATGTCCTATGTTTTCTAAAGGATGCAAAAATATGACCATGATTTTTTTTTGAGCATGTTTCAACACTTTTATGTTTTTAAAGAAATGTGTGTAGACGCTTTACACACGTGCCAAATTACAGCCGCCATTGCTGACCTTCTCTTGTCTTACCGAAATGCCGAGCAACTGAAACGGTAGTTGACGATCCTCTACAAAGGCCACTGCTTTAGAAAAGTTGAATCTAATGTGGCAATAACCTGGCCTCCTATGGTAATGATGAAGTGAAATAGACGAAATAAGAGGAAACAAAAACTGAAGGTCAGTTATGGCGGCGTCCATGCACAGCTGCTGCAAAGCGTCTATATACTTAGTATGCACAAATGTGTCACATGTCTTTTTTCTCTATAATTATATGTGCTTGTTGCAAACTCAGTGGGTTAGAGGCCTTAGTCAGGCAGAAATGCCTTTTGTCTCTTCCTCCCTACCAACCTTGGCCCGTGAAAATCCAAATAAGCTTAATTTCAGTTAAATTAAAAATTCTAATTTCTTGGGGCAAAATGTAGTCGGAGAATTGACGCTCGACCTCAGTGTGGTCTGGCAGCGACATGAAATTCGGATTAAAGCATTCATAGTGGGCGCTACAAGGCAAGGTATGTCAGCCCCGTGCATGGCTTCAAACCAAAACTAAGAGAGCAAAGAGCACACGTGACATTGATCCCCCCGCCCTGCTCTGGCTCCACAACAGACGTGTTCATACTGCAGGTGACGTCAGAGGAGCAACACAAGTGCAAAGTGGAGGGATCGACATCATGGGCACTCTTTGCTCGCTTAGTTTCGGTTTGAAGCCGCGAACAAGGATGACAAGTGCGCTTTCACTAGTGCACTTTCAAGCGCACCAGTGAAGTCTAGAAAGGCGATCGATCGCCTGTCGCATGACAATAGTGATAAGTGAAACGAACTGAATAAAGAAAAATAAAAAGTGAAGGTCAGTTATGGTTTTGTTCGTGCAAAGCTGTCTGGAATCATCTACAAGAAATTAAAATTCCGGAACCTCACAAGACATCTAAAGATATTTCGACTCAATACTAAATCTCAAGTGGCACCTGAACAAAATAAAAGTATTTATCTTCTTTGGAAGCAACCTGTGGAGATATGCCACAGGCGCAAACTTGTCATTTCCCTCTTCGTCATGCAGCACCCTCTCATTCTTGTTTGCGCTCCAGCCATGTGCCCTATCCCCTAAGAGGCGGAGCTGAGGAATTGCATAAAGTGCCTCATGACTTGTCACATCAAGCTTCATGAGCCAAGCAGCCACGAAGAAAATGGAAATGTCATTAGCAGAAAGCAACCGCAGAGGGCAATTTTCAGATCAAATCCTCGTTGTTTTCATTTTGAAGTTGGTTACTCCGTCGAGACCGTGATAAGACTTTTCTGGCTAGTGGGGTCCATATTAGTACTACACAAAAAAAGGAAATGGCACAAAACAAAGCAAACAAGCACGAGCAGACCGGTAAGCAAACAAGAACATGGGTGGTGGGGTGTTAACAATGAGTGGACTTACCTCCTCCAAAGTTGGGGATGCCGAGGTCTGCATAACGGCCCCCCCGTTCGTTGAAGATCCTCAAGAGCAGGATGCTAGAGATGGGTCGAAACAGCAGCAGAACAATGGCCATGCTGCAGTCTTGGTGTCAGGGAAATCACAACTGCCAATGCCATCGCCTGACCCGATACACCACGTCTTCAATGGACCAATTAGTACTCTTATCTATTTTTCAACAAAGTAGGCTACTGCTGTGCCATCTTCGATTACTACCATTTTGTCTACAAATTAGAAACACATAGTGCCGTCTCTTGTCCCCTACATCCAACAATGCCAAACCAGAGCAAAACTGGCAAGAGTGGGGTTTAAACTTATGATGCTTGAGCCTGCAGTGCAAGGTTTTGCTCCACTTGCAACCGAGCTGTGAGGTGTCAGCAGACTTGCTTATTTAAGTCGAAACTTGCAAGAATTGGGCTCAGCCCCACTACTTTTGGGGTCTGTAGCACAGGTAAAACCATGGCACTTAAGCACATTAGACCACCGGCCCCCTTTTCTTCACTCTGCTTTCCCATTTTGACGCCAGCTCACGGCTTGATAGTGGCTTTGTGATAGTTCTATGTCAGACATGTCAACAGATTATGCTACAAGTCCTGCTTTCTGGAAGCTTCCTCCTTTGGAAGGACAATGCCAAAAAAAGATACCCGGCACAAAATGTGAAAGTTGATGGGAAGCTCATGGCGAGTGTTATGATGTCCATGATGATAGAGCCCAGGTTTATAGCCAGTGCCTGCAAGACAAGAAACGGAACACACAGAAAATATGTATCGGGCACCCTACGAGGTACCCTTCAGACAATAGAAGTTGCCCCTTTGCTGCACTAGCGTGACAAAAGCAGTGGCAACACAGAATGTGATGTGTTAGTGTGGAGAAACTGTGAACACGTGCAGAGACTGAATGGTGCAAAGCGGCCCTGCTTCATGCGACGTAAGCATGTGAGTGCTCCGAGGATGTCTTATTTATGGGCACCACTTTCTGCAGTTGCAGAGTAAATGCTACTTTCTCGGAGCCTGTTGAAGTGTGAGATGCATTAGACGGAGCGTACGGAAAACATGCGGCAGTGCCGTGCAGTCCTGGCACTAGTTTGCAGCAAAAAAGAACCAACCAGTCGGACTATCTCAACCCGTTGTGGCAAAGGGGCGTGCTTTTTTTCTCTGCTTTTCTGTCACTTTCTTTCTTTAGCTTTCTCTGGGGGATCCAGAAGCGCACTCATTTTACGGAGCATAGCGCTGCTGTATGTCTAAATATGTGAGGTTTCAACCCTGCCGGGATTAAGACTGGGGCACTTGAAGAGAAGTTTCGGCTCGCACTGGTGTCCAATAGTGAAAAGACGAGCGCTGCGTGAGCGTTAAACTGGCAGTCGGCCTTTCAACTTCCATTGCTGGCATTTAAACAAATATGGTTAGATGCAAACCATATAACACATTTTGTGTTAAATATATTAACCCTTCCCACCTCCAAGCAAATAAACAACATATGCTGTACCCTTGAGAGTTAGAAACATTTCAATATATGTATCCCCTACTTCCGTGTTGACTCGAAATGCATCCAAGTTCCACTTTACCACACGTCAGGCTGAGCCAACCAATCAGGACTAAGTCACAGTCACACTATACTAAAATGTTTTCCACTTGCAGTTAAATGATCCCATAAGATGTGATTGCTAGGTTGTTCAGTGACTGACAAAAAATGTCCAAGCTACAAAGCTTACCATAAACACCGGCTCCTCAGAGTCCTTATGGTGAATGGCCCATGCCAGAGTGAGCAGGTAGACGAGGTTGTAGTAGAGGTACGCTTGTGGGGCCCATCGTTCTTGAAGAGGCCTGCGCAACCCGTTGAAACCGTCGGCTACAAAAGCACCGTATGCACAGTATCCATCGAGTTACTTACCACAACGAGAGGAGGAGGTGAAGGAGGAAGATCGCCTGAAATCGGGAAACAGATATACGTATCTCGAGACGACGACCGAAGCACCGACCCTCACAAACCACCTGCGCCGAGCTTGCTTATAGTTACACCCTTAGCCATATGCGTTTGCGCAGCTCATCTACAGTCGATTGCAACTAATTAGTTGAGCACCTGACTAGTTTACGGCCCAGTGTAAACAAATTCAGGATAAGGTTGAGGGTGCAAAAAATGGGTTTGGAGAATAGCGTACTCCCACGATTATTGACAAACGGCCAAACCTCCGAAGAGGGGAGTAGGCGTTCCGCACTCACCTTCAGCTGGAGGTTTGGAACAGAAATCATCGTGTTTCTTCGAGAAGGCGGCAGACGGTTTACACGCGCACGCTGGAACAAAAACTGATCGGAGAGACCGATAGCAACAACTCCCCAAAAAACTTATCGCATGTTGTTTTTTTTCCCTCTGTTTTCTGCGGCACACTGAGCTAACGCGACGGCGTCACGGCGTAGCAGAGGCGACGATCCTTGGACGACGACGATAAACAGATGGCGAAAATGAGGATCGATAGATGGCGCGGAAATAGGAGTTCTAGTGTTGCCTTTAGAGGAACCGTTATCGACTTGTATCGTACAAAACCGGATGGTAAGTAATGAAAGTAAACACAGTGTAAATAAAAATTTGAATTAAGATTACAGTGCTTGTTTACTTGTCACGAAAATGTAAATTATATATTTTATTTGGAGAAAAAGTTAACGAACGTCTCCTGACTGAGGCAAGTCTGGAAAAGTCGAATTACATCATCAGAGTGTCGTAAAAATAATTAGCCGATATTCAACGCCCATTATTACTAAAACTATATTGTTCAGCACCCAACTGCAAAAGGCCGCTTTCGTCACGTAAATTATTGTTTTGAAACAGTGGCTAGGTAGCGCAAAACACCACCTAATAAAATGATTCAGCCGGTTTAGTGACGTCTACTCATTTCTACATCGATAAGCCATATACGGCTCTGCGATAAGCTTGCTTGTCCATCCATACATCAATTTCGTGAATTTCGGCTTGGTTTTCTTGTGCACGCTGCTTTCTTCGATTTCTGATGCTACTGATGCAACGCCTGATGTAGGAACGGTGAGCAGAAGTGACAAGGTTAGTCTAGTTCATGAAAAACCCAAAAAGGTACACTAACTTTGTTTCTAGACACTCGTAAAACGCTTGTGTGCAACCTGTCCCCCACACACAGACCCATACAACTCGGATGCCTTGGGCACCAAGTTGCGAATTAAAGCTCTAATGGAAGCTATTATATCAGAACCGCTCACTGCGTTCTTGCTTAATACTTTCAGGTTCTCGAACGGTGTCCGCGATGGCCCTCTCCCTCGCGATCAAGCTTGGCGCAACCGAGGTTGCAGCCGTCGCCAGAGCAGTTGGGTTCTGCAAAATCCCACAGAGTAAGTCTCCAGTACAAATGTATGGGTGCTTTTGTTTGCAGTTACTATTTAGAAACCGACCATTACGAACATCGCGAAACTCCTTTGACGCTTACTACAAAATGTTGACGCGGGAGCGTGCATCTTCTCTTCAATCCACCATTTTCTGAATGAGTAAAGCTATACACCAACTCATCTCTGTGACGTCACGGCGCGGTGGTGGCGCGTCGGTCGCACCTACGGTCTGGGGCTGTGGGCAGAAGTCCCCATGCCAGACGTGTATTCCTGCGTTGTTTTGAAGGAAACCAGACAAAAACCTGCCTTCTCGTCAAAACGCCGGGACTGGGGCCGTGCCAGTAGAGTCGAGAAAGGTTTGAAGGTCAGTTTTCACGTGCTCGGTTCGTCCGAGAATCTGGATATGTGCTGTGAAAAGGGAAAAGCAGACGCCGTCTGACAACGATTGCTTGGGCGGGAAGCACTTTGGGTTGAATTCACGGATACTTGTGGTTATCAAATTTATTTGTTTTGTTCCAACACGAACGCCAGAAAACCATCAGGCTGTGCGGACCACCTGCGGACTACGTTCAGTGCATCTTCAAGTTCAGGGGGCCGCCTGATCGTTCAAACTGTCGTCTGCTCTTTCAAACGTTCCTGCTTGTCGTCTGCTCTTTTAGACGACGCCGGCCCTGATGTTGGCCCGGTACTTACTATAAGAAGTAAGTGCAGGCCTAAAAAGACTTAAGTTTGAAGGTTGGTAAGCAGGCTCGATGTAAACAGTAAATACAAGGAGATGTTGATCATCGTTACCAGTGACCATCACTGACTTGCTATGCCTAATTGACTTGGTCCGATTCTGCTTGCGATTTTCAGTATCGACGTCGACCATCTCAGCTACGGTTCACGCTTTTGCAGCCCGAGCGGCGTGGCGACTGAAAATTGTGAGCGTAATCTCATCATGCGAACCAGGTTTTAGCGTACATACTGCGGCGTTCACGCAGAATGAATCGCCGCATGTCACATTATTCACGCAAAGTTTCACGGTGTAGCGAGCCTCGGTAATTTCGCTGACGCTGCTCAAGTAGTCAGACATCGCCTGGAAGACGTAGAATCAACAATTTGGACGCGAAAAAGAGCAGGGGGACTCACACTGACGCCGACAACATCGCATTTCAATGGTTTGTTTATGGGTGACGGCGAGCTTTTTGCCCACGCCCCCATCGCGCATGCGCGGCGCCGGTGGTGTCCGCTAGGGGCGCTCTGGTTTGTTTGTAAACATGAGTTGGTGAATCTTCAACTTAGAAACTCTAACCAAGCTTTATTAAAAAGCAAAAATCCCGACGTTCCGTTCCGGCAAATGAGACCCTTTACTTGGGTCTCATTTGCCGGAACGGTTCAGCGCCGGCCTTTTATGGCCTGCCGAAGGTATACAAGCCAGATGTCCCCCTCCGACCCATAGTGGATTTCACCACGTCTCCGTTACGTGCGTTGTCCAACCATCTCCACCGACTGCTGTCGCTTTTAACCGGGAAGACCGACACGTACGTCCAAAATTCTGGACACTTCATCGAGCTCACATCGGGCCTCGAACTGCGGGACGACGAGAGCCTTGTCTCCTTCGACGTCATGTCGCTTTTCACAAGTGTGCCTGTGCCTCTCGCAGTGTCTGTGACGCGGGAGGCCCTCTCGTCTGACACGAGACTCTCCGAAAGAATGTGCCTTGAGGTGGACGAGATTTGCCGTCTACTGGAATTCTGCCTATCCAGCACTTATTTTTCTTTTGCTGGCCGCTTCTACAGACAAACCAGTGGTACGGCTATGGGTGCTGCGGTGTCCGTCACTGTGGCAAACCTCGTAATGGAGGCGATCGAGAGAAAAGCCCTGGACACTTTCTCCCCAGGACCCGTGTGTTTCCTGCGGTATGTCGATGACTGCTTTTGTGTTGTAAAGACCAGTGAGATCGACCGTCTCCACACACATCTCAACTCCATCGAGCCAGCGATTCAATTCACGATTGAGCACGAATCAGATGGCTGTCTCCCTTTCCTAGACGTCTGTGCAGTGAGAAAGTCCGGCCGCCTGGACTTCCGTGTGTATAGGAAGCCGACACACACAGGCCGATACCTGGACTTTTCCTCAAGCCACCCTAGGACACATAAGTCTTCCGTGGCTTCGGCACTCGTCAGACGGGCGATCACGGTCTGCACATCAGAGGAGACCCTTCGAAAAGAGATCGAAACGATCAAACAAGACCTGCGGAAGAATGGCTACCCAACTGGATTTGTAAAAAGCACGATCAAAAAAATTCGACGCACCCCTTCAACCCAAGACGCCCCCCCTCCCTCCACCCGCGTGTGTGTACCCTACATCAAGGGCACAAGTGAGGTTCTCGCCCGAGTACTACGACAGTACGGCATAACGGTATCACACAAGCCAGTCTCGACCATCGGCGGCCTTCTCCCCCTGCCAAAGGATCGCCCCCCGAGGGAGAGGGCACAGGGACTGGTTTATAAAATTCCCTGCGATGACTGCCCCGCGTCGTACGTTGGGGAAACGAAAAACTATCCAGAGCGCCTGCGGCACCACCGCTACGACATCGCAAAGAAAAATGTGGAGGGAAGCGCGCTGGCCGAACACGTCGAGAAGACGAACCACTCCATCGACCTTGACAACAGCTCCATCCTCGGAACGGAAAAAAACTGGCGGAGGCGCCTCCTGTTGGAGTCGTGGCACATTCAATGCACACGTGGCAACATAAACCGGTAGACGGGGACCCTTCCCAGCAGCTACGTTTCGGGGTTAAGAGGGATAATCCGGAAAACACCCGGGGGTGTTCGGGTTCGTGGGCAGGCCGTTCCGCGGGACAAAAACAGTCACCCGTGATCAAGGGACCGAGTTGGTTGCGAAACGTCGGGATTTTTGCTTTTTAATAAATCTTGGTTAGAGTTTCTAAGTTGAAGATTTATTAATCATTCCTAACCAGACAAATGTCCGTCGAAAATGTCTACATGAGTTGGTGTATACGCACCCCGGAGTGCGCTTCGGACGGAAATGGCTATACGCACTCCGCTTTTCTCGTTTAGAACGAATGGTCACGAGTTTTCTAAGCGGCGGCATGGTTTAGGAGTCAAGGTGTCCGCTTCATACGCAAGTGGACGCGGGTTCGATCCGCAATAGGTCTATTTTTTTTTTTTTTCTCAAACATTTTGTTTTGTTGAGGCATTTGGCGATATTTACGACATTTCTTTTTTTACGATGAACAGAAAAAAAAAGAAAAAAAATTGAATGTCGTTGAGAAACTTTGCAGAACTAAATGGTATGGGACTCCCTTTCTGGAGGTGCGATCGGAGACAGCGGGGCTTGGATTGCCGGCTGGACGCCGCGAAGCGGCGTGAACGCAGGCGGGGGGCTGGTTAACGAGCTCCCCAGTGATACACGCGCCGTTCGAAAAGGGTGGCCCGAGCGGCATGATCTCTCGGAGGAGTGCGTATAGCCATTTCCGTCCGAAGTGCACTCCGGGGTGCGTATAGCTTTACTCTTTCTGAATATGCCGCTTCCGAAAGTAACGTGCTCAGCGACGTTTGAACCACTCCACAAGGGCAGAACAAGCGACACCACAGAACGTGCAAGTCTAAAACTACATCAGGTGGTAATGAAGTGGCATTAGTGGAATTTCTAGTGTTTCAACTTTTGTGGTCTTTGTATCTGCCGTTCCACAGCTGCCAAGAGAGGATACACTTTTGAAAGGTCTCTATTTGCGACTCCACTAAAACGGACGGCACCTAGAGGGAAAACACCGAACTGGACGGAACAGTCCTTTCATGATTTCTGCTATCTCTTATGGCTTCTGTGGTTACATGTTTTCGGCGGTTGGTACGATGGAACAGTTTTCCCGGTGACACTCTTTATTGTCGGGTCAGCGTGTTACCCAGGTCACTCTGAACGCAACCTATGCAACTGCGTGAGCCAGACATTGTGCATTTATCGATGTTGGTCACCACCGTAGGACAGTAGGCAGTCATTCCATCGCTTCCCCGAAAGAAGGTCAAGCATCCGGAAGCTCGCTTATGCCACCATATCCCCACAGGTTTGAAGGTTAATGAACAAAAATCGAGACAAGTCATTTTGAGCCCAATGCTTGTCTGCTAAAACCCACGCATTGAGCTGACACATGCATAACACGACCCATTTTAGACTGCCATATTTGTCTGCGAGACTCCAGCGACCGCTATAGGTCGCAAATAGGGAGTATTCTCTAGAAGCCATAGCTGTGTGTGCGACTGCTATTCTCAGTTCTTTTGCAACATGCATTCCGCACCATCAAGATTGCCAGTCTTAGTAGCCTATTAATGTGAGCTCGTTCCGAGCATGCGCTCTAAACAGTGTCCTCAATTACGGCGTTTAGTAAATTCCCCTTGCACAGTCAGGGACAAAAGTCTCCAGGACACGCGAGCTGCGATTGAAACGCATTGCTCTGCCATCTGCCGGCGGGTCGCCTGGTTTCGAGATCACAGAAAAGCGCATGCGCGTCCTACTGTGCCTGCCAACATGCGCGCTTTCCCGCTCTTTTGCGGCACGGCGCCTAACTCGGAATTGCGCGCATAGTACCGCCTTGGAGATAGGGCTTACTGACATGGCACCTATAAAGCAAGAAGTCACGGCAGCTCAACTGAGCGATAAGCTGAACTGGTTATAAAGCAAGGTGCGCTGACACGGCGAAATGCAGCGCAATGCCCCAGGCGGTATCTGGAGTTTCGGAATATGTAGCAGACGCTCGTCAGCTGCCAGCGCTATCTTTGAGGCGGTACCACGTGCCCGATTCCTAGTTGGGTGCTGTGCCGCAGAAGAGCGGGAAAACACAGATGTTTGCAGGCAGAGTAGGACGCGCATACGCTTTTGTGTGGTCTCAAAACCAGACGACCCGCCGGCAGATGGCAGAGCAATGTGTTTCTACCGCAGCTCGCACGTCCTGGGGACTTTTGTCCCCGACTGTACATGGCTTGCACTGATGTCATATCAGCGGGCATTGTGAAGGGCCTTGCTGCTGCACACAAACCTTTTGCAGCATATATTTCGTACCACCAAACTTGGTTTTCTTGGCAGGAGCAAGTGGGAATGACCATTGGTATGGTGTGATTATGTCGCATTGCAAGCCGTTTATTGCCAGCGCTGCTGGTTCGAGAGGTTTTTGGTACGAGCTGCGAGCACATATGATGCGTGCGCTTCGCTCGAAAGACTGCCGCCTCAAGCAAGCCCTTGTGCACCGAAAAAAATTCACTTCTACCAAAAGCTCTGTTTACCTGTTAGATGCACTCAGGCTTTTCTTTACCTTCCACCACAACCAACAACTGCTTGTTTGTCCATTTTGACAATATATGTATGCACTCTGCCCATTTTTGCAGTTGTCTGGTGGTTGACATCATTGTCCATAATAATCTTCATCCTTTTCAAAAGCCTCTGCTTGCATTTCCACAGATAAGAAACACAGTTCAATATTCTTGTGGAGCATTCATAAAAAGGTGGACTCCCACCACTGCTGCTTTTAACAGTTGCACAGTCACCCCTCCATATTGGAGGCACGAACTGCCGTATGTTGAGGAAAACCTAATTTGACCTCTTATATTTCAAATGTTTCCTAGGAACTGTCTCCCAAGTCAGCTGCCAGAGCAGTTCCAGACTGTCGTCTCCTCTCTTACAAAGAGGGCTTTCCTTTGGACTCGTGGAATGCTCACCGGCGAACCCCGCTGCAGGGCGCAGCGTCTCCGTTCCACCAAGAAGCCCCAAAAAGCCCGTCGTCCTGCCGACACTCCAGACGCTGTTGGACTACAATCTGCCGTCACTGGTTAAGCCGTCTGCTGCCATTGGTGACATCAAGGCAATCATTGCTCCGACGACCGACGCAAATTCAAACGGCATCGAGAAGTCCGACCCGACCCCGACTGTAGAGAAACGGGCGGCGGCCCTGATCCAAATCCGCAAGAAGAAAATGAAGAAGCACAAATTGAGGAAGCTGCGCAAGCGGATGCACTTCCTGTGGGCCAAGCAAAGGTTTCGCCGGGAGAAGAAGAAAGAGCAGGTCTTCAGGGCAGAGCTCCTGGCACAGATCCACGAGGCCCAGGCTTTTGATGCCGAGAAGTATGTGACAGGCGTCCTGGACAAGATTCGGAACCGGCCCCAGCCGGAAACGCCCGAGGAGAGGCGAGAGAAGTTCCTCGAGCTAATGAGGAAGTACAGAAGCAACGTCGAGTGGATCAAGCCAAAATTCGACTAGGGACTCTCTCTTTTTTTGAGAGTGCAACAAGTTCTTAACACACAGACCGTGATAGCGGTGCATAGCGTGTAGGCGAGACCCGCTGGGGTTGTATTAAAGCTGTCGTTGTTTTGTTGTGCTTTATCTGTGCCATTTTTTAAAAAAAAACCAAGAAGAATGGGCCTGCCAAGGTCAGGGTGAGCTGTCAAAGGCCGTTTTCATAAGGGATGTGCTGTAGGATTGATACATGCACTCATATCACCTTCCTCACGTGCCATCAGTTTTCCCAAGGTGTGTAGGTAACATGGCGCCACTTCCCCTGCTAAATTGATTTCACCTGCTAAATTTAGCGGGGAACCTGGATTCGTGTCTAGGGGTCACAAGATGTGTATTTTCCCGCTAAATATAGCGAGTAACAATTTTTGTATAGGTCTCATTACACCAATTTCCTGCTAAATTTAACAAAGAAACTGAATTGATATTTTGGCCACAAGATGTTAAGTTTCCTCCTAGATTGAGCAGAGAAACTGAGTTGACATGTACACCTTTCCAGTGGCAGTCTCAAACAAAGCGATTTACAGCATGTGTTCCTGGTTTTGAGAGTATATGCCAGTGTTGCCCGACTGCAGTGGGCTGTGGGTTTTGTCGGTGGTGGTACAGTGTGGGGGACGTAGTGCAATTCCAGACGCTGGTGGCGGTTAAATAGCCGGTCTTTTTTTTTTTTTTTTTTTTTCTTGACGTCTATGGCGAATAGATTTTCTTTAGGTTTTTAAGAAAGCATTGTATTATTTTTGGGAACAAAAACAAACAAATGAAAGCTATTTTTGGTGAGTTTGTGTGCTACAGAACAAATGCAACTGGAATGTTTGTTTCATTTTATGTTGCTTTTTTTTTTTTTTTTTTTTTTTTTTTCACGACGCCGTACATTGAGTTGTGTCAGTCTTAAAGGTCTTAACTGTCGAAAATGTTTGAGCATGCAGGATAGCCGAATTGCGTGGGTATTCCCTACTCGCAGCATGAAATGCAACGAGTCTCATCAATTGAAACCCATTACTTGTATGTACCCCACGGTGCAGCGTTGTCCGAACAGGATTTGAGAAAGCTTTCATAACAGCATATCCAATGTACGGTGCCGATGACAGTCACTTCATAACGGTTACATGAAATCGGGCTTGTTTTGGGGCATGTTTTGAAGAGCTGCTTTTTTTTTTTTTGCACAGCACCACAGCAAATGACTGCACGTGTCTATTCCATCCCCATACCCTGGACCCAACCCTGTTAGCTATTTTTTGCGAAAACCGGGAACATAGCCGAGAAGGATTTTTGGAAATTATCTCGATGGAAATAATCCTCGAAGGATGTCGAACAGGTCGCGTCGCAGGCTGCTTGACGTTCGCTTTCTTTGTTTGTCTCCTGTGAAAGCCGAGCAGGCTACGAGCCCTGGTATAATCTGGTACTCACAGTGGCAGATAACACATAAAGGGAAAGCATCCTGAACAGGCAAATTAAGTAAAAAATCTTTCAAAAAGAGCCGGCGAACTTTGTCTGCACAACGCAGGTGGGGAGTCGTATTGACCGGGTTTCCACAGTTCGGGCGGGTAGTGGGCAGAGAGCTCTTTTAGCAAAGGTCTATAGGTCACATTCTGTCAATTTCCCCAAGGTGTTTATGTCGAGTGACGTCATACAACGCCACTTTCCCCCCAAATTTAGCAGGGAAACTGGATTGGTGTCTATGTCACGAGAAGCAAGTTTTCCTTCTACATTTAGCGGGTACCTGTATAGGTCAGGTGACGTCAGTTTCCTTAAACGGGCCCTGCAAGGGCTTTTTTACTGCTTTTTTAATTCGCACCGAACCTGAGCGCACTGAACGCAGTAGTTTAATGAAACTTTTCTTTTCTCGAATTTCAATTTATTTTAAAAGTTATAGGCAAATTAAAATAACAAAAACAAGCAAAAAATAATCTCGTTCATGACTTCGTTGGTCGCTTGAGTGACTGTGACATAGAGAAGGGATAGTGAGCTCAGCGAACGCTCGTGGCTGCCGCACTCCGTGTCGACGGCTCGAGAGGGCGCCACTAAAGCATGTATGAAGCGGGCAGCCAGGCAGCTCGCATTGTATTTGCTGCGCGATTAAACACTAATTCGGCATGACACTTTATTGGCGACAAACGACAACAAACACGAAGTAAAGATCAGTTCAGAACGGGAGCCACTTCGCGCTGCCATACCGCCAAACGGCCAAACCGCAAGCCAAACCTGCTCGCCGAAGGCCTTTGGAACGCTCGGAACCGGTCGGATCCTCGAGCCCGTATACGAACGCAGTGCCGCCGCATACATTTGGGACCTTTCTACATTCGCCGCTCATCGGTGCCTGATCCCACTACACCTTTCTAGTATACGCTGCCTTTTCCACCGCTTGGTGGGGGTATGTCGACGTGTCATTTCTTGTTTCCGTACTTTATAAACTGCATTTGCTTCTTTTCCGATCTAAAATACTGAACAAAAACAACTTTTATAAATAATTGAAACGGTTCGTGCCACTTATAGTTTGTATTTAGACTAAAAAGAAGCTTTTAGAGGCTCTGACCAGTAGTAAATCCAGGACCAAAGACTTCACATATCGCACACTTTCGGCACCGCAAGTCTCTCCCATAGGTGGAGGAGGTTTCCGCGTCATCCAGTTAAAAAAAATTGCAGTGGCTTAGCTCAGCTATGCCAGGATATACATAGCGTTAGCTTATGCGCACAAAATGAGAGGCGCTATCAAGCAGCTCCGGTGCAGCGTCAGACTTGGCTACTGCGCAACTGAGGCGCACAACTGGGCACGCGGCTATGACATCACTCCTCTGGAATGCGCAGACCGGCGAGGCGCGCGCAGCGGAGGCGGAGCGCGCCAGCTGTGCGCCGTGTGACGTCGCTGCTCCTCGCGCTTGCGCAGCACGGCTCTTTGGGAGCCATGCGAAACTGTTCAACTTCGGCCAGTGTAGCTCGCGCTACAATATGATGCACCAATATTTAGTTACTTTCTCCGTGCCCGCTGGCTTGCCCAAACCCCAAGAGACGTGGAAACCTCAAAAAAGGTAGATGCTTAAATATGATTGCAGGGCCCCTTTAGGTCACGTGACGTCGCACGTCGCCACTTTCCCGCCAATTTTAGCAGGGAAACTGAATTGGGTGTATAAGTAGGGTTCTTCATTTTCAAGTAACGCCCGATATTACCCGATTTTTGCACCCCAAACAATTTTTATGCAAATTGGGTTAAACCTGATTTCTCCCAGAATATTGGTCTTGAAATCGGCTGAATTTATGAAAAATAAGAACAATTTTAGATCTGTTTCAGAACTGCTTCTTCGGTCTCTCGTTTGATGGTAACAGACTTTTTCGATTTGCGTTAGTACCTCTACATATATTCTAGGCTGACCACCCGTCCCACGACTCGCAGGACTGTCCCGCATTGGGGGCTCGTTTCCCGTGTCCCGCGAGAAATTCCAAAATCTTCAAAATGTCCCGCATTTCATACTTGTAAAAATCACTCCGCCACTCGTAGTGCTGCCGAACAACGGGGACTGGGAAAGCGCGGAAGTCACTGGTAATCGTGTGAATCGAAATGGTACGCCATCTTGTATCCAAGCATTGCGGGAAGCGGCTGTCGTTCTTGCAGGAAAACCGACACGCATGCGCCATTGTGCCTGTCCCGCTAGTGGTAAAATATTGTAAGAAGAATTTGTTGCCAAAAGTTTAAATATAAAATATTGTAATTATTTTCAAATTGCTGTGTCAATGCGAAAGGGTTGCTGTGGATTTTTTTCTTTTAGTCAAGACAGCCACACTTGCGACGGTCGAAAAAGGAGATATAATGTTAAAAATTTGAGTAGGACCATGTTGATTAAAGTAAGCATTGACAGGAAACCATAACCAAAAAAAGATTTACTGTTGCTTATTTCCCTTTGATGCATTGAGTTCTGATACAGTCGATTTTTATGTTTTCAACTTTGACACATATAATAATATCACTGGGAGTGGACATTATTGGAGCTTAATTGCTGCAATACAATTAGCAGGTGTATAAACAGTACTGGATAATAAATGTGTTAAAAGAGCCTCAGTTCGCTGTGTGCGTGTTAATAAATATCCTCTACCCCCCTGCCCCGCATTTCGCTGGCAGGAAGGTGGTCACCCTAATATACTCGCTTTAGAATGAGTCAGAAGGTGGAAATATACTGTAAGATCGAGCACCGTTGCTATATCATATACTTTGTCAACTTTTGTTTGTGTAAATAACAAATTTCAGGTACTTGCCCTTCATAAATAAGAACCAAGAAAACCCAAGCTCCTAATGGCTTCAGAAAGACACGATTTCTCCCTGAATATCAGCCTGAAAAATAGCGCCCGATTTTTACCCCCCGATTTTTGAAAAACATAAAAACCGAAAACGAAGAACCCTATGTATAGGCCAGGTGACGTCATTTTCCCGCCAAATTTAGCGGGGAAATTGAAGATGTGTATACTGTAAAATACCGGGCAAGCGCCCACTCAAGATTTAGAGATAATCACAAAAAAATGGGGGATGGGCGCTTGTCCGGTCATCAATTTTACATATCAATGTATTGTGCATATTTTCTCAGACCTTACAAATTTGGGTATGGGCGGTTGCACGGCATTCTACGGTAGGTCACATGACGTCAGTTTTTCCGCTAAATTTAGTGGAAAAATTTAACTGGTCTGCGCGTCCTGTGACGTCAGGTCACGCAACATCAATTTTCCTGGTTTAAGAAATTGAATTGGTATCTAGGTCTCGTGATATCAATTTCCTCGCTAAATTTAGTGGGAAATGCGCAGACGGATGGACAAAATTTTAGGAATTTTGGGCTCGCTTCGTTCTACAGGAACCCTCGGTAATTAGTGGCTTCCTTACCGTACCAGACCATCAAACCAGTAGTGAGGGCATCAATTTCCCATAGCTGGTGCGCAGAATGGGACAAAGAATCAGAAAATAAGCTTCACTTCACCAAGCCCATTCTTGAATTATGGGGGAGTGCCTGTTTAAAGAACTGGTCCCAGGAGGTCTTACGTCGTCTTCGTATTCTTATATTACCCCCATATACCTCGCTTGTGGGAAAGATCCTCAACTCTGTACACACTACGGATATGATGTATTGAACCCACACATTCTATGGGTGTGCTCCAATATTGAGGAAAAACGACGGCATCATTTTCTCGAGTTCTTTTAGATATCATGCACCTTTTCACCCTGTTCTTTTACTGGAAGATCATCCTGTCATCTTATTTGATCCTGTAGTCAGTTTTATTTCTAGCTCTATCTATGCCAATTTTAAAACCACAATTATCCGTCAGATTACATGCCATACTAAAAATTTATGGTAAATTGCTAGGGCAATTGTGTTGCATAAGTGAAATGTTCTAGCATCGCAAACATTTAGAGATACCTTGCTTCAAGATGCCAGGTGCCTACGCATACCACGTGTACACTGGATAGTTTTTCCCAGAATGAAGCGGTACTACCGCTAATCGGGCTGATAAACCTGGGAATCTTCCAGAGCTTTCCATACTCTGGAGCTCCTCTCCCTCAATGCACACAGGTGGTCGAGCTCCTCCTCGCCTACCTTTCTGTTCACATGACCTCCCCTTTAACCAATTAGCGTTGAGCACTTCACTCCTCCTCTTTCACCCGTCAACCAATCAGCGTCGAGCCTTGCGGCCACGCTTTTATCTGGGCTTCACGAAATGCCAAACACCTATCCAAAGAATGTTTCACGTTAAAAGAATGTGATGCACAACCTATACTTCGTTTCACCTTATGTCCAGACACAGCCGATGCTACGAGCTGATGGGACCTATTGGACGGCACCAAAAGTGCACCATCATAATGTTTGTCATGTTTCCGTACATGTTCTATCATAGCTGAACTATTCATAAACAGATAAGACCCAGCGACTTGTGCAAAACAAACTATATATAGTTTGGCACACTTTAGCCTATGTTGCATTTTGCAGCATAAAACCCTTAATCATCATCATTATCATCAACTACACAGTAGGTTTGACCCCCTCAAACATGGAACTAGCTGTTTAGTATAGAAGCAAAAGAAATGGAAACAAAATGCAGATTGATGAAGTGACTGTACGATCTGCTGTTAATGATTATTTTTGATGCATATGGAATCAAAGGCAAAATAAATAGTATATGTTCAACTGAAGTTACTGAAATATAGTGAAAATAGAATAATTTTGATCACTCAAAGTGATGTTTCGTTCCAGTTTTAATGGGTGTAAAAAAATGGAATGCTTAGTTCAGATTAAATAAAGTAAAAAGCTTTTGTCATTTGGTCATGAACGTCAATGATGTTTTATGTGTAGGACTTCATAACAAAAATTGGCACATGAACGATAAATAGGCCTTCTTAATATAAATCCACTGCTCCAGCTAATTCATACTTGATTTTCTTATTGACTATCCGATCGAAGAGATAGAAGCAATATAAAGGCGATAACTAAACAAAACAGTTGACAAAAAATAAACCTAAAAAACAATCCATATAAATCTCCTTGTAATACCCAAATATCCTTGCTAAATCCCGACTTTCAAGAAGCTATCGTCAGAATATTGCCGTCCATCATATATAATACCTCCCGGTTTTACATTCAAAATAAATTGTAACGTCCCGTTTTGGAGGAGTGCTTTCTCCTTAGCACGTGGGTGCATTGCGGAGATGCACATAAAACAAATATTTCAAAACGTCCGAGTACTGTCAGTGTTTAATACAGAAATGAAATCGATTACATTATTTGAGACAATAATCGCGTGTTCTGAAACTTTGCACGAAGACACGGTAACGATTACACCGTGTAGCGGGGCCTGAGCTATTAAATTTTCAGTATTAATAAAGCAAAATTACGTTTTGGTGCACTGTTGGCGCAAATATCACATTTTGACAAACTGTAGCAGGGTAAGCACTTGGACGCTGGCACAAGTGGCGCAGCAATCACATCACCGCATTTTCAGGTGACGTGCTAACAGACATTGGCATCTTCCCCAAAAGCGTCAGTGGCTGCTCGAAACAAATATTTTTCCCACTACAAGCAGTCATACGCTGCTTCTGTCAATGCTGGAATGGCTCTGTGCGTTACAGTCGAGTGCATGCTAAAAGCGAGTGTTCGCTGGACTCCTTTTACAATGACAGAAACTATAAGTTGTTTTACCCAGCTCGTGCTGATGATGACTTGCCCTCCTATAATTATTGACAAATTGAGGACAGCAGGGAGGTGGTTTTGCCTCCAGCGCGGGCTTCCTACCTTCGAAAAAGCTACATCTCGTGCAACTTGAGAGCGTGTGCGCAGCCAAAGCACTGTGGAGGGCACGGAATGCATGCTGAAGGCTGGGTGTTCAAAAAGCATGCCCTGCCAATTTCAGCTTGGCAGTGATTATATATATACTATAAACTCTTTTTGATGCTGTGCAGAAACAAGGTGATTCAAAGGAAGAATAGTTTTTATTTGTTTTTGTGGTTTTTACACAGTGAAACACACACACAAAAAAAAAATCAGTGGTAACTTTGTATGGGAGCAACAGATGAGATCAGAGTCATGACACACTGAAACAACTGCACCTCTTGGTGGCATGAGGGTGACTCAACTTTCACCGACCCTCGGGCACGTCCTGTTCACCGAAAAACAAAGAAAAAATTTAAAAAAACAATGTGGGGAAAATGTTCACAGAACTTACAGTGACCAACTAGCTTCGTTTGAGCCAGCGTTCCCCACAACAGTTCCTCAACATGACCAAAGCCTCGTCCATCCTTGCATCACCTTCCCTTGGCTCCTCTTTCCGACGTACTCAAGCTAGCGTGGTTAGAAAGGTAAACCCAAAAACAGAAAGACAAAACAACCGCTGCAAAAATACTCAGTCGTCAAAAATACCAAGGAACTGGCAGTAAATATATATATATATATTTATATATACCGTGCTCGTGATTAATGTGTTTATTTCCACGCTTTTGTTTGAAATATTTTGCTTATATCCCTTTCCAAAAAACAGCTTTCCTGACTGCGTAATTCTACCTATGTTTATAGCGGAAACATTTGTAACCCTTATTACTGATTTCGTTATATATTACATATATATAAAAAATCGTTAACACCGGGCTCTTAACAAACTCTACAAGTGACTCCTAGGTAGAAATTACAAAACAGCTATGGACACCACAGATGGATCGAGCAAGAGAACAAGGGGTCGGGGGCCAACAGTAGAAAAATGGTTGACACGAAAATAACAGATCTCAAATCTTCTCTGCGGGCTCGGGTAATGCAACAGGGCTGCTGGTGTTGGTACGCACAATCAGCCTGTTGTATTTACGCTGGGTCTAGCCGTATATGTACACCAACAGTGCTAAAAAACGAACCAGAACAAAAAAATATAACCTGTTGTGCTATCACGATTATTCACGTCTTCCAATGAAGGTCTGAGCACGGATATAGTGTACATGCAGTATAGACACAGACGTGGAGAGAGAGAGAGAGAGAAATTTGTGCGACTACCTTTCATATCTATTTTTTTGCTCTCCTCAGAATGAGATCTTTTAGTGTCTTATGTGCAATGGGATTGAGTTGTGCATAAAGCCCATAGGTGGGGGAGGGGTTCACATATACATTTAACACGTCAAATACCACCTCGTAAGGAAACATTATTTCCTCTGTAAAGAGATTCACTCCTTCCGAGATTCAGAGTGAAGCACGATGTAGTGCTGCACACAAAAGATCACAGAATTCGTCTGGAGGGAATTACTTGCTTTGTATCGATGGGATAAAGGCTGTAGATGAAAGACTTGCGAAACTGGTTTCTTTAGGTTGATTTTTGAGGATGTTCATTTTGAGTTTAAAATTTTAAACCTAAATATCAAAATGGTGCACCAGAGAAGCTTCATCTTTGGTCTTTGGGCACAAAAATTTCTTGCAGACTTCGTTAAGTGCTTCAGTGAATGTCAGCCTTGATTTGTTCTGTTATGAAGTAGCGTAAATGTCTTGCAGCCTCTGCCATGCTCTCATGACTGACTTGTTACCGAATAATAAAAGTGAAGCTGAAGCTGCGCCATATTAGACGGTAACTTCTGGCATTACTTTTAGCGATTCGGGTGAACGGTGTATGGCATAAAAAGTTGAAATGCCCTCCGAACTGCAACACACTAAATGCATGTTACAATTTTATCCCCCCCCTCCCTCCCCCCATTGAAATAAAGTCATCACGACTTTAGCAGTTCTCCTTGCACCGAGGCTTGCCCAATAAATGACTGATCAATGGTTGATGACACAAAAACTGGCATTTATGTAAAGCCAATCAGTGAAACAAAAGAAGAAAGTTTCACCACAAGTTTGGTAATGAACAGTCCCTCGGTCCGCTGTGCATACAAAACTGACAATTGTTCAGATCTCGCACCGCACCTTCAAGAGCTAACGACAGCACCTTGCTAGCTAGTAATTCGCTTCTGCAGGTTTGCAGACAAATGGATTCTCTCTCTCTCCACAAAGCAAATGTGTTGCAGCAAGATGGCCTCTCTCTCTCTCTCTACAAATAACTGAAACGCCTCGTCCTTTCCCACAACCAATGACATGCCCCCCCACCCCAAAAAAAAAAACACATCTCTGGGGCGTTCATCACACTTGAAGTTGGGAAGCGGGGGTGGTGGGTGGTATTTGTACTGATATACTTCACTCGAAGTAGAGAGACGATGAGAAGAGACTAGCAGGTAGCATAATGGGAGAGAGAGACAGCCTCAAGACAGGGACAGAACACTACCACGTCTTTCTTTGTTGTTATTGGGGAGGAGTACAGCATGTGAGTACAAGTGTTATGTACACATGGACACTCTTCCGAGGTTACAACGAGACTGCACGCCTTTACAAGACTGGAATGACACTTTGGGGTTTGGGGGAGGTTCCGGCCACTGGGACAATGCAAGCCGTCGCGCGACGCACAAAGGCGGATGGCGAGGGAAGTCGGCTCCTCACACAAATGGTTGCCATGTCTCTCGAGTGCTACAGCCTAAAGCGAGCTAACCATAGCGGAAACCCTTGAGCCTCAGTTAAGGAACGACTAGTGGTTTTCTTTTGACAATTTGGCAGAGTAGACCTGGGAGTTTAGAATGTAAACATATCATTATTCGCTTGGCGGCAAATAATGCTGCAGTGAAGCAGCATGGCTTGCCGGTTCCAGTCAAGGGGGCAGTCGCAAGCAATCACTCAAAGTTTTTTTTTGCTGTCTTTCCACTGTACCTCAGAATATGATGCTTCTAAAGCTTGATGCTAGCAGTCTTAAAATATGCTTTTCATTCTTACAGGAGGTATAGATCCTTGTGAGAAGTTGCTCTTGAGGCACATTCTAAAGTACAAAGGGCCTGATTACAGTTCGCTCTTGGGTTGGACTAGCAGTAAAGGCTTTGACTCTACGTTCGCTAGGAAGGTATGAATATGTTTCTTAGGCATGCGGTTATTCATAGGTTTAGTGAGCGGGATGCACTATATTCGCTAGAGCATCGCATATGTGGCAATTGAAATAACTACACTGAAGAAAATATTTCATAGATGTCAAGTTTGGGTAGTAGTTTTTTTTTTCTTTTTGGCAAAGTCGATTGCGTTAAGGTACCCAAACCCATTATCTGGAAAATTTAACAGCAAGTAAAACAAGGATGAAGACGGGGAATACTGTTTAAAAGGTTCACCGTCGCATCCAAAGAACAAGAAACGTGCCAAGTATCCAATGCAACAAGTCGTCCGACTGCAACAACCGATGAAAAGAGAGTAATGCCCGTTGAACGTTTTCGCGACTACCTTTACTAACTCGTACACACCTAATCTGCCTCTTCTAATTTGTACCTATGGCATGGACATACAGTAACACGAAAAACAGACGAAGCTCAGAAGCGTCTTCCCAAAGATGCAACAAGCAGCGAAAACACATGTTTGATTCAACATTGCAACAGCATACGTCCTGTCAACGAGCACATGCTTGTGCAGTAACACGCCGCATGCAAGAAAATCACTGGGGTCGATATGAAGCATTACATATTCCATGAGAAACACAGTGCACCCAATGCCCGTGAAAGCACTGCCCTGTTTTGTAGGTGAATGGCTAAACCGGAAAAGGTATAAAACACTTGACTCGAAAAAATGTGGGAAACGAAAGCACAATTTTCACTCGGGTGTGTTTTGATTGGCAAAACGCCACACTGCCATTCCTACGTCCGAATGGTTCAACGTCAGCCCTCCTCACGATGCCTTCAAAATCGAGACTTGTAATTGAGACAACAGCAATGCACCTTTTATGAAAAAGCCAAACGAAACAAGATTCATCGATAAGGTCCGTCATGCACCTTGGACAGAAGTGTGAAGTGTGGAGTGATTGACACTTCCGCGGAACATGGAACAAAGCCTGAAGGCAACACTGAGCTCCTTCCCAGCAGACAGCGCTTCGAAAAGTACAATGAAAATAAGTTACTGACGAGAAACACGCATACAAACAATGCTCTTTTGTGTTTCATGTGTTTCATGAAGATGAAAGGCGTGGAAGGTCAACCCCGGGAAGAAGGGCTGTGGTTTACAAACATTTGTACCATATACCATCTTTTTCTAGTGTGGTAAAATGAACCAGGAACTGGGGAAACAAGTGGTGTGAGAAAACAGGCAAAAAGCATGACTTATGGGGGAAAAAAATAAAACTGAAACCTGCTTGACAGAAAGCACGAACCCAAAGGGCAAGGGACAAATTAAGAAACACAAAAAGATGTCTCTGCTACAGAGGCTGCTACCAGCAACCACGGATTTCTTTTTTGGCAGCTCTTGTCAGTAGCGTGCAGAGTATTCCTGGGCACAAAAACCATAGGTCCTCTGTAATGCTCCTCTTCAGTGGTAACAATAAGAATAAAAGAGCCGACAGAAGGTGTAAGATCCAGGTAAGACGGGAACAGGGAAGTGGCGACAACAGAACACCTGTGTCGCCTTTTTCTCCGAGCGTTTCTCGTCGCTTGAGCTCGCACTGCTGCAGTTCAGAGAAAAATGGAAGAAAGAAAGGACAATTGCATTTTGAAACTCACTTTGCTAGAACCTAATCTGCAAAAGGAATAGTCTTTTGCAGGTTACAAACTACAGGAAAGTGCAAAGGAACTCGTGTAAAGATGGTGCCTGGCAAGGAGGAAAAACCTGCACAGGCCACACTATTCATTGCTAGCTCCATTTGCATTGCTTGAAGCATGAGCAATAATCCAAGCACTCTTTTCCCACAACTCTTGCTTCATTTTTAGGTGGCTGATCTGGGCATGCCGAATAATAGGGTTGTGCGAATATTGGAATTTTCAAATACAGTATAGACCACTTACAACGTAACCGCTTATAGTGCAGGACCGGGTATAACGCGGTTTTTTTAAACCACCGGTTTGCCTCCCATAGAACTCCATGTAATTACATACCGCTTAAAATGCAGGCGCGCGAAGTGAAATACCGGTTAGAGTGCGGTTTCTGGCACAGCCCGGCGATCACGCCGACGACCGGAGCAGCGAGCACGCTTCCCTGTGCGACACTAGATAGCGGCGCTGACGGTGCGAGCCGCAAGCGGCACTCGCAAGACAAGGCAACACCACCTGGACAACCGCAACGACAGACCAATCGCAGGTCAAGAAGTGTTCGCGCGCGTTGCATGCCGGTCGCGGGCCGGCTGCTTTTATCCGCAAACATGGCGTCGGTTGTGATTGTCGTCGTAGACGGCGTTCATCTCATCGTTCCGCGTAAAAGCGCTATCCTTGACTGTGAATTTTCGTTGTGTGTCGTTAAGATAACCCAGCACGTACGTCGTGGCGGCGCTCTCAAGACGGCAGAAACACCCGTGTCGTCGTGTGTTTACTTCGACTACAGTGGTGATTTCTAAGCATTTGTGTCCTCGAACATCGCCCGGATTTCTTATTTGGCGCATTTCATGTGTGTGCTCAAGTTCAAGGTATTACTGGCGCGTACCGTATGAAGGATGCGAATTTTCACGCGTTTTCATCTTCGGAGAAAAGTGATTAGGGTTACCAATCCTGAACGCTCGCAACGTCCGTCTCAACCCGCGACGCCGTTAAAAGGCTGCGCCAGGCAAAAGTCGCTCATTTCTTTCAAAATGTGTGACTCACTTGAGAGAGAAGTGTACTAGTCTGGTGAAATAAAGACTTTCCTCAAACTAAGCTTTATTTTTCATCTAACATAGAAATAAATTCTTTTACAAAGGTAAGTCAGTTGTCTCATGGCATGTATTTTGGCCTGAAAAATTGATGTTTTGGTTATAGTGCGGTACCGCTTATAGTGCGCATTTTTGCGACTCCCACGACATACGTTATATGCAGTCTACACTATAGTCGGTTGCAAGCTAAGAAAAAACCGGAAATGCCTCTCAGAGGAAAATGTAATCCTACGCCGAGAAACGCCAGCCAATCGTTTTCATGACGTCACGATTCCGTGGACCAATCGCAATCCTTTTGAAAAAAAAAAAAAAACAAAAAAAACTCAATATGGTTGCTGGCCTTAGCAACGCGACGCTAGTTTCTCGTGACAATTATTCTGCTTTTTTGAACCGTGTTTTACGTGCCCGAGGTTACGCCACGAAATCTTAATGGTATCGGCTTGCGTTTGCAGCAGTTTTTGCGCGACAACGTGAGAATCCAGCGACGCTATCGCCAACGAAAATTTCGAAGCGGGCGCGAGGCTTAGCACTGCTGAGAGGTATGTTAGACGGTATGTTAGACAGCATCTTGGGCAGAAAATGAATTGGGAAGACGGTACATTGGACATGACTTTCTTTCTTTACTAAACAGCTATTTCGTTGACAAAAACATATTCTGACTTATTTAAATGTCTTGAATGAATTAAATAAATATTGTAGTAGTTTAAGACACGTTTTCTGGAGGAAGAAAAAGCAACGTTGCTAGCGAGCTACTTTCTCGACGGCGGAGGCACTTCAGGTGGGCGCAATGCGCTTGTGGGTGGAGCTAAAAGATTGTTCTCAGGTTGCATCCGACTATAGTATTTTTGAATAATATGCTATTCAATACTCGCTTCAAGATGAACTGCAATGTTCATATTTTTGTGTCAATTGTGTCGTGTCAATAGCAGTAGGTTAGCCCTTTTGAGTGTGCTTCTTACCAAGCACCGGTACACTGCAGAGAAACAACACCCACGGAGCTTGCTTCTACGGACGTTGCTTCTCTGAAGTTCACCGGTGCTCAGTAAGAAGTGCTCTCAACGGAGCTGCCGCGATTAACGCTTTGAGAAGTACAAATATTAGATTTGCGTGCTTAGGAGGAAAGTGCAATTTCAAAGTAGGATGGTGCATGTGTGTGCCATCCTAAAGGAATTGAAAAGCTAATTTTAGTGTTATTACATTTATGGACTGTCGCCTCATTAAAGTCCAGTACCTATATTGGGATGGCTAGTAAACGACGCATTTGACATAAAATAATACCTATAGAGATGCCCAGCTATACCTAATCGAGGGGATTTGCAAGTGAAAGTTAGTGGCATATAGCAAGCTTGCTATATGCCATTAACTTTTCTTCAATCTCGCATCTGAGAAAAGAAAATTTGCGTGGATGATCACGCAACGTGATGCGAATGGACAGCGTCAGCTGATGTGACATTTCAATGATAATGCACCGTGATCGACTAGAAGTTCTGGTGATGTTGCAGCACGCGGTGTCTCGCATAACCCATAACTGATCACAAGCAGGACAGCTAGCACCAAACACGTTCTCGCGGACACACTGCACAAATTGCTTGGTCGCACCAGAGTGTCTATTCTTCGCTCGGTAAGATTCCCTTCTACGTTCCGCTTCATGTTCACACATGGCATGATCTTGACGTCTGATGCATTCGATCCTAGCACCCAGGATGAGACCGCCGGCGCCATCTCATCGACAACGTTTTCTCTCACAGGGGCATTTACGCCGTCGAGCAGCCGCTGCTTGCTCCGGCGCGTATATTTTGACCGCCCCATTCTTGCGCACAAAGGCTTAGAGCGCCGAGGAAATAGGCGACCGGAGGCAAGAAAGAGCAGGCGGTGAGGAGTGCAATCTTTTGATCCTCAGTTCAATTGCGATTGGCAAAACACGCTGTGCCTCAACTGCGGCTATTATTGGTGAAAGGGCGAAGGTATCACTGCCATACTCGCCCTCTTTCAGCGCCAAGGTCACCTGCGATAAACATGCGCATGCTCCATACGTTTTTGGTAACACGACACTCAACCAGTGCAATAAGACCAGTACAGCTGACGCCGTAAAAAAAGACAATCATGAATGACGAACGCAGGCTGTCAGAACATCTGTGACTAACATGTACAATAGCCGCAGTATTATGTACAAACTTTCACTGTAGTGTAGAGCATTCACAAAGCTTCCATTTCTTTTTAAATACATCAGGCATGCATGTGCACCACCCTACTTTGAAAGTGTCCCAGGCGAAAATTTCTAACTGGGACCAGTTGGCACCTCAACTGGTTTCAACTGGGACTAACTGGTACCAACTGGGAATCAACTGGGACCAATAAGAGTCCAACTAAGACCAGCTGAGGGGTCAACTGGTTTGAACCATTCCCAGTTGGGAGTCAACTGGTTTGAATCATTCCCAGTTGGGAGTCAACTGGTTTGACTCCCAGTTGGGAATGGAGTGAACTGGGACCAGTTAGGAAAGGAACTGGTTGGAGCGATTCCCAGTCGGACTTCAAATGCCTTTCCCGTTCCCAGTTCACACGGGGCAACAATTTTGACAAGTTGCGGCTGTACTGACCTTTGCTAATGAAGAAAATTAAAAACACTTACATTTTTAGATTGATACAAATAGGGAAATTTTTAATTACTGGGTACGTTTATATATTTATAAAAATAATATAAAAATTTTAATTAACTAAATAATTTTTTTAATTGGAAAATATAATTAGTGACAAAATGTGTTCACCCAAATGAACATTTAGTGCATTATTAAAATATATTAAACATTTATTAAAATACCTACAGTATTTTTTTTTTCTTTTATAAATAAATTTATCTTTTGGCCAATCAGCTAGCCGGCCGCCGTGGCACGCGGCTGCGGATTAGCGGTACGCGCCGTCGACAGATGGCGCAGCCTATGCTGACGCCGGCATAGGACGCCGGAGTCGGACGGACGCGGTAGAGAAGGGTCGCCATCGCCCAAGTTGGCGTCGTTATGAAAACGTCAAAACTACAGCTGCGCTTCTTTGGACCTAACTGTACACACACCATGGTGGCAGCGGTGAACTTCGAGGATGGCAAGATGCAGTTCAGCGATTGGAGGGCACCCAGGAAAGACCGGACGGAAGAGAAAACGCTGCGGAGAGCACGATGGCAAAAATGGCGGGAGGTCTACCTCGAAAATGTTCGACTGTTGTGACAGAGATTGCAAGGTGGGAGCGCTACCACGTCCTATCAGGACTTCACCTGCACAACGCGGGATCACGCGTGAGCACCTTTCTTCACGCGATGGGGAGAGAAGCTGAGGACGTCTTCACTAACAGACGCCAGCGGCCGATCTTCCTTCATCTCGAGAATACTACCTCTGAAAAAGCTATTCAACCGTCGCAAGCAAGTGGCTAAACCCGGAGCGTGTACGTCACCGAACCTATTATTTAGTTTCATTCTCCAAGTTTTTGACAATAAAGTCTTATCAACCTTCCATTTTGTGCTGTGTTTCATTGTTGCCGGAGTTGGTACCAGCGGTAACTGGGACCAACTCCAACTGAGACCAGTTGTAACTGGGACCAATTCCAGCTGGGACCAACTCCAACTGGGACCAGTGGGACAACTCCAACTGGGACCAGTTGCAACTGGGAATTGTTCCATAAACCAGTTGCAACTGGGACCAACTGGTCCCAGTTGAAAATTTTCACCTGGGGTGCTTTTGTCCTAAGCATATGCGACTGTCACATTTGTACTTATTTAAAGTGATGATCGCGGTAGGTTAGCCCCATCGAGAGCGCTTTTTACTTAACACTGGTGCACTGCAGAGAAGCAGCACCCGTGGAAGCGAGCTCCCCAGGTGTATTTATAGTTCTTGAAGCAGCACTTCAAAACATACAAATATCGCAGTTCATCCTGAAGCGAATATCGAATAGCATATTATTCTAAACTACTATTCGAAAATTAGAATATTCGCGCGCACATTCCTACTAGATTCAGTTACAGGCTTCAATGAACATTATGATGGACACTTGCAAATTCTAAAGCACAAAACAAAAAGGACAAAAACAAATGCATATAAACAGATACCAAATACATAAGTTTGTTTATATTTTGTTTTTCTCCTCCTACGTCTCGCGTTTTTGTATCCTAGATCGAAATGAAATCTTCATGCGGAATTGCCTAAGGTATTTTTGGCTCAAGCACCCGGCGTGGAGCGGGAGGTACGGCCAGATACACACCTTTCAAGTAGTGCCCTCCTGGAGGCTAGAAGGCAGTTCCTGGGATTTTGTGGGCAGCCTGGGCGGGACCTGAACGGCCGCCGCTGGCCTCTCTCTTTCGGCAGCTAAGGCACGCTCGCTCTGCAATCTGTAAGACCAAGTTGCCTTGGAGTCGTCTTTGCAAATATTAGAGCCACTAAATGAGCTCTGCTTCTCCGTTCCCCGATTTTCTTGTGGGTGCCACCATTTTTGTGGTTATATCGTGGAGAGTGAGTGCAATCAGCGATCATTCAATTAAAAAAATGTGACTTCCTGAGCTTTAGATGCGGTGCCAGGAAGCTCCGATGATATTGTTTTGCCTTGGTGGAGACTGTTTAAACATTTCTGGAGGACGGAAAAGTGTTTTCTGCGATTTCAGATTTAAACCTCAGGTAACCGGCAAAAAGGATTTTAGGCACCAAGTTGGTCAAAGTGTTGTTACTCTGAAACTTGCCAATGCACCGCTTAGTAGCAGATGAAAGACAGCAAAAATATGGTATTAGAAATGTGTGGCAACATTAAGAGTTGCAATTGGTTGATTAACACAAAGAGTGAACATTTCTGTTTTTAGCTTTAGTTCTTCCAGCAAAAAGTTCATACCTATATCCGTCCTAAAATTATGCTTCAGAGATAAGCGAGCTGGTGATTCTTATCTCGAAAACGACTTGAGACTCGCGGACATAAGAGAGAAAGGATAAGAGAGAAGATTAAAGTAACAATGTCTGAGACTGAGAGATACCCAAATTTGTGCACCTTTGTATGCACCCTTCACCCCCGGGCTCGTTTTCAAGATAAACAAATGTCTTATATTTTTGTTCATGTCAACAGGCTGCTCCCACTGCTATATTTACATAAGAGAATGTGACATCATATGATCCTGTCAATTTAGTAGTAGTTTACGAAAACAAGTCCCTGCTGTACAGAAAAAAAACAAAAAACATTTTAGGCAATTCAAATTCTTTTTTTGTTCTAGAAAACAACTGAATATATGTTACGAAGAGTACTTAAAATCTTTGGTTACAATATATATCAACAGCATTCTGCACTGAATACATAATTATATTAGAAAGATAAAAAAAAAGGACTTAACACACCACAATACTCATTCACCGGCTGTGTTTTATGAGCCAATTTGAGTTCTCCAATTATAAATGACAAGTTCACTTATGAAAAAAAATAACGCTTTAAGAAAAACAAAAAGGAGCATACAAAAGATCTTCTATAGGACGAGTATTCACAACGCTAACATTTTCATGTGCCATAAAGTATCGATCAAGCACCCATCAAACTATAAAGATAACTAAATTAAAAAGCAAAAAAAAAAACAAAAAAAAAAAAACACTAGGGATGGGTGTTTGTTTGGTCCAAAAAAAAAATGCAGAAGGGGCACATGATAAAATGGGCTTCACTGCTTTGCACCAGGGTGCTTGAGGGAAGTGGCTTATGAGGAAAAGCCCACCCTTGGTCACCTAGGTGTGCTGAGAAGTCTGGCAGGGCGTCCGATATGTCCTTTCCTTAATTTTCAAACATTTCAAAGGTAGCAGATAGGTGCACTTGTTGTGTCATAGACACGTGCTTGGTATCTTATGGTGCTGCTGATTTAGTATGTTCAATAAAATTTTAATAATAAAAAAATATAAGTAAACAGGAGAAAAGAATGTCTTCCTATACCTAGCTGCAATAAAAATTCAAAGACAGGTGACCTAAACGGCAACATAAAGTTGTGGAATCATGAATTTAAAAATGGTCATCGAAGCCAATAATCCTGCTATAGTCACATTTTCGTGGCACCATAAAACCCTAATGTCCCAAAGTCAATTGCTGTGAAAAACGTCACATTATTCATGCTTCCTTAAGTTCGTCAGTATCAAGACCTTGCAAATGAACAAATACAAATATTGAAATTAAAACTTTGTTGTAACATTCAGAAAGATTAATATGGCCTGAGAGGGAACACTCACCACTTTCCCATGTAAAAACTCCCACATGCTGCTTTAGAGTTTGAGAAGAACGCCACAGTCAGTGACAGGAAAGAAAGATATACAGGCACACGTGCATGAGTAGTAGTCGGAAACCGAGAAGGAAGGCCACATAAGATGAATTCAGCGACACAAACATAATGCAAAGCAAATACTAGAAACTAAAATCTCTCGTAAGAGAAAATCTGTTTGATCTTTCAACAAGCTGGAAAGTTCATAAAACTGTTAACCACTATCAGATAAGGTAACCCAACTTGAGGGTATATAATAACAAACTAAGTTTATATGTGTTTGAACCTTAATTAGGCATGTGTGAATAGTGGTTGTTGGTTTTCAATAGAATGTGAATAGGTGAGCGGCGTTTGTCAACTTCCGGTTCCCCATGAAATTTTGTTTCACCGTTGACAAACGACGACAATGAGCTGCATGCCTGTGCAAGCATAATTCTGAAACCTCCAGACTTTAGTTTTCCGAACCATGCTTAGACAGGCTTGCAGGTCATCGTCGTCGATTGTCAACAGCTAAACAAAATTTCCTAAGGAGCCGGAAGTTGCCAAACGCCGCTCACCTATTGAATGGCCATGTCACTGCAACCATCTTGAATAAAATGAAACAATTAAACATATTCAATCAGCAAACTGCTAAAGCAAATGCCCCAATTAGAAAAGGAATATGATGACTATAATAGGTAAAAAAAAAAAAAAAAAAGAAAGTCGCTTACAACCCCTTGTAACCGAATTAGAGTGCAGCTCTTGAGGAGGAGGAGGGAAGGGTACTGAGGGGAGTGTATACCCCTCCTCCCTCCTCACCTCCTCATCCTGCGTGCTACTCCTCCCTCCAAGCGGCGTCGCCGTCAGTGTAACCATGAGGTCACGTGACCCTCATGAGCTCATGTGACCCTTGTGACCTCACGGGGGTTACGTGACATCGTCGGGGTCGTGTGTCGACGGGGGTCGTGACCTCACGGAAGTCATGCGACCTCATGGGGGTCGTGACCTCACGGGAGTCACGTGACGTCATCAGTGACGTCATCACGATAACGTCATCCTCATCATCACGATGACGTCACCAGTGATAACATCATCAGCAACGTCACTGATGACATCACCAGTGACGTCATCGTTATGATGACGATAATGATGGGGATGACGTCATCGTGATGATGTCATCAGTGACGTCATGCGTCCCACAATGCACCGCGCGGTTATGCCGACGCCGCTCAAGCCGGAAACGGGCGCTTAAGAGCTGCTCTCTAAAATTCAGAAAGCAATTTTTGCTTGCTAATGCTGATATTGCATGGTGGCCCATGTGCCAGTTGAAAATTCCCATTAGCTTTCAATTGGAATTTTCCCATTGGTACCAATAAAGTTTTCAGACAACTAATTAGTCAACCAATAAGAACCATTTGGAACCCATTCAGGTTCCAAGTGGAAAAATAATTCCAATTGGTGAGACCCATCGGCCTGCGTGCTTCCAGTTGGAACCTACAAAAACCAATTGGTTCCAATTAAAACCAGTTGGAATTCTAATTAGATCTAATGGGAATTTTTAGCTGGGAGGTAATGTTGTGATATGAAATCGGCAATTCACCTTCCTTGGCAGAAGTGGTGCCCCTTGTTGGAGACTAGATTAGACTCTAAAATTATGTTAGACTCTAGTTTAGGTTAGAAAATTTCTACCAAAAAATTTTATAACCATTAGAGAATTTCTTGGTAGAAAAATCAAGGAAAGAAAAGACACCAGTAGGAAGGTGAGGGAACTTCTTTGTGCTAGCTTGGGGGAAAAATATAAGCCACAATGGGCACTACAGCGATGTTTCAGGAGCTGAATCTAGGTCAATGTAGCTCAATGGATGTAGCGTCCTCACTTTAAGGAATGTTCGATCGCACTCACTTGTGCCATGCCCATGCAGCTTGATAGCGAATAACTCTCAAACCGGTGGTCCAGAAAAGTGTCGGTAACGTTTTAATAAAGCTTTCACATGCCCCTTTCAAATGCTTCTAAATTTATAAAGCATATTTATGTTTTGTAAATTTGTGCAAAAATAGATAAATAACTTGGGCTAGAATAAATATACCATAAAATCCCGAGATGCCCAACCCCCAAAAAGATAGCCCACCCCCGTTTTCGGCCTGATTTGCTATATTTTTTTTTAAATACCGAAAGATAGCCCACTATAATAGTAGTGTTAGCATCAATGATGGCCGCGGCGTAAATGCGGCTAGTTCGCTATGGTGAGATATTTCAGCGAACATTGCTGGACTGGGAAGTACAGTCATCTTTGCTTCATTGCCCCTCACCACTATAAAAAGCTTGGAAGGGACACGACCTAGAAATAGCAATTTTTTAAAACATTTCTTGATTGTACACTCAAAGTTAGCCCACTTCATATTTTCAGCCGATTTGCTCTTGATGTTAGGTGGGCTATCTCTCGAGATTTTACGTAAAGTATTTTTGTATAATCACTGCAGTACATATAATCTTATTTTGTATGTGTACCTCGGGGAAAATTTAAAGTGGTATGTGCTACAAAAATGTTCTGCTAGCAACCATATGGGACCGCTCTGATTAAAGCTCTTCCAGTGCAAATCCCAGGTGGTTTCACCTACAAACCACTTATATGACTAGACCTAGCTGAAAAACAAATTTTTAGACAAGTGATACACCCGGACAACAGGACCTTAAGATATACTTTTAAAAAAGATTTTCAAATCTGCGTATTTGCCCACCCCGACAAGCTTTTCATACCAAAGACATGCTTCGAAAAAGTGGCACTTAAAACACCACCACTCTGGATGTTTTGTTTAGGAAAGTGCATTCAATAGAACTAACTAGATAGACAAATACTATTTAATATAAGAAATTTCCCCAAGATCACTATTTGTTTCGATACTGAATAAAATATCCTGATGTATTTTAGTTGATATCCAGAAGTTTTGAATACTGGCACATGCCTTGACACGTACATTAGAAGCTCATAAAATATGTCTTTGTAAACATAAACAAGAAAAAAAGAAACAGCTATTTTGTTTTGTTTGATCTGTGATGAAAATTGCATTCACAAGGGCCTGTGAATAAACTGAAAAAAATGTATGCTAGACTCTCCTTAAAAGAGGTGCCCATTGGATAGTTTAATTGATACCTTGTCTAAAAATTAAAAACAAGAAAAAAGGGAGCACTGTCCAAGGCCTGAACTTACTTGTTTTTCGACTGTCTCATGAACTGCTGAATTTTCCTAGCGGCCTGGTGCTGACGCCGCTGGGAATACGTGCGCCTGAAACAATGCAAGGGTGAAAAGCTTGGTATGACAAACAGATCCTAGCACTTTCTTGCCATAAATAAGTCATGAAATTTTCAGTTTGAATAAGAAAATGCTGAGAGACTGTAACAAAACTACAAAGCTGGCTCAAATTAGGAAGTAATTACCATAGAATATTAAGCGAGACCCTTGATAAAAAAAAACTTTAGAAGAGTGCCAGATGTAACTAGAAGTTCCGTAAATGAAAAGTGAGGAAGAACGTTTTGCAACTCGTGGTTTCACAATGTTCTCCCTCACCTTCCACTTGTTGCATCCACTTGAGGGAGGGTGGAGAATTCTTTCAAAACTATAAACTGACTATTTATAAACGCTCAAATAACAACATCTCAATATCTGAATAAATTCCCAGAAAGTAAAACTCTTAAAATGTAATCTGCTCATGATTTTGGAACTCCCGATTTCCGGACTATAGCACTTTTCTGAGGATAAACTAGGAGTACTGGTTGTATTTTTACCCAAACAAACAAACAAACAAACAGACACGTGCACACACGCAAACAAACAAACAAAAGTGAACATAAAAAAAAGTACCGACGTATCATCAGGTTTTTTTTGTGCACATCCCCAAGTGATTTTTGACCCCGAATATGACCTTTTTTACACAGACATGACCATGTGCTGCATGCACACTCCTTTTTCCAGTACTGGAACTATGCTCTGCTCAGGAATAATGGTGTCCTCTTAACATCGTGGCTTTTCTTTTGAATGCCCTCAGGATCATTAGAGTCGAATACGTGATACTTTGATCTGATATTAAAGGTAATAACCCTCAGTCTGGTGGCTCTATGCAATTTCTTGTTGCAGCTTCCTGCCTTTTTCACCCATAAGCTACTACTGCTCAAAGTTCCTGGAGAAGCTTTAACAAGGTACAAATCCTTCACTAGTACCAAGCCTCGTGAAAGACAAAAAAGCCCACAATAAAGACACTAAGGTAAATTTAATATTAACTTATGTTGGAGGGATATAGCGGAGATATTTGATTGTTTTATTCATAAATTTTGTTCTTTATATAAAGAGTTTCATATTTCGAAAGATAGCACCCCCCAAAAAGTCTAGAAAACTGTGGCGTTACCAGAGATACACTAAAAGTGGTAGCAAAGAAAAACAAGCCTTACGAGTGTTTTCTGCACACCAAGATTTAGATACGCTTAAAATATTTAAAAAGTGTCGGAAGGAGATAACCGCTGTATTAAGAAAGGCAAAAAGTTCTTATCACTATAAAATATTTCACAATGAAAATAGAAGTGGCATTATCTGGAAGAAATTATTAATATTTTAGATCAAAACGGTCAAGAAAACCTTATCAAAGAACTTGTAATTGAAGGGAAAACAATGACTGCAGTAGAATTAGCAAATAAATGTAATGATTTTTTTATGAATCTATTTTTTCCTGTTCAAATAGCAAGTGGTGATTTCTGTTTACCTCTACGGATCACAGAAAATTGTTTCTTGCTTCCTACCGATGAGAGTGAAGTACTTTCGGTGTTCTTAAAGCAGTAAATGTACCGATTTTAATAGAATACAGGTGCAGCCGGTAAAACACATGATTGACATTAGTATATGCCCTGTCTCATGCATATTTTTAATTTGTCGCTCTCAATTAGCATTTTTCTTAAGGGTATGCAGATTGTGAAGGAAAATGTTTTTATATAAGTCCGGAGATAGAAATAATATGTCAAATTACAGACAGATTTAAATCTTGCCCGTTTTTTCTGAAGGCTCGGAGAAGATTACACATGTGAGAGTTTTTAATTTTTGTGAAATAAACACGATACTTACTGATTCTGAGTGCTTTTGTAAAGGTCGCTCCACAGAACTAGCTTTTCTACAGCAGAAAGAAATTATCCTAAACAATATTCAAAACAAACTTCTAATGTTGGGGATTTTTATTGACTTCTCGAAAGCCTTTGACCGGCTAAATTATAAAATTCTAATAGAAAAACAAAATTTTTAAGGAATTCGAGGGCATTCTTTAGCACTACTAGTTGAAAGCTATTTAAGCTGTTGGAAGCTAACAGTAGAAATAAATGGATTTTCTTCTGTACTGAAACCAGTACAAACGGGGGTACCTCAAGGTAGGGCCTTGGGACCACAGCTTTTTAATTTGTTTATAAATGATATAGTTGACATTGCAAATAATACCTCATTTGTCATTTATGCTGGCGATACCAGTATATTTGTTTAGGGAACAATATTGATAGGTTAGTTGCCCGTGCACACATTTCCGTAGAAAAGCTAATCAGTTTGTGGACTGTTTCCAATTCATTAAAAATAAATTAAAGTAAAACAAAAGCCGTTATCTTTAAATCAAAAGTTAATACTATTGAACTCCTTGGAAGTTGAATTTGCAAGTACTGCTAAAACTTTAGGCGTAATTTTTCTCAAACATATGTTATGAGACTCCTATGTTTAAAACCGTATACTTAAACTCTCGAAAATTGTAGGTATTCTGTATAAACATAGCTATATATTATCATCTAGTGCAAAACACTTACTAATTAATAATGCATTATTCAATTCAAAAACCTTAATAAACTGTATTTATTGCAGAAGAGAGCAGTTCGAGTCGCAGCTAATACCGTACGTCATATTACACACACACTGAACCACTTTCTTCATAAAAAAAAAGTAATAAAAATACAAGAATATTTAAAATATAAGTTTGCGACAGCATACTCAGCGTCCCTTAAATTTTTTAACTACCCATTACCACAAATTTCTAAACTAAGTGTCAAAATATTGTATATGAGGTATGTACAAACCTGTTTTGGTTTCGGTAATGCAAACTTTTGGTACACCCTATGATAGTGCTGGATCCTTGAGATTATATCGTCCTAGAACAAACTACAGGCTTCGAATGGTTCAGCATACACTACCAACAGTGCTAAGCTTTTTAAAAGACCAAAATGTTTGTCTTGGTACACTTAATAAGAAAACAATACACAAAACATTCACCTCGAGCTTTTAATATTTTCTTCTGCATAGCACTGAGTGTTCTTCCATCTTTTCATTTAGTATTATTGTTTCCTGTTGGCCGATCTGCCAGTATGGGGTAGGAACTTTGTCAAGCTTGCAGCTTTTTTTCCTGCCTCCATCACCCATATGTACGATGGGAGTAAATCAATGATTCGAACTGAATATTCTAGCCTGCATTTTGTTTTTTGTACCATAGCAATATATCAGCCTCGAGAGGCAGCCACAAAATTGAAAACCCCTAAAACAAAGAAAACTAATTTTTTTTAAATGTTTTGAAACTCATTTTAGTCACAATACTGTTCACGTCGAAACTGACTAACAAAATGGCAGTACGATGGACTCCAGGACAAACATGACGACAATGTCACACCCTAGAGCCTAGAGTCTCATATGAACTCTGTCTACTGTCATATCCCGAAAGACGCCCTTCTCAAAGACAACCCACTCGTATTTTTGACATGATTTGCTTAAAACACCGAAAGATAGCCCACTTCTAGTAATTGCAGTTCCCTGGCCAATGGTGACCTCGGCCGAAATGGGGTTAGTTAGCTATGGCGGGAGATAAGCAAACACCGCTGACTGGGAAGGACAGTTGTCTATGCTCCATTGGCCCTCAATGTAAAAACAAGTTTGACAAGTCATAAAAAAAAAAAAAAAAAGAGCATTACAATTTTTTTTTTTTTAAGTAAGTTTACTCCTTATTTCACTCGATTTGCTCACACTTTTAGTTGGGCTATCCTTTGGGATCTTACTGTAGTATATCTCAGGGGTTTGGGTCAGCACTTCACGCATAGCAAACAAGTGAAACATATCTCATATACTAGGAACATTGCTCTAGGTACAGCTATAGCACCCAGCGGCGTAGACTTTCCATTTTCCCAAGGGGGGGGGGGGGGGGGGGGCGGGCTGAGTTCTTCCGGGGGGGAGGGGGGGGGGGTGCTGCGCGTTATTTTTTCGCCAGAACTGAAGATTGAAGCAAATGAAAACACGGTGGAATTCCATTTCCCATGTATTTTGTCAACAAAGGCAAAGTGCGCGTTATTTTGTTACATGGCATGTAAACAGCGTCTCGGTAAGGATCATGACCCAAGCCCAAGGGGGGAGGCTCTGCCCCCCCCCCCCCTCTTGGATTTTACCAGGGGGTCACGAGCCCCATTGGCCCCCATAGTCTACGCCTATGATAGCACCTGTCCTGTACCAAGAAAGTCATTAGCGCCAATGTGGAAGGGTTGTAACCCCAATCCTCGCATGCCATTGTGTACACAACTATTTCTCGAGCAAATAAACATAATTACAATCACAATCTGCCCAACGCAAACGAGAAGCGAGGAATGTTGGCACAACTTGTTCGCACAATTGATGCCGGAGAGCCGGCGTGCGCTCCGGGGAAGCGAGCCCACCTGAAAGCCGAGGCGGTGGGAGTGCCCTCTCTGCTCGACAGGGCGGCCTGCCTCCGGTCGTCTGCATAGCCTCGGTGGTAGAAACTCTGCACCGAGGGGGCCCCCGAGCTCTCTCCCTCGGGGCTCTTCTTGAAGCGCTTGTGCTGCTCGCACCAGCCGGGGAAGCTCTCTGCAGCCGCCTTTGTCATCTGCTTGTAGTACATGTACTGCAGAAGGGCATCAAGTGGAAACGGTACGATGAGCGATGTATCTCATCATGACGACATATCCCGTATGGGAATGCTTTAGGCACATAAAACTACGCTTCTTTCTTCAAGATTCATGCTTCAGCGTTCTTCTCTGCTGCTGCCACAATACCATTGGCTGCAGAGATGCGCGAGGCTATAGCCACACCCAGCTCGTTTCTTAGGCCGTCAGCGACTATATTATATATGCTTAAGTTTTCTGAAAAGTACTGCCACAGTTAGCATAGTTTCTGCACTGCTGCAGCCTCAAACTGTCGGAGACAGAGGGTGAAAGGAGGTAAGAGAACACCAATCAAGGAGAAGGGGAAGTGAAGACGGATATAATCTTGACATACTTTTTTCACTGTTGGATAAAGTACATCTAAAAAGTACTTAAACTAAAGTAGAAAGTAAAGTAGAAGTTATGTACCTCCAGCAAACTAGCAATTGTACATAGGCGTGGAGTACTTCAAGTAAAGTACCATAAATACAATGTACTTTCAAAGTAATGTACAAGTACTTTCTATCTTTCCTGAGGCCCTTTCATTTCCTATACAGTGTCTTTCTCTTACTGGTATGGCATTGCTTTAGAGGTAACCAGGGGTCCACCAAATGGTGTAAAATTTTGGATGAAGTCAAGTGGCCTTCCAACTTCTGAATTTAGTGCAGCTTGCACTGGCTTGCACCCAAGGGGGTTAAACATACTAGGAGAGAGCATGATGTCAGCCCTGTAGCTTCTGCAAGCAGTCCTCTTGTGGAGGGGTGTCCTCTCCAAATATTATTAACCTCCTCCCTTGCACTTACTGTGTGAAAAGTAGCGAAAGTTTGAAATGCTGTGGAAAATTCACCCTCGGCACAAACCGTACGTACAAACCGAGCAATGCGTCGTCTGCCATTTCTGGTGAGAGTAGAATATCCCACCCAGTATTTCTCCACAGTTGACAAAGTATCATTTTGTGATACAAATCTAACGAGACAAAATTTGGGGAATGTACAGTCGGCAGTTGCACTTTTCTTGGAAAGTACCAGAAAATGTATTTTAAGTACAAGTATGTACTTTATTTATTTATTAACTACAGTTCATCCATAGCAAATTATTGTAGGGCCGTGACTTACAGATTAACATACACAAATAGAGAATACAACTCAAGGATCTGCTACACCAACAAGATACACCACACCAGCATAGGACACAAAATAAGCAACAAAAACATTAACATTGAATCATCGAAACACAGTACATGCACACACAAAAAATCATCTATTATCACTCCACTTTTTCGTATACAAACAAATAAAAAATAAATGCATAGCTACGTTACTTACAACATCATAGCACGCTTTCACGAAAATACTGCTTCAGAGCACCTTCAAAGTTTCCAACGGGCGTGGTAACTACGGCGTCCGGGAGTCCATATAGTCTATTGATTTATTGTACGGGCGAAGAAAGATGATTTAAAAACGGATGTATGGCATGTTATTTCGCGTTTCTTTCTGGAGTGGTCTAGTGTACAGGATATAAAGGTAGGTACATTTAAATATTTTATTTTTATCTATACCAACTCGTTCGTGAGATATTTGATTTAGAAATGAACACCTCGATAATCTTTGACATCATTCAAGAGAGTCCCAAGAAAGGTTTTTTATAATACAGTAATGCTGACACTAAAATGATAAGAGTTTGTGACAAAGCGAGCAGCTCGATTCTAAATCGCTTCTAGTTTATTAATTAGTGTTTTAGTGTCAGGATCGCATAGCACTGCAGCATACTCTATAATAGAATGCACATTAGAAGTTCCTTAACAATCCTGGAGCGTCTCTGAAATTTCTTTTGATAAAATTAAGGACACGATCGGCTTTCGTAGTTACCATTTCAACATGACTATTCCATGTTAGGTTAGATGAAAAGATAACACCCAAATATTTCACGGCCGTCACCAGAGCAATCTGTTCGGTATCTAAATAAAAGTCTCTATGTAGGTTAAATCGTTTCCTACCAAACCGGGTGCAACTGCACTTAGCAACATCATTCTCCATTTGCAGCGCCAAGAGATTATCTTATTTATGTCGACCTGTAGGGCAGTGGTGTCTTTCTGGGTATTTACGGTCCTATATACAAAACACAGTCGTCTGCGTACAACCTAAGATTAGAAGCGATGTCAGAGGCTATATTATTCATATAGATTAAAAACAAAAGTGGACCAGGCCTAAAACCAATCCCTGCGGAACTCCGGATATCACTGAAGTAAAATGATATTCAGAGCCATTAATGACTACCTTTTGTGAGCGACATGTCAGATAATCCAGCACCCACCCAAGAACACTGTCGGGTAATCCTACTGATGAAAGTTAAAGGAGCAATAAAGAGTGTGACACAGTATCAAAAGCCTTCTGAAGGTCCTCCACATTTCCATTGGGTTAGTTTTAATCCTTCCACCTCAAGTAGAGTAAAAGTTAGACCTGGCAGATACAGTCAACCTGATTCTCAGAAGCAAATGAAAAAAAAACATTGTAGGGGAACTCAACCAACTGAGTGATACAAGAAAAGCCTGCTCTAAATTCATGTTGAAGAAACTGTTTGCTTGTAAGTGGCGAAATATGTTAGAATATATGATATGCTCAAGTGTTTTGCAACACATGCTGGTAAGAGAAATGAGTCTATAGTTTAAAACCTGCAAACGAGGACCATTTTTATGAACTGGGACAACATTCGTCGTTTTCCTCTCTAAAGTCAGTTTCTAAGTGATAAAGACAAACTGAACAAAACAACAAGATATTTAGCGATAATGGGTGCACAAGGTTTGACGATATAAGAAGGAATGCAGTTTGGACCAATGGCAGTATTTGCTCTCGGCTCGGAGAGAAGTTTCAGGACGCCCTCATAGGGTACCAAAATGTCTGGCATTGCTTAAAAAAATGCAGGAATTTGTTTCAGGAAGTGTGCATGGTTATTGTGGGTGCGGAGAAAACGGACTGGAATTGTAACTATTGAAACGGTCAGCTTTTTCAGCATCGTTAGTGACATAACCTTGTTCAGTCGAGATAGGTGGGATAGTACTATATTCCTTGCCATTAGATTTAACGAACCTCCACATTTCCTTTGGGTTAGTTTTAATCTTTCCACCTAGAGTAGAGCAAAAATTAGCCTTGGCACATTTCATTTTCAACTTAATTTCATTCCCTATTGTTTCTAGCCTGGTCAGAAGTTCACCCCTACCCTGATTCAAGTACCGACGAAAATAAAGTAAAAGTTTTCTAAACCTCCTGAAGTAGTACTTTAAGTACAATGTATATTTAAAGTGCTTCCTAACACAGTATTCTTTCTGAAAGCTCTGGAAAAGATGACCTATAACGTTGCAGACAACCCAAGCCGAGAAAGACAATAGACGGAGGTAAAGACGGTAAGGCATGTTTTGTACCCTTGGAGCTTGGGGTTTGTCAGTTCCTAAGTGACAAAGAAAGTTTGTGTGTCTAAAAAGAAAGTTCTAAGTCTAGTAGAATTGTCAGCTGTAGTATTTTAATTTTTCAGGAGTTCTGTACACACTACTTAGATGGCGCCACTGTTTCACCATTGCACCGTGTTGTCAGGGTTGCGTCCCGGTGGTGCCCTACCTCCATGTTGTTTACCATTAATAAAGAGAGTTACGCTTCAACCACCGACCGCATCGGACGCGTCTCTATCTCCTTCCGGGGCTCTCGCGCCCGGCCCGCCGGTCACCACTTCGGCATGTGAGACCCCTCGTTTTTCCGCAGGTCCACGCAGGCATTGCTCTTCGTTATTTTCTCGGGCGTCCGCATTTTCTTTTATTACAACACTTTGGCGACAAGGAATTACTACACCAGCCATATTTGACAGAACGTGGCATCTTTTAATGTCTCTGAAAGATCTGTTTGATTGCTCAGTATCATACCTGAGTTTTAGTCAGATTTTATCCCTGAAGGAACAAGAGCCAATGAAAGCCAATTCCACGGCAGTTTGGTTATTTCCAGAAAGTGATACCAGACTTAATTTAAGGAAGTATTTTCTAAAATTTCAATCGTTGCATTTAATACAACGGTGTGATATTGCTCAAATTTAACGTTATCTTTCTTGTTCGATTCGTTGGCGAAAATATTGAAACTGGCTTCCGCTTGCACATATATTACAATCACAATACAGATGTGTGGGCTTAACATTGTAGCTTCGCCGCACTGACCACACAAGTATAGGAGTGTGATTTATACAAAGGTGTGACTCAAATACCAAAAGCTTTCTGAAAACGACTGTTTATAGAGGGGTGCAACATGTAGTCCAGAAAATACAGTGCACAGGGTTTCAGCTACTTCTTGCACACAGAACACCCGTAAAGCCATTTTTGTCATTTGATAGTTCCAATCAACCGTTGCGCCCCTTCGGTTTTATCTTCCCCACTTTTTAAGCGTGTGCTAAAGATTGAAATTTTAACCTCATGACAGGACTAGTAGAGTACAACTTTAAAAGGTTAATCAAAACGAGGTATGCTGCCTGTTGCGTTTTTACAGACAATTTAAGAATGCATAAAGTTCCATTGTGAATGCCTCTGTGCACATGTAATTGACTGAGAAAAATAGAATGCATTACGAACGAAATATCTTATTCCCAATAAACACTTTCTGAATGAATGATATATTGAAGTGTTGCAAATGTGAAAAAATAACTACTGTACTCATTTTATCTCAAGGAACCCTAGAAAAAGAAAACAAATTCAGCTCTCAGGAGAACATTACTCCGTTCACCTTTATGTAGTAAACTGAGGTAATAAAATGCGCATTTCAGGCCAGATATTTCTTAGTTTATCAAATTGTACATAATTCAAAATGCAAAAAGCATGATTTTGTTTCTAACAACATTGCATAAGAACTTACTAGGGTATTTGCACAGCGCATGGACTATGTGCCAAACCTGCTTTCTGTCTGACGTGACGACGGGTATGGTATAGAGTACCTGTTTGTAGCGCCGGTAGTAGCTCTGGATGAGTACGGCAGCAGCCCTCTCCTTTTCCTGCTCCTCCTGCCGTTTGCGACCCTTGTAGGACCGGTACGCCTTCTGGATGATTCTGGATGATTTTGGCTGCCTCGTAGAGTTCTCGCTGCTCCTTGTCTGTGGTGCATGTGCGTCACACACTTAGAAGCTTGTAATGTATTAAACCTTCCCTGTGATATTCCTTATGAAAGAAATTATTATTTAAGGTATTTAGAAAATTCAAACTTCTTGTGTCTCTTCAAAAAAAGAACCTAGTCAAACATATATAGCAAACATAAGTTACGACTTGTGGCAAATATTTACAAAAAGGAGTACAGAGGTTTGTATCAGGCAGCCATGTGCAGACATCAACTGCAAAGAAGTGCAAATGTTCAAAACTTCCTAATATTAAGCTAAATAGAGGAGTATAGTCATTTAACCTCCTGATTACGGTACATCGCCAAAGTTTTGAATAATCTGAACTACAGCCTAGCATAAGTTTACATCAGCAGACTGAAAACTTAGCCCTGTTCATGTGCTACCCCCAAGGTATGGGTGTACTGAAAGGAAGCGACACACACAGGGTGGATGCGCTGGGCAGGAAGTGATATACCCATGCAGTCCACAACACTCTTTCTAAAGCACTCACATTGAGTACCCTAATTTATAAGAAATCATACAAGCTTCCTTCCCTTATGACACCCCCTCTGCTTTGCCATAGCTGTGAGACGATTCTAGCAATTTGCCTTCTTTATTTCACAGGAATATCTCAAACTGCACATCAAGTGCTCAGAGAAATGCAGCAAGGCGGTGCACCTGAAAGTGTGAGATTGGAGAAGTCCCTCTCCATTATCTTCCCGGAAGCCTTGAAGAATTCGCAGAAGTCTGCCGTTGTTGGCGGTGGCGAAGGAGATTCGAGCGTGAAGCTGCTCGGGCTCTGCAGGCACGATGACGAAGCGGGGCTCAGCGAGGACGAAGGGGTTCCTGCCTCGCAGTACCTGCATCGTGGCATGCAGAGCGATGAGCTTGTCTGTGAGAGTTATAATCATACTTGGATCAATAGCAGCGTCTTTTGGTGCTATAGGGTTCACAAAATAAATTAAGAGAAAAGGTCTAACACAATCCCGCACATCTTGGCAACTCAGAACAGCGGGGCATATACAGGGCACCATTGGTGGTCTTTGTGGGCCCAGATTGGGCCCAGAGCGAAATTGCAGTAATTTCGAGAAAAACTCCTGCTTGCGCTAAGATGAAAAAAAAAAATAAGAGCAACAATTTAAACTTCGAAATATTCTTTAAGCATAATATGTGTGGCACCGTATCGGCAGTTTGAATTACTGAGGTGAACAAGCTAACTTCTGGCAAGCACTTCGTTACTAGGAGGTAGGGAGCAGCGGTAGTGAAGATGGCTTCTAGACTTCTGGAACTCTCGCGACTCCCGACATAAAGCACCTTTTGGCGACATAGCAAATTTCAGCACACCCAAAAAGGACACCTTGGTTGCATAGGCGCACGTCCAATAAGATCACCATAAACAGCCTGATGATATAACCATCTGTCAACTTGATAGCAAAAATGTTCATACATTGAGAACGTCACTACTCATTAACACTTTGCAATGAATTAGCCTCTCTATGGTTGTTCAATGCCACCATTGTCCTCAGTGTTATGTTGTGTCTGCTTCACTTCTTCTAAGTGTTGTCCGACCTACTGCTATTGTACGCTCCTTAGTCGCAATAAAGCAGTTCATCCACAAGCTCCGGCCGAAAAGGTCCCACTGGCAAGTTTCCACTGGTAACCAATGACAGGGATTCGGGAGGTTTGTGAACATTTATTACATGTCAGCCAGACGAAGTGAAGAAGCAGCTGCAATGCTAGCCCGCACTGCCGTTTATGTAGCCTACAAAATGAATGCCACACCCCCGACGGGAAGTATCAAGACGGTGTGGTCGTAATAAGAAATATGCATGCCGTCAGTGTGACAACCAATTAACCAGGCATAGGCAGTATCAGACATACCGTAAAATCCCAAGAGATGCCCCACCCCTGACAGATAGCCCACCCCTATTTTTGGCTTGGTTTGCTATATTTTTTAAACACCGAAAAATAGCCCATTCCTATTAATTGTAGTGCTGGGATCAGTGATGGCCTCGGCGTAAATACATTGCTGACTGGGAAGTGTAAATATCTTTGCTTCGTTGCCGGAGGAGACACGGCCTTAATATAGCAATTTTTCAACTTTTCTTGATTGTACATTGAAAGTTAGCCCACCCCATACTTTCACCCGATTTGCTCTTGATGTTAGGTGGGCTATCTCTCGGGATTTTACGGTATGTATCTTTGATACTATCTTTCGATACATTTTGTGTATCGGTATTAAGTATCACTTGCCAAAAATGAAAGTATTGGTGTATCGGTATCGGAAATACATCTTTAGTCTATTGTGTATTTTTACAATACTTGATCAATACTAAAAAATAAAAAAAAGGATGTGCAGCAGGTTTTGAAGATTCTGCAAGTCAGACTTTGGGCCAGCAGCGCTCGCTCAGGAGGTACCACGCTGAAAAAAGGGATACGTTGATCCGTTTTTTGTTCTTTATCCATTGATAAAATCTGTTTTTATGGAATACAACATGGGAACATGCTTGTCTGCTCCTGTAGAGAGGTTTTTTCATTTGTTTCGCTTTTACCATGGCCGGATCGCATGGCTTTTTTAGACCGGCGGTTTGAGAAAATGCTGTTACTTAAGACCTTTAAGTAAAGGTAAAATCTAAATAGAAGAGATTAGAAAGATATGTTTTGCCTAATAAAAACTTTTAGGCCTTTTTTTTTTTATTGTTTTCCTTCTAGCCTTTAATGCAGAATGTTCAACTTCAAACGTCTGTTAAACACATATTGCTGAAGAAATAACTGCTCGGCTTTCTGAAGCGCACGGAGCTTGCACTTTTAAGCACAGGGCAAAGGCAGAAGCAACCCGGTAAGTACTACAGTAACAAACGAAAAGTTTCAAGAAAAGTTCCTAGTTTATTCGTGTGTATATAGTCAAGTGCTCAGAAACCGGTTCACATGAAGAACATTATAGTTAAAAAAGTATGCTACGTTACTTACGGAAGTGATATTTAGGCGTATTCAGTCCAATGCTAAAGTTCTAACAAAACCAGCTGCGCCAGCAGTGGAGCCTAATGAAATCTGTGTGGTCGGATTCGAGCCTTTTCAAAAACGGTCTGCTATATCGAATACACTAAATATTCCAGAAAACGCGAATAAATTTTGTAACTTAGCTAATCATATCACCAGCTTGATTAATATCGGCGATTTCAACAATGTATCGAACTATCAGAAATATAGTATTGAGTATCTCTATCGTAAATCTATTTCGGTTCTTTATCGGTATTGGAAATATAATTTTTGAGGGTATTGGGTATCGGTATCGAAGATACTTTTTTGACGTATCGTGTCCAGCTCTGCATATTACACCAGCGCATACTAGCAGTTCACATGGAGTGGAAGACTGCACTCACCTGTAGTTGTGGTCGCTGAATTCGAAGCTGAACTCGTCGCTGAGCAGGGGCGGAGGCGGATCGTCCATGGAGCACATGGCTGAAAGGCCGGGGCTGTGCGGATCGGGAGAGAGAAGTAGGAACAAGCCCTCGGCCTCCATAGCATCCTCCTCGTCCTCTTCCTCCACTTCCCGTGACGCCTTGATCCGCTCCGGCAGAGCGGCGATGATCTGCTCCGCCAGCGTGAGCACTCGGCTATCCGGAGGCACGGCCGCCACGCCTGCATCCACAATGCACGACGAGCCGGCCAGGTCGCACACCCCGCCGTGGCTTTCCCTTCTCCTGCCCAGGGGACTGGACCCTGTTTGCGTACACAGAGAAAACATTGATTAAGGCACGGGTTCTGAAACTGGGTTCCTAGGTACACGAAGCTCCCTCAAGTACCCCCCAGGGTTCCTCGAGTTCCCGAATTTCCTTGTCTGTCCCTGCCCCCAGGTAAAGTGTTCTTCCAGCCTAAGCACTAGTTTAGCAGATCTAAGTCCCCCTTTGATGCACATCTATGGGTCAGAGACTTCATAGTACTACTGTTTTACAAGGTATGTGGAGTTTGTCAGTGCTTTAATGAACAAATGCTGAGACCATGGAAGGGGTTCCTCGGCTATTAGTCTTAGAAAATGGTGGTTCTCAACATTGAAAAGTAGAGAACCTCTGGATTAAGAGAATATTTGAGGCCTTCGAGGGCATAACGAAAATTCCATGTGCAGGATAATCTTTCTACACCTATGGGATGACAGAACTCAAATCAAATGATTCTCCCAAAAAATCTAGGTCTCCTAGCAACATGTCGGTGGCCACTGTGGGGCTTTCAAACAGTTCCTTTTCAAGTTCTTTCTATCAGCTTAGACAAGAGTACATGAGGGCACCCTAGCTTAGACCATGTTCATGATTTGTTAGAAGAGCATGAGCACAATTAAGCAAACATTGTACTATGCACACTTAGTACTCAAAAGAATGTACTTACAATAGGCCTTTTGGAAAATAAGTATGGAAATATTTTGTGGCAAAATGGGAATGACAAAAAGAGTGTCATATGAGTTTCCGAAATTTTCGAAGTTCCTGTCAGAAAAACGTTTAATGATTTAAACAGAGAAATACTTTTCAGATTAAACTGAATAAAAAATATCACTTACTTCATATTCAAAATTTCAAATCATTTCCCAGACTATCTAAAACATATAACCATATTGTCACGAATGATAATTGATGAGGCGATGAAAACTGAAGCAAACAAAACGTTTAGTGGGGCGAACTTGTGCCCAAAACAAAATAGAAAAAGGCTAGCATCGCAGGCGTCAAAACAGCAGGATCGAACACTGGGGCGAGACTGACCCTGGCTCGCCATGCAAAGTACCTTATGTACACGCGTGGGCTTTTGGAATATATTCGGCGTAGAAGGTTTGGTGCATAGAACATTAGAACCTCGAATAAACAACAATGTTCTCGAATTCAACAGAACGCGACATTTCCAGAAATAATAAAAAGGCGCGTCCACTCTGAGGCATTGAACCTCGAGCCCTTTGGGTGGGAGCCAAGGACGATAACCATTTGGCCGTGGGCGCGCTTGCTCGCAGATGCATGTGGCAATATTCGTAGGCAGTACACTCTAATCTCCCAGTTAAACCCTGTGCTTGAAAACATTGGACATGTGGCTCCCTTGTTAATAGCAAATAGGCACTATTAAGTTGGCTTTATAAACCATGATGCATTAAGTTGTTAATTTACTCCTGAAGACACTGGAAAATGAAAAATAGACACTTCCTGGCCTCTTCTGTGCTGCTGGGTGGCACATGCACATTTATTTCTCCCGTGTGATGTACCGGCAGAAACATTTGTCCTTGCGTGCGCTGCACTATGAAAGCTTCTTCATCAGTAAGGACTTTCATATTTTAGAGAAAAAATATTCAATATAAGGCCAGTCTGAAACTAAAGACTTAGTGGAAACTTAGAAATCTTAGACAAAACACTGTACCAGAGGGTGGGATTGGGTTCTGCATTTCTATTTCTTCATCGGAGACTCCAACAACATCGATGAATGGGCTCTCGCTGTTTCCTGGGGCATCTGCAAAATGACGAAATGGAAACCAGATAAGAATTTGGAAGGTGATAGAAAGCAAAGTAAAAAACAAAATCACTTTCCAACGTTTCATAAACTGAACTCCATGGAGCAAATATGCGGCAGACAACCAAAGAACATTGCCCAGCAGTTTGTTTTTTTTGCACGTAGTGCAACATACACTGTTCCGATACCACACACAGAGTGAACACTGCAAGCGCAACTCGTGACTTTTTTTTTTTTTATCTATGACGTTTAGCCTTAATCCCCTCTGTTTAAAAAGTAGTTTTTATTTCCAGGCCACTGTAAAATTATAAAAGGCACATAAAGATGCACTAATAGTGGCTAAAATAAAATAACACTCAAAAACTCCCACAATGCAAAAAAACAAACAAAAAAACTCTGCCTTTGTATTGTGAAGGCAGGGAACGATGTAGAGCTATACATTCCAAACCACCATTCACATGCCCCTAATTTCAATGTAATGAAACACCTAAAAACATGCAGGCTGTCAAACCTTACATGCACAGCATTGTGAAATGCGCAAGTTCTAGGAATAGGGGCTTCTTAAATGTGCAAGCTTATCAATCTCAAGCTGCTTCTTAGAGCTATAGGTCCTTGCATTCAAATTTTTTGAGCACATCACAAAGTAACAGTTGTGAGAAATTGTTGCAGAAATAGCCCCACAGAAGGCCTGAATTTTTTTTTTTAGATCTAAAACAAAATTGGGGACATACAAAAACCAGGATTAACAAAATTTTTAATAAATTGCAATGGGAAAATAATACAGCTGTTAACTATGCGGTCAATATTTAAGGTCAGAGATATACACAGAAAATACACATATCCACACTCATAGCCTTGGTGCCTTTCAGCCATGCAAAATCATTGAAACAAAAATCAGTCATTTGAGCTAACCCCCATAGAAAATGTACACCGCAGTTCACCTTACTCCAGATCATTAAAGGGGTGGTGCAATTGAAGGCCGAAGTGCCCCTCAACCCTCACGCTGTCTTTCAAGTGACATGTTCTGGGGGACCACCTGGTCCCCCAATGGGTTCTTTCTTCAGAGACCCCAGCAGCTTCCTCCACAATCGTCTACTTTTCAAGGGTTAGCACCGCCGGAGGTTGTGGAAAGCACAATCGAAGCAAAGGACGGTTTGCCACGGGGCTGATGGCGAGTGTAGCAGCGGAGGGGTCAGGTTTTGTTGACTTCCACATGTCCTTCAGAGACGTAACACCATAGTTCCCATAACCGCCACACGCCGCAGCAGATCAGCAAATAATTTGTTTTTACAGCGGAGCTGTTAAGGGCTAGTTTCCCCAGGATAGCGTCCCCCGCAAAGAATTGTCGACACAAAACTCTGGACAGCTAATGCCATCTATGAGCGATGGCGGCAGCCAGACAATCGGCTTGCCGGCCTTGCTCGTAGATGGCGACAACCTTTCCAGCCTTTCCACTCTGGTTTTCACCAGAGTGGAAAGGCTGAATTTCTCTAGGCGTCGTCCTAGATGTCGCCCTCGAGGTCATCCTAGAAGTTGTCCTTGAGGTCGTCCTAAACGTCGTCCTTGAGGTCGTCTTTGAGGTTGTCCTTGAGGTTGTCCTAGAAGTTGTCCTTGAGGTCGTCCTAGACGTCATCCTTAATGTCGTCCAAGAGGTTGTCCTGAGGTCGTCCTAGAAGTCATTCTTGATATTGTCCTAGACGTCGTCCTCGAAGTTGTCCCAGAAGTCGTCCTTGAGGTAATCCTAGACGTTGTCTTCAAAATCGTCTTAGAAGTCGTCCTGGAGGTCGTCCTAGACGTCGTCCCTGAGGTCGTCCTAGGCGTCGTCCTTGAGGTCGTCTAGATGTCGTCCCTGAGGTTGTCCTCTAGGCGTCCTCCTCAAGGTCATCTTAGAAGTCATCCTTGAGGTCGTCCTAGGCGTGGTCCTTAAGCGTCTATTTTGAGGTCGTCCAACTGGAAACGCTAAAAGATTTTTCCTTTGTGATTACGCAGTGGAATATCAGTTTATTTGGGCAAGATGGGACATTTTTGTCACTTGTGTCTGAATAAACAATATAAAATAAAACTTTCAGCCTTTCCACTCTGGTGAAGAAGGAAGACCAGCAAAGCTGTACTATGCTGGGACAACCTCAAGAACGATTTCTTGGACGACGTCTAGGACGACCTCAAGAATGACGTCAAGGATGACCTCAAGGACAACTTCTAGGACGACCTCGAGGACGACGCCTAGGACAACCCTGGGGGGCTACGTCTAGGACGACCTCAAGGACGACGCCTAGGACAACCTCAGGGACGACGTATAGGACAACCTCAAGGACGGCTTTTAGGACGACCTCGAGGACAACGTCTAGGACGACCTCGAGGACGACGTCTAGGATGACTTCAAGGATGACTTTAGGACGACCTCGAGGACAATCTCTCGGACGACCTCAAGGACAACTTCAGGGGTGACGTCTTGGGTGACCTCAAGAACGACTTCTAGGATGACGCCTAGAGAAATTCAACCGCTCCACACTGGTGAAAACAAGAGTGGAAAGGCTGGAAAGGTTTCTGCCATGTATAAGCGACGGCAGCAACCAGACAACCAACAAGCTGGTTGTCTGGTTGCCGCCATCACTCATAGATGGCGGTAGCTGTCCAGAGTGTTGTGTCGACATTTATTTGGTGACGGACACGAAACTGGGGAAACTAGTCCTTAACAGCTCTGCTGTAAAATATGAACTGCAAATTCTTTCAACATTAAAATTGTTGCACTATTCCTTTTAAGGGGTTAAGACACAAAAAATAAAATGAGATAATTATACTGCTGGAACTCGTAGAAGTCTTAACTAAACTTGTTTTGTAAGCAACAGCCTAGTTTCATAAATAAATTCCATTGAATCTCAGGACCATCGGATCTGCCCATTCATGAAGGCCGCCATGTCTGAAAGGCAAGTCACGTAGTGCACCCTCGTTTCTCCATATATTATGCACATATCTGCCAAAATCTTTAGTGGTGCGGCAACACAACTTCAACCTACTCTTGCATGCACTCACAGACTTGGCTTTCTCAACACTTAGGCTGCTTAAATTTCCTTGCTTCCCTCCCGTGTTTTGAGCTGATAAAGCTTATGGCATTGCTCATGTCGTTGGAATCTTTTGTTTCGGCTAGGAGAAAGGAACAGACTAGGAGGCAAGGGAATGAAGTAGCCACATAGTGTGTAGCGTGCGAGCATGGCGAGCATAGATAAGCATAGAATGAGACAGCATTCAACTACTCTAAACGACTTATTTTTCGCGGGCTCAATATTTCGCGATTTAGGTCAAAGCTAAAGTTTTGGAATAATTCACAGGTTCTAATTTTCGCAACGCAGTGGGATCTCTATGTAGATTCCAATGTGTTTACATTTTACTGGAATTGTTAGAGGGGACCTATTTTTCGTGAATTGTAGGCGATTTGCAAAATTAGCAGAAATTAGGTTTTCGCAAAAATTTTGTCGTTTACAGTATATGATTACAATCATCTGGTTCATGGACTCCATGGCGTGATTACTCTAGGCAGGTTACAGGCAGGTTATACCGGAATTCTCTCAGGATCTCCAAGTCACCCAATGAAAATGAGTGACATAAAAAATTAATTCTTGCAATTACTAGAGCTTGAAAAACGTGAAACTTGGAGTGTATACTAAGTAAGCCATGATCATTTCATATCAGGATTAATCTACTTATTTAATTTTAGTGCCCTAACCCCTTCAAAACTAAAACAAGCAGCAGGCATGCAACTATGTAACCTTGAGAACTATAGTTTAGAATAATTTCAATGCTTTTAGGAGACATTCTTTAAGACAAAGAAGGATTAGATTATAGTTAAGAGAGGATTTTCTGCCTTCTTAAGAAACAAAATAGTTATGAGTTCACCTGGTTCAAGGACAACATTGTTGAGGTCCAACTTAGACACGAGACGAGATGAGAGCAAAGAGGATGCTGGGAGAGATGCCAGCCCTTCGCACATCCCACTGTCAACTGAAGAACGCTTTGATGACTCCGCCTCGGTTGAGAAAGAGCTCCCCATCGAGCTCCCGCCATCTGCCGAAGCGCGCTTCGTCAAGCGGCCGTGTGAGGTTGTGGCTGTCACAGTCATAGAAACCTTGCAGCTTCGCAGGTGTTGCTGCTGCTGCTGTTGTTGTGGCACCTGTTGCTGCTGCACCTGTTGCGGTTGTCCAAACGAGCTGCAAAGCAATGACCAACCCTTTACTGTGTACTACCACTAATATACCATAGAAGACCTAAGCATCCTTTATGTCAAAACTTGACCTAGTTTTTCTTGCAAGGTCAGGTCTTAAAATGACTTTCAGAAGCTGTTTATACTATCATTTAGATGCGCCTTTCAGGGTGCAAGGAGTTTTCAAAACTGCCTTTGCAGGAGTGTTTCTTAAGATTTTTTACCAAGACTCAGTTTCAGGTTTACAGCTATTACCCCCAGGGGAGAAAGTAAAAATATTTTGTCTGTAGTGGGTATGACAAAGAAATAAATTTACTAAAAGCTACTATATATACAAAGAATGCCACCTATGTTTGCGCTTAGTACCTTTCCATTTGTAAACTGAGTTCATTTAACCAAAATAAATAAGGATACTGATCATGTAAAAGGAGTGACTACAGCTATCCAATTGGGATTCAGAAAGGAATTGCATAAAAAAAGTTGAGTATAGGGATGAATCTCTCATACAGATATCATAGCACTATGGAAGAATATGTCATCCATTTGTTCCCTATGGGTACTCGTTCGTCACATAGTCTTGTTACTGTCATCAACACACTTTTCAGATTTTTTGTGTTTGTTTGCTTTCACATAATGAGTCCTGCATCTTCTCACTTCCTTGTGTTATGCCCGTATGGGCACTCAAGGTTTAAAAATAATGAATGATGATGAGTTTCTTTAGGAAGTTTGCTTACGGATGGTTTCTGAAATTTATGGACAAACCGGTACAATGTTTTTGGTACTTGTCCACATCTGGTGTATAGTCCGATAGCAAATTTACGGTGTTGTGCGAATATTTCCATTTTTTTATGGTAGTTTCTAATACGCCATTCGATATTCACCTCGAGATGAACTGCGACATTCATACTTTTCTAAGTGTTGATCGCGGCGGGTTAGCCCCAATGAGTGCGCTTCTCGCCGAGCACACGTGCACTGCGGGGAAGCAACACCCGCGGTGCCCGCAAGCTCCGCGGGTATTGCTTCACCGCAGTGCACTGGTGCTCGGTGACAAGCGCACTCAACGGGGCTAACCCGCCGTGATTATGCAAGACTGTATCTTCAGTTGCGATGTCTTGACGACGGCGTTCAACATTCATGCTTTTTTTTTTGTCGAATCTAAATTTAAGGAAAGAGTACTGTTTATAGCAAGCAGGTTTATAAATCCCCTCGATAGGTTAGCTGCGACAAATTTGTACACATGCCACAGTTAATATATATAGTTACATTAAAATTAACTGAGCTTAGAAGTAGACAAGTGGAGGGTTAGATACGAAATTCACGAGTTCAGCAGAATTTTTGTTTAAGCATGCATGGTGAACGGTAGCGAAAGGCTTGAAGAAACTATTCAATATTCGATTAGAAAATATTTGACCAAGACCACTATTTGCTTTGAACTCGAAATCTATTATTCGCATATGACAAGAAATTTCAGATGAAAAAAAGCTTTTTCTTAGATAGTCCATATATGGTGAATAGTCCGCATCCTGCGCGTGGTTCACACCAGGTGCATATATCGCACGTAAAATATTCTCCTACAAAACACACCTTGAAAACTATTTGCTTTTTTAGTGCACAAAGAAGCTTGTATCATACAGGAACCACAATTCACATCTCCATCATAATAAATAATCTTCAAAAACCAAATCCTTGCATAGTCCGTGCCCCTGTAAGTACAGTCGATCCCGATTATATGAAACCCAGGTATTCTGAAATATTGTCTATTTCAAACAATCAAAACATCCCCTCGAAAATCTCATGTAAAAGTATAGGCACCTTGTACATCTGTATTGATCTTCACCACTTGGGACATTCGATACATTGAGTCGATACACCCCTGGTAGGAGGGCTTTCCCCGAACAGTGCCCTCACTGCGCGGTTTGTATATACGCTGAGGATAAACGACTCTGGCCGCTCTAACCACGGGCAACAAAATATGCAGAGGCAAAAAAAAAAGGGAAAAGCGGTTTTTGGGTAGTCGAGTGTGTCCACAATGTTTGTGCAATCATACTTTGAATGCCTTATATCTGTTTACCTTTTTCTGCAGACGTTTTTGCTTTGGCGTTATTTTTCTGCCTGATTTTACATCAGACTTCTTTCTGTGCCTTTTGTTTGACTTTTCTTTTATGAATAAAGAGTGTTTTTTTTACACAGTTTGCTTTTGAGTGTTTTCTTATTTTTGCTTTTTAGTGTTTTCTTATTTTTGCTTTTCATATTTTTGTTTTCCGTGGCCCGTGCTGTTGATGTCGCGGCCACGTGCGCGAGAGCGGCGGCGTTGCCAATTCCCGCCAACTACACTATAACAAGGCTATTCTCTATTTGGTAAGTTCCCATCTGTCACGATCATCAGTACTTGCTGAGACGCGGGGAAATGTTAACTGGAGTTTAAGTTGACATTCTTGTTTGTTTGTCTAATTATCAGTATATCAAAGTATTTGACGATCCCCTTTGAATTCAATACTGCAGCTCGACTGTAGTCTACACCGTGTAAAATTTAAACTTCAAAACGTGTATTGTCTGTGGACCATAGTGGGCTAAATACGATAAATGCAAAAAATGACTGTGGCACACGTGCACCTGCAGTGCATACCTGGCCACCGAGGAAGTGTCCTGCACCGCATGCTGCTGCTTGCGAGCCCCTTGCTCCAGCTCCTCGTCAAGGCTCGGGTGGGTGCTCTGGCGGGCGAGGCCTGCGGGGGTCTGTCCGTCAGCACTGGTCACCCTCAGGGCAGACGCGTCCCACTGGAGGAGCAGCAGAGCCACTTCCCTCTGGCCACGGGCGCACGCCCAATGCTGCACACAGGCAGGAAGGAATTAAGAGTGGAAAATATGCTACTACCATCGGACCAGGGGCGGATTTAGAGGGGAAGTCCAGATGTCCTGGGCCCCCTCTTGATTTCTGAATGTGTAAAATTTAGGTTGTGAAACGAGGGAAAGGGGGAGGGGGTTCCTAAACATATGGTACGCTGACCAACACCTGACCCCCCCCCCCCCCCTCCCTTTAGGAAATTCCTGCATCCGCCCCTGCTTCGGACACCATTTTGCACAGAGAACTTTTCGTGAAAATGTTTACGCAGTGAGAGGTGAGCCTGCCTTGGAATGGTGCCTCATAGGATATAGCTGTAGTGTTACAATGATTTTATGAATGTATACTGGTGTAGCCCTCGTCTACGTCGAATTTAGCATCTTATTTGCTAGACCTATCTCACAAGCCAGCGTGGCTATGCTGCCATTGCCACAATGCAGCTTGGCGCTAGTCTTTCTACATGGTACGACAAACTCGCTTGTGCTCTGCATGTGTGCACTCTACTGCCAGTCTCCTGTAAAGTAATGTCAAGGTGGTGCCATGCATGGTACCGTATCTGCACGATTCTAACGCGCCCCAAATTTTAACACGCAGGCAGATTTAGCTCCCAGATATTCAAAAATTAAATTGCTGCTGATTCTATCGCGCAGGTAAAACAATGAAGGTTGAACACATACCTCATAGAACAGATTATATGAAATGCACGCCAATACAAAAATAAGCTTCGTGAACTAGTCGCCATTGTCGGAGTCCGACGATGATTCCTTGCTCTCCACAGAGGTAATCCTTGTTTTTGTCTAAAATGTTTTTGGCGCCGCGCTTCTTGCGCTTGTACGAGTGCGCGACCGTCGCCTTTGGGGCGGTCGCACACTCGTCGGTCACCTTGGACAGCTGTCTTCCACACAACTTTGCGAGCTTATCGGGTCGCTGGGATTGCGAGGCCACGCAGTGCTGCTTCTTTGTTATCTCTTCCCGCCAGCATGATGGCCTTTTGTTTAAATGAAACCTCCTAGTAGAATTTCTTTTATTTTTCTCTTAATACTGCAGACACAAGTCTGTAGACGCGAGAGTATATGCGTGATATGGATACCAAAATGGTGAATGTAAACAAATGGTCATGATGGCGATATGGCTAGCCACCTTTTACTGAGTATTGCATTCTTCTTTTTGAGTTTCGTTTTAAGTTTGATTGTAACGCGCATGTAATTTTGTGCACCGATTTTGGCGAAAAAAAGTGTGCATTAGAATCGTGCAATCACGGTACTTCAATCAGTTAAATGTTCTGACTTTTTCTCCCTGCCCCCACAATGAACGGTAGCCCACTCTATTTTGCGCAAATTCTAGGTGGCCCCCTTTAAGGCGCAGTCACGCTGCACATACATAATACAAAGGACACAGTATTCCGTGCAGGTGCGACGACAGAATTATAGGCGGACATGTCTCAAGCACGTTCCAAGTTTGTTTGCTTGTATGCTTTGAACATGTCTTCAGACAGTGTTTGTATGAGCAGTGCAGTTTGTATGAGCAGACTCTTCCTCATACAAGAAAGAGTCTGCAGACTGTCTTTTGTATAATGTATGAGCAGTAAGATTGAAGCTTTAGAGACACCACAGATGTATCTCTACTTCCTGCCGCGGAGGGCAGGTCCCGCTCGCTCACCAGGGGGGTGCACTCGCGGGCGTCCCTGCCGAGAGGGTCGACCTCTGCGTCAAGGGTAAGAGAGGGGTTCTCCTGACGCCAGAGTAGGAGGGTGCGCGCCAGCCGGGAGAAGCCCAGGGCGGCCGCCAGGTGCAGCAGGCTCAGGTCGGGGCGGCTGAGGGCCTTGATCGGGGAGCAGTCCCCCCGGTGCACCCACGAGCCCCAACGCAGCTCCCCGCACAGCGACACCAGGCGCTCCTCAAACGGACGTTGCTTGTCGGCAAACCCCTACAACCACAGGAAGGCCTTGTCAGTTGCTGGTCAATGGTGTCAACAAGAGAATGTTTCCAGAACACTGTTTTCCATTGCGTCCACTCGAACTGGGATTCTTTCTATCGTGTGCTTTTCAATTAAATTGAAAGAGTGCAAAGCGAAACTGCAAGATTTTTTTATCAAAGGTGTGAGTATGAAAAAGTATCAGGGCCACCAAAATTACTTTCAACTTAAGCTAGTGTATTTTTGTAGAAAATGTCTTCGGTTAAAACCGATGCATAACATATACTCAAACAAAACAAGAATGGACGAAAGTAGGTACATAGGTATTTGTCTCTGTTATATTTTATTTCACAAAGGTCAGATCACACTTGCAAAATTAGAAAATTCGACTGTATAACTTATGCTTTCAATACTTATTTTTTTCATGTACAGTTGAAGAATGGAATTGGCTATTAAATGCTTTCATAAATTTTATTTCCATCCTTGTTAAACAAATACGATTAATGCTTCCTTCCCTATGCTATATGATTTTCCATACTCAAGTTTATTAAGTATATTTATGAATATCTTTCTATGCGTGTTTCTGTACATTCGTATATTTGTAGATTTATTACCTTCATGCAATAATACTTTCTGGGCATTGCTCATTTAACCATCTAAAAATAATAAATAGAGTGAACTAGACTGGGAGAAAAATAAATGTAAAACCTGCTGTGTTACAACCAGCCATTTGCTAGGGGTTTCTACATCAAGTAGTCCGTCACCCAAAGTCATAAAAAAGAGAATAGTTGCCGCAACACAATTTCAAAACAAAGCTTGGGGAGTTTGGATATTCTCGGAACATTAACGCCATTAAATATCGGCAGAATACCGAAGCTTGAGAGCTCCGATTCAGTTCCACTTGATGGCACATGCACCATACTGGCGGTATAAGAAAGAGTCCAAAGTACTAAGCTTCATAAAACAAAGTTCTCTGTTTTCGCAGGTGTTTTGGCATCCTTTCTGACAGCTACAAAGACACCAACAAAGTAAATCTAGCACTCTGGCAGCTTTCTGTCTTCGAGACGTTTTATGATATACCCACGACATGTCTCCCTTTCTAGATACGTCATGCCATGTCACTTATTGGTTGACACTCACCTGGGCCAGAACGCCGGGAAAGATAGCTCCCTTGTTGCCAAAGGAAAGCCTGGCTTCCACCATCTCCAGCCGCTCCAGCAGAGAGAACTTGAGGGTGCCCTCTGCATTGTTTTCATGTATGACTCCTCGTAATGAATTTCCAACCTTAGCAGAAAGGCTATTGTAAACTATAAGTCAGTTGTTTCAAAACGAATTTAACTAGACCATATTGATTCCTCTACAACTCTGTCGTTCCTCCTGGGGAAGCTGTGTTTTTAAAATGCCGAATTCTCCTGTGCTTGTCTTGAGGACGATTCCTCTATCTGTCTCAAATGGCCTCTGCAGCCTTTTGCATCGGTAAATCTGTAAATTACAGAATAGTTGTTTAACGCATGGAGTGCTTAGCGGAAATATTGCTTTAATATAACATTAGCGTTGTGCGAATATTCGAGCAATTTTCGTTTGAAGATGAGCTGCAATCTCTATAGTTTTCGAAGTGTTGATCAAGGCAAGTTAGCCCCGTTGAGTGCGCTTCGTGCCGCGCACCTGAGCACTGCGAAGAAACAATACCTGCGGAGCTGACACCGCAATTCCGTGAACCTCGCTTCGCTGCAGCACAACCGCGGTATGTCGCCAATTCGCAACATAGAAGTTATATGCATTGCATAATTAAGTTGCCTCCATCAAAGTGACCGATGTCAATTGTCGTGAAATCGCAACGTACGCCCCAAAGGGAGACTCATTGTTTCATCTTTTGGTGGCGCAGTAAACTTTGCGCTAGACTGAACGTTCGCTGGAAGTCCGCGTAATTGAGCCCGTGGTCTGCCGATTTTCTGTTTTTATATCAGTGAACAATTAGACGGGATGTTGTTTTCAAAAGTCTATCTAAAAAGTCTGTAGCCCTAACTAACATCTTGAGCTGCTCCACACGTTAATTTGAAGCTTCCTGTTGAGAAAAAAAAAAAAAAAAAAAAAAATACTATGTCCCGAATTCCCGACATTCGACATTCAGTGACGTGCGCATGTTGCATTTTAAGCAATGTTGAGAAAGTATATGATTACCTCGTAAATGAATTTACATGGAGGATAAGTTATACGGGGGCAATTCCTAGAGCTCTTTCTAATCTCAGCTCGAAATGAAGAAACGATGGGGGCCCACCAAACACAGTCCTGACGAAGAGCCCCACGGAGAGTAAGGGACACTGGGCGGTGGCGGAGGGCACAATACAGCTGTGCAAAAAGCCGGCTTGTAAAGGGTACACTCCGTTACAACGTGCAGCGAATTCAATGCTCATTTTGTACAAGCTTTCCAACTATTTTCACGAGTTTCCCGAGTCATAAAGCCCAAGCCTAGATGCTTTCAGCACTCTGTTTGATTTTAAGAGGATAAAGAGCAACCACTTGTCTCATAACTTGGGAGTTTTTTTATTTTTCTTCTGTGCATTCGTTTTTGAGGAAAGATTAAATTCTATGCAGGTGGCATAGAAAAAGGTTTGTTGGGCCATGGCCTGTTGTCACGAATTCGCAACATAACCCATGTTATAAAACGACATTCTCGCCACCATCTCTAATGGGGTTATCTTTCTTGGGATACCCTCAGCAGCACTCTCTAGAAAAAATAATTTGTTTACATTATTAATTTATAATTTTGGCGTTAAAGCGTTAAAAAAAGCTGACAAAAAAAAAAAAAAGAAAAACGAGTTAGAGGTGAGTTTTTGCGTATTTTTATTCCGTGAATCTGAATATCGCGTTCGTTTCCCCTGAAGATGTAACTAAACACGACACGAAAAACCTCCGACCAATCGTGACGTCATACTAGGATCTTTGGGTCGCCAAACGTGTGTCGCTCGTCGTTGCCAACTATATTCCCCCGCACTGACACCATTCGTGACGTCTCTTTTTGACCGTTTTGAAAATATGAAGAGTGTGCGCGTATCTAGTTTTGATAGGCGCTGAAAATGCGGGAGAGCGGAGATTCCGAAAACTCCCAATATGACGTCATGCCCCGGGAAGAAAGGACTTCAGCGGTATTTTCAAAATGTAATTTCTACAGCCTCCGTGCATCAAATTGAAAAATAAACTCAATATTCGTGATAGCTTGGAGGCCGAATGAAGATGATTTAAGTGTTTTTCCGCAAATACAGAACCGGTTCAGTTTCCCTTTTAATAGAAAAGTACACATTCCAATCGGGATCCCACGTAGCACCGAATGTCGTGCGAACATTCTCTGGGTGTTCTGAATGTTGAAGGAACGTTAAAACACCATTCAGAACGTTCTAGGAACGTTCGTATGAGAACATTGCCCACAAGGTAAGCTGCTCAACAATCTAGGAATGTTCGTTGGCAAACATTCGTATGCCTAATGTTCTCAGAACATTCGCCTTCGAATGTTCATATGTGCAACATTCTTTGAACGTTCGCTTGCGAACATTCCTAAAATTTTCGCAGGTGAAGCCAACTTTACAGAGCTCTCACGCAACCTGTGTTTCGAAACACCATCCACTATATGCCACTTCGTGCCAAAAATACGCAAATTAAGTGGAGTTTCTGGAAACTTAGCATAATGGATCAGTTTTATCTTATATGAATCTACCGAGGAATGTAATATAAGGTGTAGGAGAAAAACAATGGTTTTCAAAACTTCATAATAAACTTGGCACTCACTGCGTATATAGAGGTGCAGTTTTGAATAGACCCGATTATTAGCATGTGGGGTAGAATACTTTGAAAAGGGTATATCCTGCAGTTGCGTGTGGGATACCATGTGTATCTGTTCTAGGCTCGGAGTGAGTAATCGGTCATGTACGCAGCACATTTTGAATGAAAGAAGTTGACAAGTAACAGGTAGGAGTAAACTGTCGTTAGTACATGCTCGGGCTGGTACACTGGGAAAGCGCTAATCTTGTGCTTCCGCTTTCTAAAAATATCTTTCGATTAAAAAATATGCATTTCCCTGTGAGCAGCTTTACCATTATCCATATATGTAGTGTGGCTGATTGGTGCTGTTTCCTGATCGAACCGTCATTGTAAAATCTTTGACAATAAGCCTCAGAAAATGCTCCCTGAATGTAGGGATGTACCCACGCACGTTACGGGGAGATTGAAAGGATGTCCCTGCATAAATTTGCAAAGTTGCAAATTCTTGAAATGTTCTTTGGATGTCCTGAGAACGTCCTTAGAACCTTGCTACGATATTTGAATGTTGATTGAATATCCTGCTAATGTTCTATGTCGTTCTCAGAATGTTTTAAGAATATCCTTTTGAAAACATTCCCCGAATGCAGCGATAAGTGCCTGCGCCACATTCTGACAACGTTGATAGAATGTTCTTACGTAAATTTCCAACATTCCAAGAATGTTGTCTATGTTCTCTTGAACCTTCCTGGAATGTTCTCACAACGTTCTCGTGCTACGTGGGATGGGGCACGCGCGTACCTGGTGTACTTAAAAAGAAATGGAAAATTTGGAAATGTTAATATATACATTGCAATGAAATTTCCGAAATTAAAATGTGGCTATTATGCAAGAGTATATGCTAAGCAGCAATGTCCTGACAACCTAAATCAAATCAAAATGCTTTATTTTTCTCCATTTGGAGAGGGAAGACAGAAAAAAAGCAACATAACAGTTGCTTGACAGGTCTCCATCTCCCCTCAGCAGCAGCTGAGACAGCACACAAAACAGTTAACACAAAAAGAAATGTTTTATGAAATTATTCGTTTGATATAAAACAAAAGCAAAACAAAAATGAAAAATCGCCACACGTCATGCACCTACACTGACACTGAAAGCTCAACAAAAAAATGAAAGCAAATATTTGTTTACCAAAGTCAAAAGTTCTATGTTTAATTCCCCCAAACGATTTAAAAGACGAGGAAGAGTATTTCGCAACATCTGAATTCCATAATTTGTTCTGGAGTGCGGCACTAGCCACGTATCGGCGCTGCGTTTAGTATAAATCGTGTCTCTAATTGTAATCTGTGAAATAGACAGAAATACGTGTTTTTTGTGATGAAAAGACCTTTTATAGGTAATACAAAGTTTATAATTATAGAAATTTGGAATCTGTACAATATTAAGTGTTTTAAACAATGGCATTGTATGGGCATCGTATGCAGCATGGCATATAATACGGACAACTTTTTTTTGCAGAATTTGTATCTGCTTAAGATTTGTAAAAGTTGTATTCCCCCAAACCAAGAAGGAGTAATTATAATGCACATAAGATAAAGAATGATATATAAGAAGCATTGCTGACATTGGGAGTATATGACAATGTTTGTACATAACACCTACGACCTTTGAGAGTTTTTGACGTGTATAATGTACCATTTCACCCCATAGCATGTATTGATTAAATATTACACCCAAAATTCTAACACTTTCGACCATATCTATTTTATGGTTACTAAGGGAGAGAGCAGAGGTATGAAAGCAATTTGTATTGCCTGCGCTGATCATTTCTGTTCTTTTTTTTGTCAAATTCATGATTGAAGATAGGATATATACTTGCACAAAGCAAATAAGATTTATATATCCCATCAATTAGGTACAGCTGCACACCTTTCTAAGTTTAAATTTATGTCAAATCCATAGTTTACTTGTCATCCTAACATAGGAATTGAACGGTATACAGTTAGATAAAAATAACTCAGCTTAGAAATGGACACATGGAAACCTGGGAACAATTCCTTCATGAGCTAAGCTGGATTTTCGTTTGATCATGGTGCAACAGTAGTGAAAAGCTTGAAGAAAGGTGCAGCTACTATCCAATATTTGATTACAAAATATTCGGTCAAAACTACTATTCACTTACATCTCGCTTCGATATCAAAATCCATTGTTTGCACACGTCTATATATAATACTCATAGCTGATATACTGATCAACATGGTTCCACTGTCAAGTATGTATAAGATTAACGGCATAACTAAACAAAACTTACAATTCTTCGTGGATAACAAGGATATATGAGTGTGATGTAAAAAGACAGGCGCATTTAAGACAATTTATTTTTGTAATATATGCACCAGTTAAGAATTTAATTTCGCTAAAATTAAAAACTCCTTCCATTATAACATTGTTCTTCGAATGATACACGAAAAAGAAAGAGAAGAAGCTAGATTAGATAATCGAAATTGTTTTTTAGGTTCTAACACTGGCTGGCTAGAATATGCTCAAGCGTACGGGCCGCAACCTATCTGCCTGGCCTTGCTAGCCACCCACGGTATCCCGACTTTTGCTAATAAAGATTTTTTTATATATGAAATTTATATTTGATGTGCATAGAAGCACACTGACATTTTGTCAACATGTTCTGAATGGGCTTTGCGACTTAAAAGTCTTAACAACTTTTGATATCTTACAAAAATTCGTCCGGTATGATTAGGTTTTTTTTGCTATTTGCACGCCACACTTCAAAACTTTTTTTTTTAAACTCGAATGAAACTCAATTATTTCCTGGAAGTGGAAAGGACTGTCACTCAATCTCCATTTCATCAGACACCTCATCCAGAAAAAATTAAAGGAAGATCCATTGCTCGATCCTTAGGGAATGTGTAAGCATGACCCTTGGGAAACACCAAAGAAGTCCCCTTTTGGGAAACGCTAACGCTGGCCCCTTCACTTTTCTCTTTTGGCTTTCTATTTTGGCTTTCTCTTTTGCTTCCCCTATTTTTCGCTGCCTCTTTTTGGCTTCGTTACGGGATCAGTGATAGAGCTTCCCAAAGGGGGACGTGTGTGGTGTATCCCAAGGGTCATGCTAACACATTCCATAAGAATCCACCAATGGGTCTTCCTTGACCTAGAGCGCAGCTCTTAGGCGCCTGTTTCTGCGTATAGCGGCGTCGCCATCGGCGTCGCTGTCAGCGTAACCGCCCCGCTAAATTTAGCAGGAAATTGAATTGGTGTTGAGCTCACGTGATGTCAATTTTCCCACTAAATCTAGCGGAGAAACTAAATTTGTTCATGGGCGACATGAAACGAATACATGTGACGTCATTTTCCCCGCTAAATTTAGCGGGGAAACTGAATTGGTGTTGAGGTCACGTTGCGTCAATTTTCCAGCTAAATTTAGTGGAGAAACTGTTGGAGGAGGAGGAGGATGGGAGGCTATGCAAGAGGAGGAGGGGAGGGTACAGAAAAGTAAGAGGGGAGGGTACGCAGGAGGAGGGGAGAGGCAGAGGAAGAGAGGAGAAAAGGAGGAGGAGGAAAGGCATACCCTCCCTTCCTCCTCCTCCTCAAAAGCTGCGCTCTAATTTTTCATTCACAGAGATTTGTAAACGCCTTTTATATTTTTTTTGCCACCTACTCGGACCAGCGCAAGTATTTGGTTGACACTCCATTTTGTAGCACAAACCAAGGCATATGCGCTCCACACGCCTGCACGTTCAGACTCGCTCCAGCATCCGCACGTGCATTGGCTTCCACCCTGCGACGTCGCCTCCCTCTTGCCTTTGACCTTCACTACTCTCCTCCTCTCTATGCGGCGCACTCCACTTTCCACTTTTCCCTCTCATGTGGGTACTAATGCTAACGCATTAAAAAATCATTGGCAAACATCTGTATGAATAATTATAAAAGGGTATTCAAACGGGGGAGAAATCCCTCCCCTTTCTCTCACGCATGTGCATTGCATGATAAAAACGGCACGCAGTGCTCCGATGGTGGGAATGAAACAGTCTGGGAGAGTCCCCGAAAAGCATCCCCCGCGTGAATACCCCTGAACTATATGCACTGAGAAACTGAGGAAGAGGATGATACGAGAGCGCGCGGGGACATCAGAACGCCGAGCTCTGGTTCGAGTGATGAGTGGGTAGACCTAAAGCTAGCTGCCCTTGTCTCTACTGCACTCGTTGAACACGTTCGAATGCGAGAGCAAAACTCCGGATGCCGGCGTTCTGCGTTCGAATGCGTTCTACAAGTGCAGTGGAGACATAGGCTGCCTTTGTCTCCACTGCCCTTGTTGAACGCATTCGAGCGCGAAAGCAAAGCATCACACGCCAGCGACCCGCGTTCTAACGCGTTCGACGAGTGCAGTGGAGAGAAAGACGGCCAGCTTTAGGTCTACCCACTATTCATAACAACCAGAGGTCGGCGTTCTGATGTCCGTGCGCCGGTTTTGTCTCTTCTTCTCTCTCAGTTTCTCGGTGCACACTCAACGAGCCAGAACCATAAATAAATGAAGCAAACCTTATTTTGTAAACTCAAAATGAAAATACAACTCGGGGGAAGACCTAATTTCCAAATTGATTATAAAAATCCTGTTGTTGTCCGTCAGTATATTTGGCATATAAAGGAATATTGACGCCATCTCCTCCCCTTTCCTAATTTTCACAAAATATAAAGCACACAGCTATGTGTGACCAGATCAGTTAAAGAAGGATGGAACTATAGGACCATTCTTGATGCGCACAGTAGGGAAAGGGGGCTCAAGGCTTGGGTGAACAGTCTAAGTATTTTTTTTTTTTTTCTCTCTCGTACACAGATATTGAATCGGTGATTTGCTTGGCTTACGACCCTCCTTGGTACGTCGCCGTCAACACTGCTCGGTTTACAATAACGAGCTGTATTATTTCAAACCCTGAGCGCGAGAGGGTAATTGTTGTCTCCTGTTTGTGAAAGAGTGGGACGTTCGAATAGGCCAATGAAGGCCCTGGATTTGCTCTGTGGTTTTACTTCGCGAGAAAGTCCCAATACTCATCTCCGACGTGCCACTCACCATCGACTCCAAACCAGTCCTTGGCCTTTTGGGCACTGACGAGCGGTTGCTCGCGGTACTCAAAGATGACGGAGTTGGATATTACAAATCCCTCGCAGGCCACTTGGAGCGTCACCAGCCCGGCTTCGTGAGCTAGAACAGTGGCGGAGGCAAGCAAACCGATCAAGCCACATAAAGCCAAGGCACACGATACCTCACTGACACAATGAGAACGACAGAGCGTGTCTTTCGAACGCCTGGCCTCCAGCACATGTTTCATGCCTTCTGCCGCTCGTGCACCTAGAGCGCACGCGCGCTCTTGGTGCACGAGATGCGGAAGCAAGTCAAAGCTAGGGAGCTCACGCTGGAGAAAGGACAACTCAAGCTCTTTCCTGCCGTTCTCTGTGACTCTAGTATCCAGGAGACTGTTGTGACTACTGCTTGAAAGGCTTGCCTTAGATAGATGTTAGTTGTGGAAATATATGAAATGCTAGAATGCTGCTTTAGCCTTCGCTTTTTGTCTTACAAACAGCTTTGCTTTGCGATGGTTCTTGGACATTTTCTCTAGTGCAGTTAAACAAACCTTTTTTATTCAATCGGTTCACCAACATACCTGCATGGGCATGAACCTCGTCTTTCGATTTTGGTGTTTTTGTTTCTACATACGACCACAATGCCAATAACAAAAATGTATGAAGTAATTTCGAGAACCCGCCACAAATCAAAACTATTTGTTTCAACATGGGGTGGCATTCACGTATCAATGGCTTCAGCATTTAATGGTGCACGGAATTGCTAATAGTAGAGGCTCGTTGCTACACTTCATTTCCGCTGACGTCCAGACGCAGCCGACGCTACGAGATGACGGGACCAATCAGACAGTATCAAAAGTGCTTGATTGGTCCCATCTGCATCTAGACTCAAGCTGAAACAAAGCATTGTACTCCTGTTTTAAAAGATTAATCATTGCTTGATGAGAGCAGTAATTGTATGCTATGCTCATCTCATGACAGTGCCCCTGTATCGAATGAAGTTGCTAGCCAATTCTGTCAGCACGCTTACCTGGACAGAAACACCTGAGGACTCCGCTCTGGACGAGGGTTGTGGGGACACTGACACCGTCGAAGAGTATTGTGTACGGCGAGGAGGACGAATACCATGGCCCAGTGATGAGAACTTTTACACCACCCTGCACAACAGTTGAGAACACACTCTTTGCAATGAAAACAAAATATAAAAAAGCTGCAAATAAGCAATCGCTACTATAATCAAAACACACACAAAAAAAATAAAAAGGCGCCGGTTATTCAAAATAAAATTGCACCGTAAAAGGATGCTAGGGTGTAGCTATGTCTCTATTCCTGTATTATGTATTCTCGGGACTTTCTCAATTATGCAAACTCAATCCTGTGTTTAGTGTTCTCTCTATGATATAAATCAATCTTCAAATTTCTCTCTTTTTTCTCCAATAAACACGGAGAAATGCTATTGTGCAGAATTTCAGTATGTCATTTAATTTCCTCCCAATAGGAGCCATTGAAGAGTAGCTATGGGTGAAGCAATATCACGGGACACTTCCATTATTTTACGTGCTCCCCAAAGATGAAATATTCGAAAATATGCAAATGAATGAATCATTACTGATCGAACAGATTCGGCGCATTACTAAGACAAACAGGAAATGCCAGAAACACAAGCCGGTGTGGTGTAGGTTAGCATGCCCGACCGGATACTGGGAGACTTGGAGCTCGATGAAGTACGGTTCATTCACCTGCATATTTTCGAATATGTGTAAAACAAAATAGGTTTGATCGAAACTTCAAATAAAGCTTTATCTCATCTTCAACTTAAGGGCAGGTTGGCTTACCTCAGTGTAGGACCAGTCTGGGGAGTAGTCCGTGATGTTAGCCGTGCCCTCTCTGTACGTCATGCCTGAGTGGGAGGATGACTGGGTGCCTGCACTCTTGTTACTGCTGCCACTGCTGCTATGCACCAGGGGTAGGGAGTTTCCAGACATGTTAGAGGACGACGAGAGCACAGCCCCCGTTCCTGTCGTGGTCACTGCCAGGTCCGAGTTGAAGTCGTCCCAGTTGGGAAGGTCTGTCAGCATGTCGAAGGTATCCAGATTGAACACCTGCCCGAAACAAAGGCTCCCTTAGTCAAGGCCCAATGATCACATTAGGGACTGTATCTGGTGCTTCATAGGGCAGGTGGAGTTGTTGCAACGAGCAAAACTTTGGCAGATTAGATTTCTACGAAGAGTGAAAGAACAGCGAAGAAAGATTGTGAAAATCAACCTAAAGGCAATGCAGAATTAGCTGTGACATGTTGATAAAATACCTTATTTTTGTATAGTGCCTTCCAAACATTACAATACAGGTTCAGTTTTATATGCTTTACACTTCATTTCAGCATTCTTTCGCAAAAGGTAAAATACACTGTTCCAATGAGCTTATTAGAGCAAGGCATGTGACAGACCTCCACAGGAGGAGTGTACATCAACGGTACTTTGTTACGTGCCTTCACTTTGAAACTCATTGGCTAGAAAGGGCCTGCAGCTTTCCTTCTTTGCCACATAGTGATGAAACGGAGAATAGGTTTCATCTGGATAGACTACATAAAGTTGGAAACGAAATTCTTAGGAATATAGATGCCAGGCCTCCACTTTTCTATCCTCACCCTCATATACTCATTCAAGAGAATAAGCATCCCTCACACGTAAAGCACTTTGCTTACCCCGCACTATATCCACTACATTAACGATGCTCCAGGTAGATCTGCTCCTACTGCGGTGGATACCCCTGTAACCAACACACACTCTGGGACTGCTCTGCAGCCCACCAGAGTCGCTATCAGTCGCATTCCCATCTGCCCCACCACCTCATCCCAAGCCACTGGAAGGAATGAGCCACCCTCCCCCTCCCTCCCTCCCTCCCTCCCTCCCTCCCTCCCACAGCTTCAAAAGCTACAGTGGCCGCCCCTCGTTCATCACATTCGAAAAGAGGTCAACAATGTAGGTCCGAGCATAGCTACTTAGACCCGAACCTGGGTTCAAGATCAAGGAGCATCTTTGATCAAAATAAAAGATATTTTCCCTGTCTCTCTCTTTCTTGAGAAGGTGGAGACAGGCTAGAGGCACCACCTCTTCAATAGTTAAGAAGACTAACATTTTCTTTTTTTTCTGCCACAAAGAAACTGGAAACCCCAAAAAACGAATACAAACAAGTTTGCTAATGCTAATTCGCACATAAAAAAAAAAAAAAAAAAGCATTGGCGCGTAAATATACCTCTTCGTCCGGTGTGGAGATGTCATTGTCTATGAAGTCCATCGGATTCAGGTCCACGGGGTCCGCGTCCGCGTGGCCTCCGACGTTCTCGGTCTTGACGAGGACCCCGCCAGAGGACGAGTCCGACGAGGGCCTCCTCCGCGACGAGACCAGGTTGGCCGTGAGGGTCTTCTGGATGCCGTCGTGGCTCAGGTCGAGGGAGTCGTCAAAGAGCGCCCCACCCCTGCTGCCCCGCTCTCTGGGGCCCTCGTCTCCGGCCAGAATGCTTCCCCCGCAGAGGTCCGGGTCCTTCCCGCCGTCCAAGTCCACTTCGTCGCTGCAGAGCGCCCCTCCGGCCTCGATGCCGCGGCCGGAGGAGTCCTCCATCTTGACCTCTGTCACCGATGCTTCGGAGCTGCTGGCGCCGCCCGAAGAAGAAGAGGACACCGAGCAGGGCGTCGTCGTCGTGTGTGCCGTCGTGGTCGTGGCCGCTGCGGAGGTCGCCTCGGCGACCACGGCCGCCTCCTGGCCGCCGCAGAGCAGCGTCACGGGCGTGACCGACGCCGACGTGAGTCCCGTTGCAGCCGCCGCGCTGTTGAGAATGAGCAAGCCGCCGCCTCCCTGCAGCTGCGACAGGTTGAGGATGAACGAGGTGGTGGTGGTCGCCGTGGGCGCGCCCGAGGACACCGTCGCCTTGTGCGTCAGCGGTACCAGCGACGCCGCGCCGCCGTTCCCGCCGCCGCCACCGCCCGATGCCGCCCCCACTCCCCCCGAGGACGAGGAGGGCACGACGGCGCCTCGCGTCTTCGGGGAAATGATGCGGTGCAGGCTGTGGCCGCACTTCTTGGACGGGTCGGCGGCGGCACCCGTCGGCGACGAGGCCGACGTGGACGAGGCCGGCGTGGTCGAGGTGGCCGCTGCCGCGGGCGGCGGCGTCGGCGTGGAGGCCGGCGACAGCGACGTCTTGGTGGTCGAGTCGCAGGGGCACTCGTGCGTGCGGGCCCCGCTGCCGCCCCCGCCGCCGGTCTTGGCGCGCTGCTTCTCCATGAGCTGCTGCACGATCGCTTCCACCGTCTCGGCCGTCTGGAATAACCCATGACGCCGGAGAACAGGCGCGACTATAGGATATAGTAGTTTGATGGCGGTAAGTGAAGTCTAATGCAGCCATCGAAGAAGCATGCATTTTATAGTCAGCGAAAGGATGAGAACATTAGGGTGTCTCTTTTAAATGAACTAAAGTGGCCATTGAAGATAAAGTAAGTAGACAGGCGAGCTGGTTGATGTTACACATTTTTGAAAACCGGAGACGACGGACGAAGAGGGGTCCAACACACAAAACGTCTTGAGACGTTTTGTGTGTTGTCCCCTTCTTCGTCCGTCGTCTCCGTTTTTCAAAAATGTGTAAAGTGGCGAAGCGGGCGAGTTAGTTCATGACTCATAAAAATAAAAGCGCTAACAAAGACAACGGCAAAAAGGAAGACGAACAGGACGAGCGCTTTTAAATGCCCGGCCTCCAGCACGTGTTGGTTGCCTTCCAGCGTGCTTTGGCTGAGCGTGCATGGTAGAAGTTCACTAAACGCCGATGTGTTATCCAAGGCTCGCACTGGAGGAGGGACAACCGAAGGACTTCGCTAACGTTCTCATTCTATCAGTGACTAAAGTGATCCAATTCAATGTTTTCATAGCATTAACGATAACAAATGCTTGGTCCTCTGTTTTAAACTAGCATAGCGGAATTACACACATCGGCCCATGGGACTCCAACACTGCAACCATGTGGCGAAGATAAAAACGGGCCGATATAACTGGAAGGGTATAGGTTTACCAGAAGAGTACTCCACTCACCGACACTTCTAGCTCGTTGTTGAGGTCCGGCTCGTTTTCGCTGTAAACTACAGGTCCAGACCAGAAGTCACCGCGGGAAAAATAAAAATAAGGAAAATGTCAGTCACCATCGATTGGTCTAAACAAAGAAAAGATCTATGGCATGTTTTCCGGAGTAGTAAGTTTAGTTTAACACCCCGCGCTGCTGATTCTTAAATCACACTACCGTCTCCTTTTCAGACTAAGAGCTCCACCGTTGATATCCGAGAAACAAAAATATCAATGAACACCGGTGTCATTTACAATTCGGTGGAGCACCTAATCATAACAAAAAAAAAAAAGGTCTCCACATAAAAAAAAAATGGCGAAAAAAAAAAAAAAAGTAAGCGGGAGGTAAAACACCCAAAGTGGAAGTAGCTAGAACAAGGCGTTCAAGCGTAGCCAACGGTATCCCCGCCCCTCAAAGTAACGCGGACACATTTTCTTGCTCATAGGGGAACATTATTGTTCTCAGTACAAGACTGCAAATGATTTAAAACAGTTCCCCGCGAAAAGAGAAACGATCGGCGTCCTTACACATGGGCTTGAGTTGCGAGACGAGCTCCTCTTTCGTCCACTCCTTCTTGTCCGCGCAGTAGCTCAGCGTCGGAGCAATCACCATCTTGTTGTCGTCGCTGTACGGCACGTTCAGGTAATGCACCAGGACTATGTCCGGGTTCTGACCGCAGCAAAAGAAAGTATATCGAAGTCACCGCGCCATTTTAAGCTTTAGTATGAGAGAAAAAAAAAGTCTCCGGACCATTTTCCCGAGTTTTAAACAGACCGACGACCCGCAAAACGTGTTGGTCTACAGCCGGGCTTCCAAATGATGTGCGTACAACCAAATTCTGGGTTTCTTATAATAAAAATACATGTCATACAAAAAAAAAAAAAAAAAAAAAGGAATATGACAGCAATTCGGCAAGGGTACTTCTCTGTATGCACCATTCATATGCGGGAAAGCCTAACGCTTCGTAATTATCAACACACTGATTTTTTGGCAAGGGTGCTTTCCTGCACGCATAGTACATATGCGGGGAAGCTGAACGTATAAAGTGATTACCGTAATTACTCAGACAACAGCCGCATTGTTTATGAAGAAAACCAGAGGGTTCGCTTTTCCGCGGAGCACGCCGATTGCCAATCACCGCGATCGACAGTATGATTCCAGCGGTTTACAGCAAAGAGATAACGCCTTCGCGCGAAGGCACCATCCGTGAAGGTTGCATTTGCATGGAGACTCGTGTTCTTGACGTAGTTATTCGCTAAGTTACGTTTGCGCAACGCGATGATTGGCTCTATATGTGCTTTGTGGGAAGGTAGACGCAAGGCGTTGTTCATGAATGGTGCGGCTATTACTCGAGTAAATACGGTACATACTATGAACCAGTGTTCACGGCGACGCGTTACAAGTAACAGCGTTACCGGTAAAGGCCGGTTCACACATACAGCAGAGCGCTAAGTAAGCGCCTCATGAGCGCTGAAAGCAGCGCTCATGTGGCAACGACTTGCGCGTGACGTAGCGCTTCAGCAGCGCTCGGTTAGTGCTTCAGCAGCGCGGTGTAAGCGCTCTCACGCTCCTTGTGTCGTGCTTTCTGCTGCGGAACAGCGTGTGCATGGCGATTCCTTTGTTGTTGTTTTTTTCCTTTGGTGGTGAAAGAAGAGAGAGTAATAGAGCCGCTTTCCAAGCAAACAGTCGGCCAGACGATCCAGAGTCACGGATTTTGAGTGACTAATTGATTGGGTACGACTTCGTCGCTTTCTATTCGACATGTGTGACCCTGGTTTACGCATGAAAACCAGGGTCACGCATGTCCCTGGTTTACATGGACATGCGTATCTAACGCATGGTTAGATACGCAGTTAAAAAATGATCAACTTTAAAAGAGCTCTGTGTCTCGGTCCCTCAGCCATAGGAACAAGGTTCGCCGGATACCCGTCGGTATCTCGGTGGCGAAAATTATCGCGTACCAGAAGGCTGTTCTGGGCCGTCCACACATATATGCACTAATTGCGTATGTAACAGCATTTGTCGCGTTTTTATTTCAGCATCCCACATGTCCGCCTTGGCGCTGCTGATGCACACCCAACCACAGGAACCGGGACCACAGTGCACGCGCTAATCCGCAGCAATAACCGCCGTACAAGAAGCGCTAACAAGGCGCTACTAAAGCGCTAACAAAACGCTACAAAAGCGCTAAACGCGCGCTATAATAGAACTAAGTCACGCACTAGGAAGCGCCACATGAGCGCTCTTTCGAGTGCTCACGTGGCGCTGACTTAGCGCTCCGCTGCATGCGTGAATAGGCCTTAACGCGGTAACTTTTTAGGCAACGCGTAACATATCGTTAGGTTTTCAGAACAGTAACGGGTAACGTGCTTACGTTACTCATTTAGAGTAGCGGGTAACGGAGTTACGTTACTCGTTACATATTTTTCGCAAGACTAAAAAATCACACAATTTTTTTTGGCGTTTTTTTGTATTTAGGGAAATCAAAAAAAGATTAAGTAATTATGTTCAGTTTGTGCATGGGCATAATGTTATTTGAAATATGGCGCTTATGTATACCTCTTAAGGTCAAAACAGTAAAACGTGTTATTTATAACTAAAAAAAGTAACGAAAAAGTTACGAGCGTTACTTTTTGCCGGTAACGGTACCGCGTACCTTTTATTTCGAGGTAACGTAGGTCGGTAACGCGTTCTTTTTATGGGCAAGTAACGAGTAAAGTATTTCGTTATTTTTTTTCGGAAACGCCTACAATACTGCTATTAAGAGACTGGCAAGAGTGCCACCAGGCGTGAAAAGCCAATATGCGGGGAAGCCTACCTCTCGAAGCCAACTTCTGAAGTCGAAGAACGATTTTTTTTTTCCACTTCGGGAAACTAGTGCTAAGAATAAGCTTTTCGATTTTATATATCATAAACCAGATATTGCTCATAATAACTAGATTAAAAAAAAAAGACAATCGCTGGGGATGCTTGAAATGTTTTCGGATTCATGCACTTTCTGCAACGAACTAACGGCGGCCACGTGAACGCGACGCGTTGACTTCCATTGAGACGGCCTCCTCTTCAAATCCAAGAAAAGGGGGATTATCTCTTCGCTGTGTATAATCCGTCAAGACAAGTTCCGTGGAAGCCATAAATACCATAAAAACCTCAAAAGTAAAAAAATAAAATAAATGAAAAATCTTGTTCTGCCAATAGATATTTGCGAAAGTGAACGCGTCGTGTGAAAGATGCAATGACGTCACAACATGCTCTCTGCATGAGTGCGCGGCACATAATCCTTGCCTTGCTAAATATTCGGCGTTGTACCTATTTGTGACTGCACTTTGAGTATGTAGGGTACACCAGGTCCGTCGGTTGCCTTTGTGGCGGAGCCCGGCCGTCAGCTTAACGCTCTTTATCACTTTTTCCCTTTTTATTTTCTTGACATTCATTACTTGTCTTCGAGTAATTTCTTAAAAAAAAAAAAAACACATGCAAAGATTTTCTTTTTATTTTTTAAACAGGAGAGAGTATTATAAAACGAACTTACAACGAAGAAAAAAAAGTTTAGAGCTATATTTACGGCGCAAAACGAATTTGTGGTTGGCGCCCGCGGGAGCCGCCGCTGGTCACGTGGTAGGCCTGTGTGCCGACGCGCTGCATCGCCGCCGCCGCACGCTGAGCGTTGTGCGACGCCGCTTCAACGCGTTTCTCCACGCCACCGTCGCCGCCGCCGCACAAGTTCGTCTGGTTCGGTGCGCCGCCGCCGTCATCTGACCGGCGCACAGGTCCATCACGTCTGCCTGCGCTTTTTCAGGAGTTTCCTTTGGGCTCTAAAAGTTACTTATTAATCTTAGTTTTTTTGTTATACTTCAAACAAAGATGAAGAAGTAACTTTTAGAGATCATAGGAAGCTTCCAAAAAAGCGCAAGCACCACGTCACAAATAGAGACCAGTCACTTGACAAATAGCAACCACTTTTCCGCGGCACCCGCGGGCGCCAACTACAAATTCGTACCGCGCCTTAAATATAGCTCTAAAATTTTTAATTTTTGTTGTAAATTCATTTTATTCCTTCCTTTTTGCCAACCAGGATGTTAAAAATGTTTTTCCTTCGCATGTGTTCTTTAAGTAAAGCGTCCCACTTTGCGCCACTAAGTAGCAACGTATTTAAAATGCAAACTTCCAGTGATACATTTGTTGTCACATTGATTCCTACGATTAAACGTAGGAATCAACTTGCTTTACTATAGGCAAAGATGCAAGGCACGGTGGTTAGGCCTGCAAGCTGGTCCTAAGTGTCGTTTCTTTTCTTTCGAAGAAGGTGGAGCACGTTTTTTAGCCTTTATACTGCACGACTAATTATGTACTGGTATTCACAGAAACTTATACTCAATTCCACCTTAATAACCGTAGTTTAAAAAAGAGGCTCCTCTAAGTTCAGATATCTTTTCAGATATCTTGTAATATTTACCTCGTGGAGCGTATCAAGGACTATGCATAAAGCTTTTTTTTTTTTTTTTTAATTGGGCGACAACAATTATAAATAATTTGTATTCACTGCCAACTTAAGAAACGCAGGGTGTGGCGAGTCCCGATGAACAAAGATGGCGACATCGGCCGATAAGAACGCCCAAGAACCAACCAGAAAGCAAGAAGGGGTGAACATAATAAACCACACCCTGGCATCTCAAAAGCTATCAGTGACTACTGAGTTATATGAAACGTTAAATTCCTATCAACAAAAAGAAAAAAAAAAGCTATATTTTAGCTTCCTATGGATGCCCTGACCCTCTTTTTTATGTACCTTGCAGTGCATAGTTTTCTTATGCATATTTATATTTAACCCATATTCATGAATATATGTCCAAATTATTTTTGTGACAACCGGGAAAGAGGTTTAAATATCCGAATATAACAATAAATTATCGAAATGTACTAGTGACGGAATCTGGATTAAAAAAAAGTAACGGAAATAAATTTGTGACGTAGCGAGTTATTCCTTATTTTTGACGAAGGCAATTAGTACTACAATCACCCGTTACATTTAAGGCTAAGTAATTCACAATTCTGATTGTCCCACTTTCCGAGCGACGAGTGGAAGTATATCTGCATGTAGCTTCCGCTTCGTGACACATAGCGGACATTGTAATGAAAGCGCTTCTCTGCAAGCGTGGACTTCGTGTGGGGAAGCCGAACCTTTGGGAAACAAATCGACAAAGTTGGAGATTCGAGCTAATAATGGAGAACGGGGCGAACTCTAGTTCAGCTCATTATCTCAGTTAAGCGAAATTGCGACCTGTCCCCCGCACGGTTCCGACATAGTAAATGGCTAGAAGGGCTTCTAATAATTTTTCCTTTTAAGGTTAAAGCATCATGTTGGTACCCTGCACGGTTGCTTGATCGTGTTGGTCTTGATCGCGCCGCAACACAAGACGACGAGAGAGAGAGCGCAGACGCAGGTGTTTTATTGACGTCACTGTAGGTATAACCACAGGCAAGGCGTCGCGCGGAAAAGGGGGGGGGGGGGGGGTAAACCGCGCACTAACCACTTCCCTTTCTCCTCCCTTCCACCACGTAGAAATTGCCTAACAGTGCAACCGCACATTCATTGCATTTGACAAAATGTCTCAGTCGGGCGATTTTTTTTTGCTTCTTCCGAAGCTTACGACCCCGTTGTGTTCTAC